ACATGATGACGGTGTGTGGGGATTTCTAGACAATTTCAGTTCTAAAAAAATTCTGTGGATTTAATTTTGAATAATTTTGGTAAGAACTTACTAGATTATGTATTATACTGAATATACATACATATTATGAATGGAAGGTGCGGGTCAGACGCCGGTGTGGGAGATATTAGTTTTATGGAAACCAGGGTGCGAGTGTGGTGGATTATGTTATTGCCTCGTCCGAGTTGTTTGATATGTGCCATAGCTTTGACACAGAGCCTCGAGCCGAGTCATCACACCTTCCGGTCACGACTAGGGGCACGGGTGGCCCAGTTGTCTAAGGCGCCACGATTCGCTGTGCAGAGTTGCGTCCCTTGGTCAGGCCAGAAACATATGATTGTTGGTTCGAATCCCGGTTCGCCCCGATTATGTTTCTAGGTTTGTCAGCACCATACCCGTGCTCGTGGGTTTCACCGAAGTGGTAAACGTCTGAGACCTGCATCACTTCGGGCTTTCTTCCAACATTAAGCTGACACGCCGTGATATAACTGTAATATTAAAAGCGGCGTTAAACCCAACTCACTCACTCACTCACTTCGGTCACGACTAGTTTACGAACGCTTCAAGGCAGTGGCCCTACGCCACGCAATACACATATCAATGATTCCTGTAAATTTGTTTGAGTTGAAGAGAAGACTGAACATGATTTGCTGGAGCAGGCTGAAGATGTAGCATTTGTAAACATTGAAGAAAGTATTGGGTATATTACTGAAGATGCTATTGTCGCTGCATCTGAAATTTAATAAGGGATATAAATATGATCAACAACTGAGTAAGGATAAGATACATGTATATGGATGAACAACCTGTTCATTACAATTAGGAGCAAACGACGAATAACGTCTTTGAGAGGCATTTAGAAGTTGGAGTACTGAGTAAGGATAAGATATATGGATGAACAACTTCTTTATTACAGTTAGGAGCCAATTAGTTGTTCATCCATATATCTTATCTTTGATTAGTACTCCAACTTCTAAATGCCTCTCAAAGAAATTATCAACAATGGTTTGATAGCGAATGGCAGTTATTTGAAAAGGAACGATGTAGAGGTTTAAATAAATTTGGAAAGAATAAGGACAGTTGATCATTGACAGTCTATATGTAAATCAGTACATTAATGTTTGTGCGAAAAAAAAGACTTTGGGAATCAAGCATAGATAATTCTAAAACATTTGGTCTACGTTACAAGCGATTAAATCGAACAAATATTGCGTTTGTTTTCTGGGCGGGTTCTTAAAATAAATTAAATAAGTCACAAGCAGATTTTAGAAAGGAATACTCCACCACTGCCAAAGCTTTTTTTCTACATTCTATAATACAGAGCTATCTATCAGTACAAGGAGCGAAGTTATATGCTGTATTTGCAGAGTTTGCAAAGGCTTTTGACTCGGTGAAAATTAAGGGTTAACTTGTGGTCCCTCTTTCAAGGACATGGGCTAAGTAGCAGAACTGGGAAGTCATTGTGTTCTTTACATAAAACAGTGAGGGTATGTGTTCGGAACAATGGCACTATATCGGATAATTTTATGAGTAGCAAGGGTGACCGCATCTTCCCGAGGCAAGGGCGTTGACTGACAATAAAAGTCCATTTTCCACGTGGACATTTAAAGTCAGTTAACTCCCTTGCCTCGAGAAGATGGGGTGTCCGACCAGGGTGTATATTAAGTCCCTTTCTATTTCCTTTTTCATAAATGAATTAGCATTTCAAATCCACAACTGAATTGCATTGATGAAATTACAACTAGATCCCGAAACTATTCAATTATTTCTGCTTCTTTTCGCTGACGATATAGCCATGTTCTCGAGCACAATACCTGGTTTGCAAAAGCAGATACACGCATTAGAGAGTTATTGTGACAGGTCGAAACATACTGTAAATATGGATAAAACCAAAGTTGTAGAATTTAAAGATGGTGGTAACCTATCCAGAAAAGAAACATGGCATTATAGAGGGAAACCCGTAGAGGTTGTTCAATTTTATAAATACTTAGGCATGTGTTTTACAAGTAGATTAACTTGGTCAAAGAATGCACATAACATTTCATTGCAAGCCAAGGATATCATGTTTACTTTAAAATATTTGATACAAAAACAAGCCCGATTCTATTGTATGGATCAGACATTTGGATGTTATTGAAAAAATACATGTATATACATGTAAAAAGTACTTGGGTTAGAATGTAGCACAGACAACGCAAGGGTAAATGGTGAATGCGGATGGTTTCTCGTGTATATCGATATTTATTTAAATATTATTAAATACTGAGTCATATTATTAAATATGCCATCTTCAAGATGCCCTGGAACATATTATGGTATGAAGCTTCTCTGCGACAGCCGTGGGAATCTAAATTGAGCATAAAATGTTAAAAAACATGTTATACGAATGTGGATAGGGTATATAGCTGGTTACTACGGAAGCGTAGTAGGGCCACGGTGAGTTATTTTTTGTCTTAGTATCTCCTACGTTGGACTTAGTATCTCCTACGTAGGACTTAGTATGGCCTAGAATTACTATCACCTACGTAAGAGATACTAAGTCCTACGTAGGACTTACTACCTCCTACGTAGGACTTAGAATGGCCTAGAATAACTATCTCTTACGTAGGACTTAGTATCTCCTACGTAGGACTTACTACCTCCTACGTAGGACTTAGTATGGCCTAGAATAACTATCTCCTACGTAGGACTTGGTATCTCCTACGTACGACTTACTATATCCTACGTAGGACTTAGTATGGCCTAGAATTACTATCTCCTACGTAGGAGATACTAAGTCCTACGTTCAGTATATATGCTGTATAGTCCAGTCAGTCTAGCCAAATATAGACCCAACCCACCACAAATTGCAACAGAAACTATTTCAACTGGTTTAAACTCAGAAATTATCCCTTTATAACATATAAAAAGTCTACCAAAGTCGGAGAGGTGGAACATGGTCAAATTTGACCACAAAGGTCAGGGGGGTCAATTAAGGCCACTCTGAAGCACTTATGTGAGAATGTTAGGGTAAAACCATAAAAATTACTACAATTAATAATGAGCAATATTTTGAAAATATTTTGTTATAAAATTCTAATGGACTTTTAATGGGGTCAAATTTGACCGCGTTCCAACATTCCGATTTTGGTAGACATTATATATGTAATAAAGGGATAGTTTCTGAGTGTAAATCAGTTGATATCATTTCTGTTGCTATTTCTGGTGGGTACCATGCTATTTTGACTGGAAATGAGTATCTAGTCTATGAAATGAACATATCATACAAAAAATAAAAAAAACAGTTGTTAAATTATCTTCATAGAAATATAATAAAAAGGAACTCAGAAACTCTCTTCATTTTCAGATACTGCAGTAATCTAGACTTGCCAAACATTATAGACTTGCATGGGCTGTATTGGATAAATTTGTATCAGGGTCTGTATGACAGACTTAGAGTACAAATAAAATGCCTGTTTTGTACCAGAGACCATACGGTCTCTGATTGCACACACCAAAGACATATATAGAGAGATTTGGTAGATGAAACGCCGGTCTACAATAGCGTATGTAGATTCAATTAAGGCTTGACAACCTGTCAGAGTGCGTGTGTGACAACACTTCCAAGTGGGGGCCAATTTCCCTCAACGTCAATCGAGTGCTTCCTATCTGAACGACAGCGGGAACTCGCCTGAACGGGGTTTTAGCTAAAACGTCACCGAGCGAAAACGACACCGATTGGCGAAAACGTCACCTCGCCTGAAGCGAAAACGGCTACTATATTGCCTGGCGAAAACAGCACCTTATTATTTTCTTAACCTTGGTACTGAAATACATGAAATTAAACTCACATGGTCACTTGCTAACACAAATAATTGTGAAATGTTAAAAAAAGGTTTACATTAGAAACTATAGCCTCTACTCGACGGCTCTGTTGGGAGGCGCAACGAAATTTATTGTGAAGACATTACATGCTTTGAAGTAAAATAAATGAAATTAAACTCAAATGGTCACTTGCAAACACAAACAATTGTTAAATGTTAATCGCCATAAAAAAAAGTTTACATAAAATTAGCCTCTACTCGAATTTATTCACCGACTCTGATTGGGAGGCGCGACTAAACTTATCGCTGAAACATTACATGCTTCGAAGTTTTAAGTACCTTTACTCAAATTAAGTCAATGTCAAGCTGGAACTGAGTCTGGGAGAAATGTCAAGAGATTGGACTACAGGTAAACTATATATTTAATATTTATTTTAGTAAGTAGGAAATAAATAGTAATTTTATAAATATTTCATAAACATTTCCCCCTTTTCTGCCGGCAGCCAAGAATGTTTCATGGGATAACAGACCGTGTCCCCGCCCAAGGAAATATATATGATACATCATTACATAATAAACCAAGTAAATAAAGCATACATACTACAGTAAACCACGGTTATAACGAACACGCTTATAACGAACTGACGGATATAACGAACTTACTTTTTTGGTCCCGACCATGTGCTGTAGTTATGCGGTATGTATGCTTATAACGAACTACGGTTATAACGAACTAAAATTAGTAGTCCCTTTGAGTTCGTTATAACCGTAGTTTACTGTACTACATAAATCGTTCTTATCGTTTTTTAAAAATAGAGGTGCCGTTTTCGACCGACAATTAGAAGCCTTTTTCGCCAAATAAGGTGTAATTACTATGTAATAAGTCAATGTTGTTTCAACAGCGTTTACTTTTTGTAAACAGTTACACATCTTACATCATATATTTTTTATGTTTCATGTATTATATGTTGTCGGGAAATTCTTTAAAATGTGTTATATAGCAGATTTGTTCGTCCACCGTGCGGAAAGAATTTATTAGCGGGTGTTATCCTCTGGTCTGTATTATCTCCCTTACATACAATCCAATCAGAATCTATTTTGCATTCGGAGCGAAGCTGAGCTTGATGTAAACAAAAGTTAGTCTTGACGTTTCATCGTGACTAAGATGCAGAAAATAGCTTTTGACGCATGCTGATCGTCAGTTTCTATTTGCAGTACCCATGTCACAATATTTCATTCCGCAGTTAAACTTGCACAGATCAACATCGCATACGATACTGTCTTCAAATATTTCCCCCAAATCAACACAAACAGTAAAGATCTTTTTCAGTCGACCTAACATTTAGTGAAACGGTATTTCTGTATTACAAACACCCATGAAATATCCTAATTAACAATAGCCTCACAATAAGTCAATATAAGACGTTATAATCACGCAACATTTTGCTACGCATATGTACACCATAGCTTCATTTCAAACTCTCCCAGACCAAAACCAAACCAATAAATTGTGTCGATATACTCAATAAATTATCTAGGAAAACATTTCATCTTGACAATCTACACCTAGATATTATTTAATTCTTATATTTATTAATCTATCATAGTATATATGTTTGAGAGATTATGTGTAACAGAAATAGTAAGGTAAAATCTAATGAATAGCTAAAAAAAAATGAAAATAATACCTGCATATCATAATTCATATGTTCATCATTTCAGCGAGAACAAAAGACAGCCATGTCAGACAACAAGACGAAGGAGGTAGCAGAACCTACTGATGAGGTCGAGAATCAGGCAGCAGCTGAAGCCACAGTTTCCAGTGAAGACGAACTTGAAAAGGAAGAACCTAAACAGGAAGAACAAGCTGTTGAAGATGCACGAGAACTAGTCATTGTTGATCAGGATGCCTTTGTAAGTATGCTGAGTGTTAAAAGGGACTAGTTACATGCTTATGTAAGTTGCAAACAAACTGTGGATCAGGTGGCGAAGTATACTGTGTTACAAATTAAAGGGGGGGGCACGGGTGGCCCAGTCGTCTAAGGCGCCGCGATTCGCTGTGCAGAGTTGCGTCCCTTGGGCACGCCGGAAACCTATGATTGTGGGTTCGAATCCCGGTTCACCCCGATTATGTTTCTAGGTTTGTCAGCACCATACCCGTGCTCATGGGTTTCACCGAAGTGGTAAACGTCTGAGACCTGCATCACTTCGGGCTTTCCTCCCACATTAAGCTGACACGCTGTGATATGACTGGAATACTGTTAAAAGCGGCGTTAAACCCAACTCACTCACTACAAATTAAAGGGTTCACTCAACCTTATAGTGTACACGTGAGTGAGAGTTAAAAATTTACGTCACATTGGTATTATTTTAGTATAGGCCCTATATGTGTGCTGGTAAGAACTTCATATTGTCAAAATGTTCTCTCAAAACCACAATCAATTTATATAGATTAAGATTTCAAAGACTTGATTTCTAAATCCATGTTGTTTTGTGTGAACAATGAAAGGGAGTTACTTCCCTTTGCATACCAAAATCTTGATCTTCGTCCCTTTCCACAAGCTATCTTAACACTAAGATGATCGTAACCCATACTGTAACATAGGCTTATGACAGTTGTAGCACTATGTTTGCTTTGTGGAACAGCCATGACTGTTTATTTTGAAGCTGGAAGGACAAGGTATGAAAAGGACCCTTTATTGCCCGCAGAGTCTGCCAGAGTACAGAGACAAACAAACATTCCGAAATTATGATAGTTATCCCACTTGTTCATGAGCACTGATGAGAAATGGCTTAGATTCTGTTCATTTAACATTTCATGTTTTGGATTGACAACAACACTTTCAAATATTTCAAATATTTGAACATGAGCTAGTCTCTGATGCAAGCAGATTTTATGAGCAGGTGCGGATAACAACAGTGCAAACATGTGATAGGACTCACTCACTCACTCACTCACTCACTCACTCACTCACTCACTCACTCACTCTTTCACTCACTCACTCACTCTTTCACTCACTCACTCACTCACTCACTCACTCACCCACCCACTCACTCACTCACTCACTCACCCATCCACTCTCACTCACTCACTCACTTCTTGTAATGTCTGCCTCCCCTTGTTTCAGGATGTCGACTTGAACCACAGCCGTGTTGCTAAGATAGAAAACTTGGAAAATTTAACAAGATGTGAGGTAAATGTGCAACTATAGTGCTAAACATTGTTCGAATGTAACGTTTCCAGACAGCCTGACAAGCAAGTCATGCGATGGGCCCTGATTTAGAGTTAGTCTTGTAATAAAACGGGTTTTACCTCGCAAAGTGCATCAAATCACTTGAGAACCTTGATCAAAATCATGAAAAGATTTGGAAAATATCTGTTGATGCCCAGTAGACAGAACACATGCTCAGCAAATCCTGCAATTGTACGAATTCAGGGTCGCAGTTGCCATGTTGTTTATGAACCGGATGCCGATTTAGTAACAGGTTTTTTTATTGGACCATGCATAGACTCATAAGTCCATCCGAAATATAACTCCTTAATTCCTGCCTAGTTCGGAAAGGGTGGAAACTGGACTTTTAAAATCCCTTGCCTTGGGAAGATGAGTGTTATTAAGTATGTCAACATGATCTTCTTAAGAAAGACTGACAGTGTGTGCATTGCCTTCATGATACCATGTTGTTTTCTATGAGAAGAAGTTAATACGTTATCATCATATCTTGTAATCATTTATACACTTTCATGTACACAAATCAGTTTTCATTATTGCCCAAGGAATTAATATGTCCATCTATATCTGAAAAATAGTGATCATGTTACAAGTCAATATTCAAGGTCAGTGTCTGTCATGTGACCATGACCGTGACTGCGACCGTTTTCGGTTCAGTTTTCTATTGTTAGGTCAGCATTGAAATTTTATTGTTTTGTCACATGATATGGGTTTACCATTAAAATTCAAAGATCCTTTATGTCTAAAATAACTGCTTGCCTGCCCGCCCGTGGCTGGTAACTTTTCTTTGGGCTGCTTGAAATTTTCTTCCACCTGCCCGACTGTCTGGCAGATAATTTTAAGAATGCTTCCGTATTCAGTTTTATTAAAACTCCTCGTAGATTCTCTGGTAATTGTGGGGCGGTCGGGTAGCCTAGTGGTTAAAGCGTTTGCTCGTCACGCCGAAGACGCGGGTTCGATTCCCGACATGGGTACAATGATTGAAGCCCATTTCTGGTGTCCCCCGCCGTGATATTGCTGGAATATTGGTAAAAGCGGCGTAAAACCATACTCACTCACTCTGGTGATTGTTTACATTATTTCAAGTGAATCATTACATGAATTGTCTCTTAGTTTTGCAATATTTTAACATATATAATGTCAATGGGGGCAGGTAACTTTGAAGATGGACAGGCAACACTTATGTGTCAACTGCCCAACTGTCTCCTTGGGTTTTGGGGCGGTCGGGTAGCCTAACAGTTCAAGCGTTCGCTCGTCACGCCGAAGACCCCGGTTCGATTCCCGACATGGGTACAATGTGAGAATCCCATTTCTGGTGTCCCCTGCCTTGATATTGCTGGAATATTGCTAAAAGCGGCGTAAAACCATACTCACTCACTCTGGTAATTGTTTACATTATTTCAAGTGAATCATTACATGAATTGTCTCTTAGTTTTGCAATATTTTAACATATATAATGTCAATGGGGGCAGGAAGAAGATTGACAGGCAACACTTATGTGTCAACTGCCCAACTGTCTCTTTGGTTTTGGGACGGTCGGGTAGCCTAACAGTTCAAGCGTTCGCTCGTCACGCCGAAGACCCGGGTTTGATTCCCGACATGGGTACAATGTGTGAAGCCCATTTCTGGTGTCCCCCGCCGTGATATTGCTGGAATATTGCTAAAAGCGGCGTAAACCATACTCACTCACTCACCCACTTTGGGTTTTAAAATTATTTCAAACACTGCTTAATAGAGGTATAACAATTTGTAATGTGTGTTTCAGACCCTGTGTCTCCGTCAGAACCTGGTGAAGAAGATCGAGGGTTTGAGCACCCTGGTGACACTGCGGGAGCTGGACTTGTACGACAACCAGCTGACCAAGATTGAGAACCTGGAGGCACTTGTAAACCTGGAGTAAGTCAGCATTCCACCTTCTGACCAGCTTGACCAGCATATCACAGTCAAACTATCTTGACCAGAAAGATTAGGTCCTACAAGCACATGTTATTGTTATCCCCCTGCCACAAAGTGGAAGGGGGATATAGGAATGGGTGCTGTCCGTCTGCTATGTTTTGTTTCCGGAGCAGAACTGAAAAACCATGAGAGATATCTGAACCAAACAGGTCTAGTGGTAAACTGGTGCCTTTTGATAGTTTGGGAGTTCTGAAAAAAATATTTTTTGAAGTTTCCATGGCAACGACTTGGACTTAGACTGTTATGGCGTTAGTATTGGTGGGGGATGTGAGTATTTCATGCTTGTTATATTATTATGGTATGAATTTGTATTGCGCCCTGCTCAAATGAACACAGACCATGATAGATCGTATTGTTACCCTGGTCACTAGATCAGTGTGCAGTCCATTTTCATTCTCAACTCTCTGAGGAGTTTAGAACCCATGGGTGGCCAGTCATCAAAGTGCAGAGGTGCTCATCATCGCATGATAAACATTTTATTTTCAACATCACATCTGAAGCCACCGCCCTATTACCATGTAGGACTTGTAGGTGAGGTGAGGTGAAATTTGGGTTTAACGTCGCGTCCAAGATTATTGCACTTATATAGCGACATGCATGCACACGCATGCGCGCATGCGTTCGTGCGTGCTAGTCCGGACTGATGCCGATTTATAGTGCTAGCCCACTGAGATACCATGCCGCAGTTTAACATGAATACCCCACTCAGACACATTATACTGACTCCAAGCCGACCAGTCCTTGTTTAGCCCCTTAATGCCGAGCGCCAGACAGTGTATCAACAAATACCATCTTTTAACATCTTTTGGTATGACGCGGCCAGGCATCGAACCCCGAACTTTCCACTCCCTGGGCGGACACTCTACCAAAAGACCACGGAGGCGGTCTGTAGGACTTGTAATAACACTGTAGTGATGATGAGGGCCTGGTCCGAGTCCATTCATTAGCACACTGTATTCATGTGCATATATTTCTCTTGGCGGAGATAAAGGAGGAAACCTGTTCTTGTTTTACAGACAACTTGATTTGTCTTTCAACCACATTCGGACAATTGAAGGTTTGGAGGGTCTCACAAGAGTGACGAAACTGTTTCTGGTGCAGAACAAGATACAGACGGTTGAGAACATCGAGCATCTGGTCAATGTGGAGATGCTGGAACTAGGTGCTAACAGAATCAGGGTAGGTGATAACAGAATCAGGGTAGGTGCTAACAGAATCAGGGTAGGTGATAACAGATTCAGGGTAGGTGATAACAGAATCAGGGTAGGTGATAACAGAATCAGGGTAGGTGCTAACAGAATCAGGGTAGGTGATAACACAATCAGGGTAGGTGATAACAGAATCAGGGTAGGTGATAACAGAATCAGAGTAGGTGATAACAGAATCAGGGTAGGTGATAACAGAATCAGGGTAGGTGATAACTGAATCAGGGTAGGTGATAACAGAATCAGGGTAGGTGATAACAGAATCAGGGTAGGTGATAACACAATCAGGGTAGGCGCTAACACAATCAGGGTAGGTGCTACCACAATCAGGGTAGGTGCTACCACAATCAGGGTACTTTATAACAGAATCAAGGTAGGTGCTAACAGAATCAGGGTAGTTGATAACAAAAACAAGGTAGGTGCTAACAGAATCAGGGTAGTTGATAACAAAAACAAGGTAGGTGCTCAGAGAATCAGGGTAGTTGATAGCAAAAACAAGGTAGGTGCTAACAGAATCAGGGTAGTTGATAACAAAAACTAGGTAGGTGCTAAAGAATCAGGGTAGGAGCTGCTGATGTTAGCTGAGTCACAAACCTGGAAAATAGCGTGAGCATGCTGGTTATGGAAAGCACAACAGAAGGTGTAATTGAGAAAAGATAGGGATAGATTGTTTTATGATTTTGTTCTTTCAATTTGTTTACAGAAAATACAGGGTATTGACAAGCTGACCAGACTGAGCAGCCTGTTCCTTGGGAAGAATAAAATCACAACATTGTCCGGGCTTGACACCCTGGTCAACCTCACTTGTCTCAGTATACAGGTAAAAACATTATTGTGTAATTTCTTTAAAAAATTGAAGTGGGAGACATTTTTTGTGAAACAATTTGTCCATCTATTGATGGATGTGCTTCACATGAAGCATAATTGTTTTGTATGTCCGTTGATTACCTTGTCGCCTCACTTGTTGACTGACTTGTCACCTCTCTTGTAGACTGACCCATTTACCTGCCTTGTTGACTGACTTGTTGACTGACTTGTGTGACTGACTTCATTGATTGTCTCATTGCCTGTCTTGTTTGCTGACCCATTATCTGCCTTGTGGACTGACCCATTGCCTGCCTTGTTGACTGACCAATTAATATGCCTTGTTGACTGACCCATTGCCTACCTTGTTGACTGACCCATTGACTGACTTGTTGACAGACTCGTTGATTGACTACCTACCTTGTTGACTGCTTTGTTGACAGGCTCATTGCCTGTCTTGTTGATGGGCTCATTTCCTACCTTGTTGACTGACCCATTGTGTACCTTGTTGACAGACCCATTGTGTACCTTGTTGACAGACCCATTGTGTACCTTGTTGACTGACCCATACCCTACCGTGTTGACTGACCCATTGCCTACCCTGTTGACTGACCCATTGCCTACCCTGTTGACTGACCCATTGCCAACCTTGTAGACTGACTTGTTGACTGACCCATTGCCTACCATGTTGACTGACTTGTGGCCTGCCTTGTTGACTGACCCATTGCCTGCCTGTCCCCCAGGACAACCGCCTAGTGACGATACAGGGGCTGGAGTGTCTAGTCAACCTCGAGGAGCTGTACATGAGCCACAATGGCATTGAGAAGATCCAGGGACTTGACAAGAATGTGAGTACAGGGCTATACCGCACTAAAATTGTTGCCACCTGTACACGTTCAACTTGGAGTGGACGCAAACTATTTACATAATGAGTCCTTTGGGATGCACAAAAGTATGACTGATTGAATAAATAAATTTAGGAAAACTCTAGATTGCATGTTTCATATTACACTCTCTCTGTTCACTGTCAATGTTCACTCTCAGTGTTCACCCTCCTTGTTCACTCTCAGTGTTCACTATCAGTGTTCACTCTGTGTTCAATGTCAATGTTCATTCTCAGCGTTCACTGTCAATGTTCACGCTCCTTGTTCACCCTCCTTGTTCACTCTCAGTGTTCACTCTCTGTGTTCACTCTCAATGTTCACTCTCCATGTTCACTCTCAGTGTTCACTCTCCATGTTCACTCTCCATGTTCACTCTCTGTGTTCACTCTCCGTGTTCACCCTCAGTGTTCACTCTCAATGTTCACTCTCCATGTTCACTCCATGTTCACTCTCAGTGTTCACTCTCCATGTTCACTCTGTGTTCACCCTAAATGTTCACTCTCCATGTTCACTCTCCATGTTCACTCCATGTTCACCCTCAATGTTCACCCTCAATGTTCACTCTCAATGTTCACTCCATGTTCACTCTCCATGTTCACTCTCAATGTTCGCTCTCAGTGTTCACTCTGTGTTCACCCTCAATGTTCACTCTCAATGTTCACTCTCAGTGTTCACTCTCAGTGTTCACTCTCCATGTTCACTCTCAGTGTTCACTCTCTGTGTTCACACTCAATGTTCACACTCAATGTTCACTCCATGTTCACTCTCCATGTTCACTCTCAATGTTCACTCCATGTTCACTTTCCATGTTCACTTTCAATGTTCACTCTCCATGTTCACTCTCAGTGTTCACTCTCCATGTTCACTCTCAGTGTTCACTCTCCATGTTCACTCTCCATGTTCACTCTCAGTGTTCACTCTCTGTGTTCACTCTCAATGTTCACTCTCAGTGTTCACTCTCCATGTTCACTCTCAGTGTTCACTCCATGTTCACTCAGTGTTCACTCTCAATTTTCACTCTGTGTTCACTCTCCATGTTCACTCTCAGTGTTCACTCTCTGTGTTCACTCTCAGTGTTCACTCTCCATGTTCACTCTCAGTGTTCACTCTCCATGTTCACTCTCAGTGTTCACTCTCCATGTTCACTCTCAGTGTTCACTCTCAGTGTTCACTCTCCATGTTCACTTTCCATGTTCACTCTCAGTGTTCACTCTCAGTGTTCACTCTCTGTGTTCACTCTCAGTGTTCACTCTCCATGTTCACTCTCAGTGTTCACTCTCCATGTTCACTCTCAGTGTTCACTCTTAGTGTTCACTCTCCATGTTCACTCTCAGTGTTCACTCTCCATGTTCACTCTCCATGTTCACTCTCAGTGTTCACTCTCCATGTTCACTCTCAGTGTTCACTGTCAATGGTCACTCTCCATGTTCAGGGTTGATTGTCTTGAAATTCACGTCTATAATAGGCTAAAGGCTTCAGAGCATGTACAATGATATCATATGAGTGAAATCTTTGGGAAAAAAAGCGAAATGTCCCACATGTCGTCACCCTGAGACTGTTGTGGTCATGCTATGGATGCAAGCTATTTAGTTGGTAGAGTTCTGGAGTGGAAGTCAGATAGACCCATGTAAGTCTCTGAGTAGCACACAACCACATATTGCACTTGACATATTTGTTGCAGATTAATGATTTCTGTGTGTATGTGTTTCAGTTGAGGTTGACAACTCTGGATCTTGCAGAAAATAAAATTAAGAAGATTGAAAATATTGCACATCTCACAGAACTTCAAGAATTTTGGGTAATATTTCCGATGTTTTACTGCTGATAAACACTGCTCATCAAAGGGATAAGACACCACTATGTATAACAACTTGTACTTCTCAACACATTAATGATCAAAAATTGGATGTGTAAATAACATGTGTATATCCTGAGGTACCCTATTTTCGAACAGTTAAGAGGGTATTGCTGATATTTCCAAGGATGAGTGATTCAAAACTCAAATTCTGCTTTATATCAGTGGGTGATGTCTTCAACTATAGAATTCAGTTACATTCCGAAAAAAAAAACTCCTCGATATAAGGAGTGACCTTCATTGCCTTGTCTGTAAACTTCCACTGCACTCGAGTGACGTCACCCATTGTCGAACACCTGATTGGTTGCGTACTTTAAATGAAGAGACAGGCTTTGGTGCACAGTTCTCAATATAATTCTCACAGGTCGACATTAAAACTAAAAAAGTAATTGATAGTTTGAATCCTATTCACAAAATATGAATATTTGTCACATTATTGTGTTCACACTATTTTACTCTTCCTTTTCATCATGACACAGGCACCAAAACTCTGAATGACGACGTAATTTTCTGACAGATGTTCAGTTCTTCACAACTCAATGTTGACAGGCCAAACACATGCATTCTCAAGTCGGCAGCTTTGAAGACGTCACACCTCTCCCTATTATGTGTGTGCCTCCGTGGTCTTGTGGTAGAGCGTCCGCCCGGAGAGCGGAAGGTCCAGGGTTCGATCCCTGGCCACGTCATACATAAAGACGTTAAAAGATTGTACTTGTTGTTACCCTGTCTGGCGCTCGGCATTAAGGGGCTAAAACAAGGACTGGTCGGCTCGGAGTCAGTATACTGTGTCTGAGTGGGGTATTCATGTTAAACTGCGGCATGGTATCTCAGTGAGCTAGCACTATAAATCGGCATCAGTCCGGACTAGTACAAGCAGCCACACACACACATACACGTGCATGCACGTCGCTATATAAGTGCAATAATCTTGGACGCGACGTTAAACCCATTTTCACCTCACCTCACCCTATTATGTGACAAATCAGTATCAAACAAGGCTGTTCGAAAATACTTGGCGATATATATTTCAGTTCAATAACACTACATACAAATGTGTATTTCAATTATGAAAGTGCGAACAAATGTGACGATAACTATGTATTTTAGTTAAGTGGCAGTGTCGAGTGTATTTCAGTTAAGTGACAGTGTCATCTGTATTCCAGTTCAATGACAACCAGGTGTCTACCTGGGACAATGTGGATGCTCTCATCCCCCTCAAGAACCTGGAGACAGTCTACCTGGAGAGGAACCCTCTCTGGTACGATCCGTCCGACAACAAGAAGGTGGACGTCAACTACCGAAGAAAGATCAAACTGGCGTTGCCCTGGATTAAGCAGATAGACGCAACTCTTTCTCGATGATGATCTGTAGTAGTTAGCGAATTCTCTGTCCAGTTCATCAAGAGTGCTTGGAGTTTGTAATTAAGTAAAATTGACAAAATACAACACTTTTTAAAAATGTGTTATATTACACAAATATCTTTGTTAATGCTATGAAATCCCATACTTTGTATTAATGAATTCATGTGCTTTTTCAACGTATTAAGTGCTGAGGTAGATACTAGAACCTACTTCTTTAACTAGCCTAAGCTTATGACTATGTCTTTACAGTATGAAAATAATAACTTATGGTATAAAGGAAATCTCTATCTTATAGGACAGGTTTTCATGATATTCAGGAGGAGCGTCTTATAGATAGGCACTTGACAGATCACATAGAGAATATCTACGTGTGTAACTTTGATATCTTTTTATGTTACTATTATAGGGTGTATATGTGGAGCTCTGTCCAACATGTTGTCCTGAGCTTCTCTGTAGTAGATCTCTGTCCAACATGTTGTCCTGAGGTTCTCTGTAGTAGATCTCTGTCCAACATGTTGTCCTGAGGTTCTCTGTAGTAGATCCAGGGGTATATGTGGAGCTTTGTCCAACATGTTGTCCTGAGGTTCTCTGTAGTAGATCTCTGTCCAACATGTTGTCCTGAGGTTCTGTAGTAGATCCAGGGGTATATGTGGAGCTGTGTCCAACATGTTGTCCTGAGGTTCTCTGTAGTAGATCCAGGGGTATATGTGGAGCTGTGTCCAACATGTTGTCCTGAGGTTCTCTGTAGTAGATCCAGGGGTATATGTGGAGCTGTGTCCAACATGTTGTCCTGAGCTTCTCTGTAGTAGATCCAGGGGTATATGTAGACTCTGTCCAACATGTTGTCCTGAGGTTCTCTGTAGTAGATCCAGGGGTATATGTAGACTCTGTCCAACATGTTGTCCTGAGGTTCTCTGTAGTAGATCCAGGGGTATATGTAGACTCTGTCCAACATGTTGTCCTGAGCTTCTCTGTAGTAGATCCAGGGGTATATGTGGAGCTGTGTCCAACATGTTGTCCTGAGGTTCTCTGTAGTAGATCCAGGGGTATATGTAGACTCTGTCCAACATGTTGTCCTGAGCTTCTCTGTAGTAGATCCAGGGGTATATGTAGACTCTGTCCAACATGTTGTCCTGAGCTTCTCTGTAGTAGATCTCTGTCCAACATGTTGTCCTGAGGTTCTCTGTAGTAGATCCAGGGGTATATGTGGAGCTGTGTCCAACATGTTGTCCTGAGGTTCTCTGTAGTAGATCCAGGGGTATATGTAGACTCTGTCCAACATGTTGTCCTGAGCTTCTCTGTAGTAGATCCAGGGGTATATGTAGACTCTGTCCAACATGTTGTCCTGAGCTTCTCTGTAGTAGATCTCTGTCCAACATGTTGTCCTGAGGTTCTCTGTAGTAGATCCAGGGGTATATGTGGAGCTTTGTCCAACATGTTGTCCTGAGGTTCTCTGTAGTAGATCTCTGTCCAACATGTTGTCCTGAGGTTCTGTAGTAGATCCAGGGGTATATGTGGAGCTGTGTCCAACATGTCCATATCCTTTGATAGTGAAAAGCGTTATTTGTACCTATACTGATTCATGTCGACACCATTCCACTGCAGGAAAACATGGCTAGATCTCCTAGGGACAGTTAATAATTGTTTGTTATGTTTTTAGTTTGTTAGTAACTAAACCTTGTCTGACATTTTGTTTTCGCCCTACTCAGCCTATGAAATATTGAAGGATAAAAAGCAACAGAGCTGATAGATTACTGTAGCTTTGTGTAGACTTTGGAATATCAAATACTGAAGCAATGTCATTTTTACTAAAGCCTTTTATCAACTACAGTTGTTGTTGGTTTGTTAAATTACCAAAGTTTACAACTGGATGTCTTACATTTGCAACAATAACTTGTGACAATGTTAAAGCACCTGATCGGGTGTGCACTGATTCACTGCTATTTGTAATTGCCACAACTGAGGTCAACTGTACTGCATATCATCTTCCTGAGGCAAGGGAATTAATTGACTATAAAAGTCCGGTTTCCAACCTTGCCGAACTAGGCTGGTTTATAGAGTTATACTTTGGCTGGACTAACAAGGCTATGCGTAGTCCAATCAAATTAACTGAACAAAATCGACATCCGGTTCGTAAACTGCAATGCAGATTTCGGTCGAATGCAGGATTTGCAAAGCATGTATACCACCAACAGATATTTTCCAAATCTTTTCATGTTTTTAATCAAGTTGCTCACATGATTTGATGCACTTCATGAAGTAAGACCCATCTTATCATAATATAGATTTTAATTATCGATCAGATCGCTTGAGTGGGCACCGCGATTTTGTTTGAAGCGAATGCTAGTGATATTAGAGGTGGAATCTGACTGGTCAATAGGAGGGACATAGCCGGGACATAACTCATAATAGCCACTGGTGGCACTTCGATTAAGCTCAGGAATTCCCGCCAAGTTCAGCAAGGGTGTTAACTGGACTTTCACAGTCAAATAACTCCCTTGCCTCAGGAAGATGACTGTACATACAATAATGACATACAAGTTGTTGGATTCACAGCTGTTCATGGCTCACCACATGCAAGTTTACATGTCCAGTTTGTAGATCAAAAGCAAATATTGCTCTTAATTCACTCTTGGGAGAAATGTAGGTTTTCTACAGTCGTGTCAATTTGTTGAAGATTTTTTTATTTACGTGATGATATGCAGATCTTTGTGTTTGCCATTTTCTGTGTTTCATCACACCATGTACAGCTTGACATTATTTTGTATTTGTTTACAATATCACTATTATTTATTATAGATCCCTGAACATGTTGAAAATAAACATGAACTGTACTCACCAGGAATGTGTTGGCGACTTTGGTTTCATGTAAGGCCGCAGTCAAAAACTACTCAATACTTTCAATACGAGCCCTTAGGCCTCAGACTTTTAAAAAAAATTTACAGCCCCGCCACCCCTACTGAAAGCAGCCGATCTAATAAATAAATTAAACATAAATTATATTATTTTTTTTAGGTCCCGCTAGTTATATAGACCCTCTCCAATACAAACTGTTATATGTAAATTATGGGTCTATATTACTATCAGTGATTCAAGAAGCAACCAATGCTTGCCGTAAAAGGCGACTATGCTTGTCGTAAGAGGCGACTGACGAGATCGGGTGGTCAGGCTCGCTGATTTGGTTGATGCATGTCATCGATCCCAATTGCATGGATCGATGCTCATGATGTCAATCACTGGATTGTCTGGTCCAGGCTTGATTATTTACAGACACGCCGTCATATAGATGGAATATTGCTGAGCATGGCGTTACACAACAAACCTCGCAGAGAACATAATTTATGTTCTCACGCTCTGACTGAAAAATTGTTCTCCCCCCAAGACTATAAAATGGTCACTCCCTTGCCCATTGGAATCCTGCACCATACATCATCTTACTATGAAGGTCGTGTTGAGTAAACTGGCAGATATTGAACACGAGGTCAAGTAATTCGGATACCCTGGAATACTGTAATCATTTGTCATTAAACACGATGCAACATCATGCATGGTATTACGTTTTGTCATTAAGCTAAGTCTTTAGACAATGACTACTTATGCTTAAGGGGCAGTGGGGTAGCCTAGTAGCTAGAGTTCATTTGTCATGCCGAAAGCCCAGGTTTGATCCCCCACATGGGTACAATGTGTGAAACCCATATCTATGTTCTACAAGGTCTAAAATTCAATTGGTTTAATGATTCAGACAGACACAAGTGTTTGCGTTCACAGATAATGTTGCGTAGTATATACAAGCCCTGAATTATAGACAGTAGTGCCTCGAAGATGGACCTTGACGACCATCAGTCGGTGGATGTATTGACAGAAGTACCTCAAGATGGACCTTGACGACCATCAGTTGATGGAAGTATTGACAGAAGTGCCTTAAGATGGACCTTGACGACCATCAGTCGGTGGATGTATTGACAGAAGTGCCTCAAGATGGACCTTGACGACCATCAGTCGGTGGATGTATTGACAGAAGTGCCTCAAGATGGACCTTGACGACCATCAGTCGGTGGATGTATTGACAGAAGTGCCTCAAGATGGACCTTGACGACCATCAGTTGATGGAAGTATTGACAGTAGTGCCTCAAGATGGACCCTGACGACCATCAGTTGATGGAAGTATTGACAGTGGAGCCTCAGAAGATGGACCTTGACGACCAATCAGTTGATGGAAGTATTGAGAGTGGAGCCTCAGAAGATGGACCTTGACGACCAATCGGTCGATGGAAGTATTGACAGTAGTGCCTCGAAGATGGACCTTGACGACCAATCAGTCGATGGAAGTATTGACAGTAGTGCCTCAGAAGATGGACCCTGACGACCATCAGTTGATGGAAGTATTGACAGAAGATGTACCTTGACGACCAATCAGTTGATGGAAGTATTGACAGTAGTGCCTTGGAAGATGTACCTTGACGACCAATCAGCATGGAAGTATTGACAAAAGACAAATTGTTGAAATATCACCGCTGCATTTATTTCAGTTCAGTCACAAATAACTCCCTCACGGTTCCTTTTCCCATGACAAGCTTGAAAGGACAAACAACCCAAGAGATGATGTATACTACTCAAAAGAAGTTAAAGAGCACCTGATTTGTTCATACTGCCATAGTTAATCTGTCATAGCTGGTGGATATTGCAACACACAGCTATCCAGATTCCAACTGGGGGTGTTCTTTTACATGTTTTTAGTAGTGGATATAGTTAAAAGGTACACTTCATTCCCAATACAAAAATATTTTATATACATACTTACAGCATGGCAGTCAACTACTTGGTTCATGACCTAGGGATCTATTGGAGTGAGTGAGTATGGTTTTATGCCGCTTTTAGCAATATTCCAGCAATATCACGGCCGGGGGGACACCAATAATGGGCTTCACACATTGTACCCATGTCGGGAATCGAACCTGGGTCTTCGGCGTGACAAGCGAACGCTTTGACCACTAGGCTACCCGACCGACCCGGGATCTACTGGAAATAAGGGTTTGAAGTGGCAGAGGTTTAGGAACAGATACATGCCTCCTCATCCGTCTTTCCCATTTCCAACGTGAACATTGACAGACAAAAGAATGAAATATAGAGAGGCCAAAAAGTTAAACACATCTTTATTTTCATATACCCCAAACTTCCATGTATCTTTCAGAAACATCACATGACATGCATCTCAGTTTAATAAAAAAAAACGCTGAAACATTGCTGCACGAGGACTGTTTCTTCAGTCATATATCAGATCAGGCAAAAAAGCACTTACAGGAGTAGTTCAAGAAATTAGAACTGGGCAAGATTTTTAGAAAAGCCTACTTCACATGGAAATATACAAGACAAACCGTGCTTATCCTTTATCCAGCTCTATATAGAGAATTCCTAATTTTCTTCAGCAACCAGTGTGAGTTGGGTTTAACGCCGCTTTCAACAGTATTCCAGTTATATCACGGCGTGTCGGCTTAATGTTGGTTAGGTTGGTTAGGTTGGTTTGTTGTTTTACGCCGCACTCAGCAATATTCCAGCTATATGACAGCAGTCTGTAAATAATCGAGTCTGGACCAGACAATCCATTCATTGATATCATGAGCATCAATCCACACAATTGGGATCGATGACATGCTTCAACCAAGTCAGCAAGCCTGACCACCCGATCCCGTTAGTCGCCTCTTACGAAAAGCAAAGTCGCCTTTTACAGCAAGTATGGGTTGCTGAGAACCTATTCTACCCCGGATCTTAGAAACATGTAGAGAAGTATGTACGTTAAGAAGAGATGTTTCCAATGTGAACCAATTAATGACAAAACAAACAACCAGTCAAGGGGTACCACAGTATATCTTTGTTCTTATCACGATATGCTGCACGTGATTTCAAAACTTACACCAGTTTATTGTTATTTTCTTTTGTTACCCTTTTGTTCGTTAGTCTAGAAAATTCTGGACTGGGAACAATGTTGCCAATCCGATAGTCTGTCTTACAGACCCTGATACAAATATATATCAAATACAGCCCATGCAAGTCTATAATGTTTGGCAAGTCTAGATCACTGCTCCTTTTTATTATATTTTTATTAAGATAACTGAACAACTGTTTTTTTTATGTACGATATGTTCATTTCAGAGACTAGATTTTAGTCTACCAATCCGATCGTCTGACTGAAATTTTGGGGAATTTCATACACGGACTACACATGCTCAAACTGTGCCCAAAGATCAGTTGAGTCATCAAGCCTGAACATCATTATCTTGGCATTATCTTCAGCAGATCTTAGTGTTATTATATGACTTTTATTAGCCTACTAGACCAGACAGACTTTTACTAGACTTGGGCTTCGGACTAAAGCCACATACTGCATGCTGGGCATGAGAATCAAACACCAGCTGTGCTCCAAGACAGATATATCAAGCGTATCAAGATCAAGTTGCGAGAACAGTTAGTGAATTAAAGACAAACCCCATGTGTTCCTGTCAACTACACAACTACTACTGTTCTGTTACATTCTCTGGTGAATCTTGATAATCCTGTTAATTAAATGATTCCCATTCCTCTCCTTCAATGACAATGTTCTCTTAACAGCTTGGCGTGATTGGCAATACTCCCATTGCTTCATAAAGAAATTACTATTTTCAAATGGACCATGGTGCCATTGTATGAAGCGATCTTAGCGCTAAGGTGGTCGTCACTCCCATACCTTACCACAGACATACGACAGTCGTAGCGCTAAGGTGGTCGTCACTCCCATACCTTACCATAGACTTACGACAGTCGTAGCACTAAGGTGGTCGTCACTCCCATACCTTACCATAGACTTACGACAGTCGTAGCACTAAGGTGGTCGTCACTCCCATACCTTACCATAGACTTACGACAGTCGTAGCGCTAAGGTGGTCGTCACTCCCACACCTTACCATAGACTTACGACAGTCGTAGCGCTAAGGTGGTCGTCACTCCCACACCTTACCATAGACTTACGACAGTCGTAGCGCTAAGGTGGTTGTCACTCCCACACCTTACCATAGACTTACGACAGTCGTAGCGCTAAGGTGGTCGTCACTCCCACACCTTACCATAGACTTACGACAGTCGTAGCGCTAAGGTGGTTGTCACTCCCATACCTTACCATAGACTTACGACAGTCGTAGCGCTAAGGTGGTTGTCACTCCCACACCTTACCAAAGACTTACGACAGTCGTAGCGCTAAGGTGGTCCTCACTCCCATACCTTACCATAGACTTACGACAGTCGTAGCGCTAAGGTGGTCGTCACTACCACACCTTACCATAGACTTACGACAGTCGTAGCGCTAAGGTGGTCGTCACTCCCACACCTTACCATAGACATATGACAGTCGTAGCGCTAAGGTGGTCGTCACTCCCACACCTTACCATAGACTTACGACAGTCGTAGCGCTAAGGTGGTCGTCACTCCCATACCTTACCACAGACTTACGACAGTCGTAGCGCTAAAGTGGTCGTCACTCCCATACCTTACCACAGACTTACGACAGTCGTAGCGCTAAGGTGGTCGTCACTCCCATACCTTACCACAGACTTACGACAGTCGTAGCGCTAAGGTGGTCGTCACTCCCATACCTAACCATAGAATTACAACAGTAGTAGCGCTAAGGTTGTTTTGTACAATGGCACCCCTCAATGCTATATACATGATATACAGGATGATGTCAAAATAAATCTCTTTATTTACAAATATTCACAGAAAATAACCATTCAGCATGAACACGAGATTATTATTCAGTACTTTCATCAGTTTGCAAAATGGAATCAGTAAATGAAATGTCAAGATTACAGACTTGGAGTTTCAAGGTCATGCAAGGTCAGCCATAAACTCCTCCCCCATCAGCAGACATGATGGACTGAAACACCCTCATTACAAACCCTTCTCCTTGGCAAAATACGGTTGACACCATAACATAACGTGACTCTAGTCTGATATTACTTTGCACAAGAGCAGTATTTCATGATCAGACTGTGTGCTTACAGGAATAGGCAACTTATTTTTAAAATATCCAAATTTTAAAAAAATATTAATTTACTGATTAATTTCACATTTTAGCATTAAAATGTCATGGCTGTGTCAGCCAGCGCTGGTTATAAACATTATATAAAACCATGTTCCTTAGCTCCTGGACAATCATATATATATATACACACAGCACTAGACCGTTGGGCAGGAACACCTTTCTTCGTATTTCCTGGTGAACAGACATAAACGCCAATATGAAAATAATGACAATCTTTGAAAATATTTTAACAGTTAAAGGAGAAATAAAAAAGAGTGAGCGAGTGAGTGAGTTTGGTTTTACGCCGCTTTTAGCAATATTCCAGCAATATCACGGCAGGGGACACCAGAAATGGGCTTCACACATTGTACCCATGTCGGGAATCGAACCCGGATCTTCGGCGTGACGAGCGAACGCTTTAACCACTAGGCTACCCGACCGCCCCAAATAAAAAAGAAAAAAGGAATTTGTTTTTTGGAAACATGATTATAATATCACTAATAATGCTGTCATCAACTTACACAAAAGTCCTTGTATTGGTGAAATTGGTAACATGAAACAATTAAATCAGTAAACCAAGTTGTTAAGTTAAGAGCAATAACAAAAATTTCAGTATCCCACACGTTGATACAAAAAGTCTAGTGTGTGACAATCTTATCAGAAAGGTGTTTCAAGATTTTACAAACTAGACATACATGCATATATCTGCATTAAGTAAATATTTAGTCAGGAAAATGTAAACACCTCTTTATAAGGTTTTTAAAAAAATAAAAATTGGTTCTCAAGCAATGACTTTTGAAAAAATAGTATGGGCGGGCAGTGTCATTTTTTTTTATGCTTGTTCAAACAAGTATGTACCCAAATAAACAGTTGTGTACCATCAACCTGGGAAAGGGCCTCCCTACATAAACAAGCATGTCCTCATTAACATAACACGAGATGTGCAGTTAAGTAACTGCATGCTATATTGGATTGCATTGTTTTTAAGTATTAGGATTTTAATATATTTCTGAAAATAGAAATAAAATATTTAAAAAAAGAAACATGCGACCGACTTTATGATGCTGCGCCTGAGAACGAAGATTTATTTTTTTTAGCCTCACATGAATAAAATTCTCAATACAGTCATGTTTCTGTAACATTTTTAATATGTTGTCTTGTTTTTGACCCTCGGAAGGAAGGTAATTCCGTGCAATCAGAATTACTTCCCTTTATTGCTGTAACAAAGCATATATGACTCACAGACTGTGATAAATCTTGCGTTAGTTACAATATGTTGCCTTGATGGATTACTTTCTACCATATTACTTTGTGGGTTTCTACAAGACTGCAGATGGCAAACAGTGGAAGTCGGATTCCATAATGGCTCAACAATGCAACAATGAAACAAGTGCTTCCTGACCCTCAATTGTTCAATAAAAGAAGGTAACAAGATGTGGTGAAAGGGAGACAACTCTCCACCCTAACAACAGTATTCATCATAAATACATTTATCCATAAAAAAGCATCCTTTGTGACATTTTTCTAATTTGTGTCTGCCGACACATTTCAAAATGTCAGCCGATGAAATACTGAAAATAGGCACACAGTCTGTCAATCATTCGTCTAAACATGCCTTCACACAGGCATAGTGAGTGAGTGAGTGAGTTGGGTTTAACGCCGCTTTTAACAGTATTCCAGTCATATCACGGCATGTCAGCTTAATGTGGGAGGAAAGCCCGAAGTGATGCAGGTCTCAGATGTTACCACTTCGGTGAAACCCACGAGCACGGATATGGTGCTGACAAACCTAGAAACAATCTCATCGAACCGGGATTCGAACCCACAATCATAGGTTTCTGGCATGCCCAAGGGATGCAACTCTGTACAGCAAATCACGGCGCCTTAGCTGACTGGGCCACCCATGCCCCCGGGTATTGTAAGAACACTAAATGCTGAGTGGGGACAAAAGGGACCAAGGTTTCCAATGTGTTCACCAGTTTGCTGAGAGTTATCTCCCCTCAGTTTGCCGAGAGTTATCTCCCTTCAGTTTGCCGAGAGTTATCTCCCTTCAGGAAATACCTTGACTGCTGCATCAGTTCTCCTGATCAGCAAACACAAACTTGTAGACGTTTGATGCTGGTTAACTATAAACCCTAGTACCATAATCCCAAAGTCTGTTGTCTAGTTTAATAAAACATGATAATACAGACAGCAAGTCCACAATAAATAATGCCGACATCAGCTGATCACTCCCATTCTGTGGTCCCCGGGGGTTTGGGCGTCAGGTCGTACATGACGCGGGAGATCCCGGGCACTGTGAGTATAGACGTCACCATGTCCTCCACAACCTGCCGGAGAAGAAACATGAAGGTCAGCTAATCAGTTACATCGGAACAGGAAATCATGTGACCCACACACAAGCTGAATTTGAGTGAGTGAGTGAGTGAGTGAGGTTGGGTTTAACGCTTTTAACGTCATTCCAGTGAGTGAGTGAGTGAGTGTGTGAGTGAGGTTGGTTTTAACGCTTTTAACATTATTCCAGTGAGTGAATGAGGTCGGGTTTAATGCTTTTAACATTATTCCAGTGAGTGAATGAGGTCGGGTTTAGCGCTTTTAACATTATTCCAGTGAGTGAGTGAGTGAGCGAGCAAGCGAGCGAGTGGAGTTTAACGCTTTTAACATTATTCCAGTCATATCACGGCTTGTCAGCTTCACGTAGGAGGAAAGACCACGTGATGCAAGTCTAAGATGTTTACCACTTTGATGAATCCCTCGATCACAGGTGTGGCGCTTAAAAACCTAGAAACATAATCAGGGCAGACTGGGATTCAACCCCCCAGATTCGGGTTCTGGTGTGCCCAAGGGGAGCAACTCTGCACAGTGAATTGTGGCACCTTCGACAACTGGGCCACCCACAGCCCACAGTTTGAAACAGAATCTAAGTTAACGAAGGGGTAGTGCTTTTGTGCATTATTCACAGCAGCAGAGTTCATGTATTAGTCGCGAGGGACAAAAATCTGCACAGCATATTCAAGCACCAATGAACTAACTCCCCATGACATCCATACCCTCAACATGGCATAGCTAGTCCGTTTCACTTTACTTGGAAGCAAGCAGACAAGAAGGCTTGAAATATTCAGTGTTCCTGTTTACCCGTAATTACAAGTTGTTTACCGGCAAAATTAGGCTTGGACCGGTAATTCATGTGACCGTCAGTCCCTGTGGACCGGCAAATAAAGTACCTTATAAATGTTTCTTGTTGAACAAAACATTGGCGATAATCTGTAAAGTAGTCTTGAACCAAAGTGAAATATCCCAGGGAAAAAGAGAAAATTGTGATAGAACTTTGTGTGAATCACGTGTAAATCTCACTCAGTTACTTCAGAGATAGCATCATTGATTTTGTCAGCCATGAACGTACTCAGCACTGAAGATGTTGAAAGAATTGAAACAAGGTACAAGGTGGGACTGAGTGAGTGACTTGGTTTAACGCCACTTTTAACATTATTCCTGTTATATCACGGCGTGTCAGCTTAATGTGGGAGGAAAGCCTGAAGTGATGCAGGTCTTGGACGTTTACCACTTCGGTGAAACCCACGAGCACGGGTATGGTGCTGACAAACCTAGAAACATAATCGGGGCAAACCGGGATTCAAACCCACAATTATAGGTTTCTGGCGTGTCCAAGGGACGCAACTCTGCACAGCAAATCGCAGCGCCTTAGACGACTGGGCCACCCGTGCCCCCAAAAGGTGGGACTGACAAAATTTAGGGAGGGGCTGGTAATTTTTCAAGTGAGTGAGTATGGTTATCATATTAGTCACCCAAACAAGAAGACCCTCACCTTTGTTGTCAGCTGTTTTCCAGGTGTGGCTGGGACCCCTGTCATGAAATCATTTGTAACAAATGTCCGTATGACAACAGATCGCTGACACGAGGGGTGGTGTGAGGTGGGGTCCCTGTCGAAGTGCAGGGGGGTGATTATAACTGGCATCTGGCTGATCGTCCCCGTTTCCCCCGCGTCGTGAAGGGTCTTGGTTGCTAGGTGATCTACTTGTCGTAATGTACTCAAAACACCCTCGGATAAAAATGTCGGGGTGACATCTTCAATTGGGTGTTTGACGGATTCTCCAAAGGTATATACAACTCTGGAATTTAAGAAGTCATCTTAGTATTCAAGGCATTGATTAATCTCATACAGTTGTAGCGTGAGGTGAGATGAAATAGGAAATTCAAGATGCATGAGTGTGTGTCTCTGCTTGGAACAGTCCGAACTAATCCCAGTTTGATAGTACTAGCCAACTATACCATGCCTCAGTTTTAACATGGATACACCACTTAGACTTTGTAGACTCAAAGCCAACCTTCCCTTGTTTTATCCCCTGTTCAGCTGTCAGCTTATATCATCTTAGCAAGGATCAGCTATTAATACTGTGGCAGATTCGTGGTATTATCTTAGTAAGGAACACCTCTTAATACTGTTGCAGATTCGTGGTACCATCTTAGCAAGGCTCACCTATCAATACTGTTGCAGATTCGTTGTATCATCTTAGCAAGGCTCACCTATTAATACTGTGGCAGATTCGTGGTATCATCTTAGCAAGGCTCACCTATTAATACTGTGGCAGATTCGTGGTACCATCTTAGCAAGGCTCACCTATTAATACTGTGGCAGATTCGTGGTACCATCTTAGCAAGGCTCACCTATTAATACTGTGGCAGATTCGTGGTATCATCTTAGCAAGGCTCACCTATTAATACTGTGGCAGATTCGTGGTATCATCTTAGCAAGGCTCATCAAGTCCCCCCAATCCGGCCGCGTGTCCGAGGAAATGGCTGCCACGTAACTGTACGTCCGACTGTCTCCCTGCAGGAAATGTATTCATGAACATGAAAAGACAGATATCTCGATGAACGAAATTCATTCATAAATAGACGGCTATTCATGATAATCACACTAATGTGTTCATTAATATTTAAATGTCCCACTGTAAATGTTCATTAAAAGTCAAACTCACTATTAACGAATGTATTAATTGGAAGTATTCTGGTCCTGAAGATAATTCCCGACTCATAAGTACCCGACTGCGCATAAGAAGTGAGCGGGTCACGTGAGACTAGTTTCTTGTTTTATACCAGTCATCAATATTGCAGTCAGATGACAGCAGTCTGCAGGTCATACAGACTTGGGCGGACAAACCTGGGAACAGGTGAGGTGCGTGTGCGTGTGCGTGTGCGTGCGCCTGCTTGTACTAGTCCGGACTGATGTCGATTTATAGTTCTAGCTCACTGAGATACCATGCTGCAGTTTAACATGAATACCCCACTCAGACACAGTATACTGACTCCGAGCCGACCAGTCCTTGTTTTAGCCCCTTAATGCCGAGCGCCAGACATGGTAACAACAAGTACCATCTTTTAACGTCTTTTGGTATGGCGCGGTCGGGGATCAAACCCCGGACCTTCCGCTCTACCCAGGGAACAGGGACAAGCCAACAATGTCACTAAGCCTGACCACCTGATTGAAAGTAGTCGCCTCTGATGGCAAACAATAGAGAGACCTATTCCATTGTCAGTACTTCATAACTTGCCCACACCATGTTCCTCCATCCTCCATGAATGCTAAGTCAAATGAGACCTATTCCTGGCGTGAACTTTACGCAAACCCTACTGTTGCCTGATCCGACGCATTTTGAAGGAGAAATATTGACGATACAATCTGAACACTCATTGATCAGGGCATATGCTGATTTCAATAGCTGATTCGTTGGTTAAAAATGGTGACAACATATCTTATCTTATACTTGGGTGATCATGGAGGGACGTAGTGTTACAAACCTGTAGAGTATTGACAATGGACCTATTCTAACCCTGGTCCCACCGAGGTGAGGTGAGGTGAGGTGAGGTGAGGTGAGGTGATGTGATGTGTTACCTGTACTCCGACAGTCTTGATGGGCAAGAGAGTGGCTGTCAGCTGGGCTTTGGCCGTGATGACCTCGAGGCGGTCCTGCTCATGCTGAACCATGCAGTTCTTCACCTTGTTCAGGAGGGAGTGGGGCTGCACACACAACAACATTTGTATTATTATCATATTGGTACTTGTTTGTTTGTTTCTTTGTTAAACACTGCACTTAGCAGCTTTCTGGCCCTAAGGCCGTGGCCTGTGAGAGAGAGAGTGAGTGAGTGAGTGAGTGAGTGGTTGAGTGAGTGAGTGGTTGAGTGAGTGAGTGGTTGAGTGGTTGAGTGAGTGGTTGACTGAGTGGTTGACTGAGTGGTTGAGTGGTTGAGTGAGTGAGTGGTTGAGTGAGTGGTTGAGTGAGTGAGTGGTTGAGTGAGTGACTGAGTGGTTGAGTGAGTGACTGAGTGAGTGGTTGACTGAGTGAGTGAGTGAGTGAGTGGTTGACTGAGTGGTTGACTGAGTGAGTGAGTGGTTGAGTGAGTGAGTGGTTGAGTGAGTGGTTGAGAGCTTGAGTGAGCGATCGAGTGAGCGAGTGTGCGAGCATGGTCTTACACCACTTTTAGCAATATTCCAGGAATATCATGTCAGGGGACACCAGAAATAGGCTTCACACATTGTGCCCATGTAGAGAACCAGTGTGACAAGCAAAAGTTTTAACCATGAGACTACCCCGCCCCTCAACAGTGGGATGTCACACCAGTACAGCATCAGTCTCACGTAGCGATATTTCAGTCATAATACAACATGTCTTGTTTGTTTGTTTCTTTGTTAAACACTGCACTTAGCAACTTTCTGGCCCTAAGGCCGTGGCCTGTGAGTGGTTGAGTGAGTTAGTGGTTGAGTGAGTGAGTGGTTGAGTGAGTGAGTGGTTGAGTGAGTGAGTGATTGAGTGAGTGACTGAGTGGTTGACTGAGTGAGTGACTGAGTGGTTGACTGAGTGAGGGAGTGGTTGACTGAGTGAGTGGTTGACTGAGTGAGTGAGTGGTTGACTGAGTGAGTGAGTGGTTGACTGAGTGGTTGACTGAGTGACTGAGTGAGTGAGTGACTGAGTGAGTGAGTGGTTGATTGAGTGAGTGCTTGAGTGAGTGAGTGGTTGAGTGAGTGGTTGAGAGCTTGAGTGAGCGATCGAGTGAGCGAGTGTGCGAGCATGGTCTTACACCACTTTTAGCAATATTCCAGGAATATCATGTCAGGGGACACCAGAAATAGGCTTCACACATTGTGCCCATGTAGGGAACCAGTGTGACAAGCAAAAGTTTTAACCATGAGACTACCCTGCCCCTCAACATAGGGATGTCACACCAGTACAGCATCAGTCTCACGTAGCGATATTTCAGTCATAATACAACATGTCTTGTTTGTTTGTTGTTTAATGCCTCACTCAGCAATAGGCCTATTCCAGCTATTTAACAACGGCCTGTAAATAATCAGACCAGGTGATCCAGAGACAGATATTGTGAGAAACAATCCCTGTGTTCGGGGAATGATGACTCCCTATCAACCACCGAGCCTCACCACCCACGCTATCAAATCTCCTCTTACGACCAGCATATAACCCCAAATCCCCAGGGGTGAGACATGATAAGTGTAACGATACTTAATATGTGATCTTGATATGCAGAGTAAGAAATTGGCCCCAATGGAAGTGTTAAATCAATAAAGTAAGAAGAAAATGAAAATAACTTGTAAAATGACAGGGATTGATAATTAGCAGTGAGTTTGCAAAAGACAAATGGCATTGGGGCGTTGTCGAGGGTTACTCTGATCACACTATTACCAAATTTGTAAAAGACGTTTGGGACGAAAATCAGGTCAATGTCCAAGAACCCATCTGTAACATCATCCACACTAAAGTGTCATTTATGGTTCATTGTAGCCAGTGGTAGAAACTAACAGTTTCAGTCCATTAGTCCTTATAATGATAACATATAGCGAAAACCCTAAAAATGGCAAATTTCTACTAGTCCTTATGATACCTTCACTATTGGGCAGTTTTCAAGGACTACAGGACCAGTGCCAAATTCTAACGCTATTGTAACATCATGCTGCCTTATTGAATTGATGCAATCTTCACTCACTGTCTTCAGTGCAGTGGCAAAGTCCACGATGATCTTCAGCAGGATGTTGGTTTCAGCGAAGTCCTTCTCCATGTAGGGCTCGTCGGCACATATAACTCGGATGGCTAGCCCTGGTCCTGGAACATCACAAAAGTATTAGTGAGGATGTTTTCACACAGTGGTTAGCAAGATTGAAGTAAGATTCCAGCAAGTGCATGCCAGAAATGTACTTCACTCGTTTCATCTCCGCAAAGGGTAGTAAAACAACAAGATAGATAGTTTGTTTGTTTGTTTGTTGTTTACGCCGCACTCAGCAACCTTCCAGCTATATGACAGTGGTCTGTAAATAATCGAGTCTGGACCAGACAATCCAGTGATTGACATCATGAGCATTGATTCACGCAATTGGGATACGATGACATGTATCAACCAAGTCAGCGAGCCCGACCAGGTGGATCCTGCAACAATATAGTATTCATTACTTCAATCTCATTAAAATCAGATCCTAGTTCTCGCTATCGCTAAACAGAGATCTGAGGACATCCCATTAGGGTCACGTCAGAACGACCTTTCTTCCAACCAATCAGGGCGTCGCTTACCAGATCATGAAAGTGACAGTCGGAATGTGTTTCCTAATCATGAAACCTCAAAAACATCAACACAGGGTATTCCGAACGACAGTTACGACCCGTACGACTCATTCGTCAAAATTATCGTCTATCTCTTGCTTCGGTGGGATTAACATTTGAACGGAGGAGGCATTAAACAGTATGTGGGAAGCACTGCTTTACAATCCCAGCCATATATTAGGCATTCCGGAATGTTCGTTTGTTCAGTTTTCAAAATTTTAATCGAGAACTGTGTCAACATATTTTTCAAACGTAATCTGAAATGGAAGTCGCCAGGATGAAACAACGGGTGTTAAGTTTGTTAAAATGCATGCAGCAGTGATCACATGACAGCCTGACTCACCGGGAAACGGATGTCTGTTGACGAGTTCATCTGGCAATCCAAGGTCTCGACCAATATTTCGCACCTCGTCTTTGTGAAAATCTTTTAAAGGCTCCACTACTCTACCCTGAAATACAACACAAGACACTCACTGATCATGGAGCCATTGTCACACAGCAGACAGCAGTATGGGTGTGGGTGGGGCAGGAGTGGAGGGAGTGGGGGTGGGGTGGGGGTTACACCAAGCATACAAACAGGATATCAAGCACAGTCTTCAGCATGACTCAGTCAATCATGGATGGTGGACACTGTACCTTTTTGGCATGACGATCAATCACATATAAACAGTGGGCTTACCTACGCTACTCAGTCTTAGACCTAGGATACAGATCGGTTCCGTTGAGGAGATATACATCAAAAGAAATCACCTGCATCACTTATTGGCTTGTTGTTTAATGCTTAACACCACATCCAGCAGTATTCCAGCTATATGATAGTGGCCTGTAAACAAGCCTGGACCAGACAATCCAGCGATTGATCACACTGACATCAAGAGCAATCTCCCAAGTCACGTACAACATCATGTAGTCAACAAGTCTCAAGGTCTGATCAACCCAAACCATTTTTGTCTCCTCTGTAGACTCGCATCAGTTGTTGGGGACCTATTCTCTCCCATTGGCAGCGAGGCCCTAGGCATCATTCATGTACAAAGACGATAATAGGTACCTGTTTCCGGAGTTGGCGGACTAGATCAGTATCATTGTGGTGTGTCTTGATAGCATCAGCTTTTCCACTTGCCAGCTCGGAGGCACTCTCAATCAGGTCTGGACGTAAGGTGCCTGAACAAACGACCAGGGGTTAAATAGGATTCCAAACTTGGTGCCCTTGGTAGGTAAATTGACATGAAAAAAAGGAATTATTTCAATTCTTATTTTCTGGACCTGTTTATCAACGAGATACAAGTCACCTCTGCAATGCCAAACGTTAGTTCACATTATAATTAAATAACTTGGAAACTTTTACAGACATATGCTGCAGTCTTACAGCCAGAAAATGGCTTCTGAACAGGATTTCATAATTCCCTGAAACACATACCTTACAATGCCATTAGCATGTTCACGTTTTGGAGTGAGTGAGTGAGTTGGGTTTAACGCCGCTTTTAACAGTATTACAGTTATATCGTGGTGTGTCAGCTTAATGTGGGAGGAAAGCCCGAATTGATGCAGGTCTCAGATGTTTACCACTCCGGTGAAACCCACGAGAACGGGTATGGTGCTGACAAACCTAGAAACATAATCGGGGTGAACCGAGATTCGAACCAACAATCATAGGTTTCTGGCGCGCCCAAGGGACGCAACTCTGCACAGCAAATCGCTGCGCTTTAGACGACTGGGCCACCTGTGCCCCCGTTTAGGTGTGGAGTGAGTGAGTGAGTGAGTGCGTATGGTTTTACGCCGCTTTTAGCAATATTCCAGCAATATCACGGCGGGGGACACCAGAAATGGGCTTCACACATTGTACCCATGTCGGGAATCGAACCCAGGTCTTCGCCGTGACGAGCGAACGCTTTAACCACTAGGCTACCCGACCGCCCCCGTTCAGGTGTGGACGATCAGTTAGGAGCTCTCCCAGCAGTAAACACAATGTGGGCACTTGTTTAGAAAACAGATAAAACACCAAAGAGAAGAATCAATTCTGTGCAAACAAGGACACTGTTAGTAACCTATATATGTGATGTTATTGGACACAGCTAAACAATCTTCCTAAAAAATCACAAAAACAGTTTACCTTGTCCCAAAAACACTTCTTCCGGTTTTAGTTTTAGCTCCTCTATCACCTCGTTAGCTACCTGAAGAATAAAAGGTAAGATTGTTTGTATGTTTGTTGTTTAACACCATACTCAGCAATAGTCCAGCTATATGACGGCGGTCTCTAAATAATCGAGTCTGGACCAGACAATCCAGTGATTAATATCATGAGCATCGATCCACGCAATTGGGATCGATGACATGCATCAAACAAATCAGGGAGCCTGACCACCCGATCCCGTTAGTCGCCTTTTACGACAAGCATAGTCGCCTTTTACGGCAATAGTCCAGCTATATGACGGCGGTCTCTAAATAATCGAGTCTGGGCCAGACAATCCAGTGATTGACATCGTGAGCATCGATCCAAACAATTGGGATAAGATGACATGCATCAGCCAAGTCAGCGAGCCTGACCACCAGATCCCGTTAGTCCCCTCTTTTGACAAGCTAATCGTATATTACGGCAAGCATTTGGAACAGGTCACCCAAACGCAACCAACATTTATGAACGTGGTAACTGATCCCCAAAACAGGGCACCCACACACAACTAACATCTACAAACGTTAGGACTGTTACGATTCACTCGCGCATTCGGTGAATCAAACTGTATCCATTCATGAATTGAATTTATTTATTCGTGGCCACTAGAATGGAATATTTATGAACATGCAATCATGTGCATTTACATAGATTTCTTCAAAAGACAACACTCTAATACTATTTAATTAGACAGTATTGTGGTCACTGGTCATTGTCGCATTTGAGTAGATGCTAGCACCTGGATAAGTGCAGTATAGTAATTTATAATCTATTAATAATTAACAAACCATGTCAAATATTTTGTATTTATCATATAATGGGTAGGTTTCTCGGCAGGATAAAGCCGATGGATAAAACCGATATCCGTTCAGGTCATATGCGGATAGAGATGCAAATATCAAAGGTAAAGTAGGGACTACTTTCAGTGTTTATAAACAAAAATGGCGTCGCCCTTGTCATTCGCCAATCGAGTCAGAATTAACCATCGGGAATCTAGGTAAACTACAGAGATAATTGCTATCATTATCAAAAGAACTGTCTAATGTACTTAAAATCAGTGTCTAACTGTGACGTCGCTAAGGCATCAACTGCTGACTTGTTATTGTATTCTTGAATTAATATTCGTATTCGTTTCCCAATATTCGTGATACAAATTGTATTTGCCTCAAAGCTTATTCGTTGCAGCCCTAATGAACGTGGTAACTGATCTACCTGGAACAGGCCACCACACACAACCAACCTTCATAAAGGTATCTCCAATGATTTTTCGCTTCTCTTCGGGGTTGGTGGTGGTGTTTAGGGTGTTTGTCCGGCGCTTCCGGGAGTTGCAGTTATATTTGTCGATCGGCACTGAGGTAGTTCCATTATAAAATGTGTGTGCAGAGTGAACCACTGACGAAAAGCAAACATGCAGAGAATAACGTATTAGGCTGAAAATATAAAACAATAACTTCTCAAGTACATTAGCATCACATTTTGTTTGTTTGTTTCTTGTTTAACGCCGCACTCAGCAATATTTCAGCTATATGACAGCAGTCTGCAAATGATAAGAATCTGGTACAGACAATCCAGTGATTGACATCATGAGCATCGATCCACTCAATTGGGATGAGATGACATGCATCAACCAAGTCAGCAAGCCTGACCACCCGATCCTGTTAGTCGCCTCTTACGACAAGCATGGGTTGCTGAAGGCCTATTCTACCCCCAGATCTTCACGCGTCCATTAGCATAACAGTGTGGGCAGGCAGTGATGGTTTCATCACTCCAGTTATGCCTCCCTTGACTATCTCTAAAGTTCGAAATGAACAGTGAATATTTTGCAGAAAAATCACTAAATAATAGCTTAAAACACAATCACAAAAGTGAACACACGTTGCATGAAGAAAACCTTAACCAAAAATTTGAAAATTTCAAATTTACAAAAATCACTAAAACCTTATTAAACATGTTAAATGTTAAATGCTAAAAACTGCTAAACAATACAAAAGATATGATCTTCAGCTGATCATGTTGTGTAGGACCAAAAACCAAATGAACCATGCATCATTTACAGATGCAGAAAAAAATGATACATGATGTTTGATTTGGACAAAATAGCTTCAGTAACCATGGTAACTGTCACATGGTAACTGTCACATTGATTCTCCAGCATCAATACAAGCCAACTTTGGAAAACTAAAACATTACCAAGGTATAATAATAACCTGATTTGAGAAATATCTATTCCACATATGGACATGTTTACAAAATTTTGAAGTCAGCCTGAATTGTATATCGGCCAGTAAGTCCCGATAAATCTCAGCAGTTTGTTTCAGAATCTCATATACATTGCACCTCACAGTAACCCCTCTTACCTCGAACTTTGAGGCCCATGCCACTCAGAGACTCTTCGACTTGACGACTTTCGTGTTTGCGCATGAATCCGTTGTCGATGTGTACAGCGATGACCTGGTCGTCCTTCAGGGCCTTGTGGAGCAGGGCGGCACACACGGTGGAGTCCACTCCCCCGCTCAGCAGCATCTACACATGGCAGGGGTGCAGCTTTAAACAGTGCTTCAATTATCAAGTCTTTGATAGGCAATTAGAAGTTGGGAGAACATGAATACATGACACGTTTTTATGGAAAGCAACTTCTTTTATTCATTGTATGACGTTTCAGAGCAACCTCTTGCTCCTTCATCAGGTGATCGCCTAGTGAGTGCATAGAGTACTACATATATATAATAGCAACCTCTTTTAGTCTTTGTATGAAGTTTCAGAGTTACTCACATATAAAGTACTCCAAAATTGAGTGAGTATGGTTTTACGGCGCTTTTAGCAATATTCCAGCAATATTACAACGGGGGACACCAGAAATGGAATGAAATGACAGACTCCCATAACTGCTCTTGATGCCCTGTAGGCACAATAAATATCATTGTGCTTCCCAAGGGATGCTTGGGGCACAGGTGGCCCAGTCGTCTAAGGTGCCGCAATTCGCTGTGCAGAGTTGCGTCCCTTGGGCACGCCAGAAAACTATGATTGTGGGTTCGAATCCCGGTTCGCCCCAATTATGTTTCTAGGTTTGTCAGCACCATACTTGGCTTGTGGGTTTCACTGAAGTGGTAAATGTCTGAGACTTTAATCACTTCGGACTTTCCTCCCACATTAAACTAACACGCCGTGATATAACTGGAATACTGTTAAAAGCAATGTTAAACCCAACTAACTCATTCACTCCGGAGGGATGCATTTTATTATACTTTTGTGCGTTTTATTCTAGGTTTGTGCATATGGGATGCACATTTGTTCCGTAGCATAGAGAACTGCAGCATCTTAGACAGGGCCGTCTGTACCACCACACAGGGAACAACATACAATACAGAATGGACGCAAACAATATCCCTTGCAGGCAAAGGTTGGTTGTTTGTTGTTTAACCCCGAACACCGCAATATTCCAGCTTTATGACAACGGTCTGTAAATAATCAAGTCTGGACCAGACAATCCTGTGATTGAAAACATGAGCATCGATCCACGCAAATGGGATACGATGACATGCATCCACCATGTCAGCGAGCCTGACCACATGGTCCCTTTAGTCGATTCTTACAACAAGCATAGTCACCTTTTACAGCAAGCAGGGCTGCTGAAGACCTATTCTAACCCAGATCTTCACGGGTCACAAGCAAAAGTGTATGGATGGTATTGAAATCTTGAACTTATTAACTGAAGCATATACATTACATTCATGTAACATTTCTGTTCTGGTAAGAAATACAATCAATGCACATCACGTCAGATCTTTTTTATATGTACCAGGGTAAGCAATTCCACTACATCTAAATTCCAGGATAAATTCTTGGTCCCTCTTATTTATGAAGCCATTCAACCAACATTAATTTGTTTTACCAAGAGTGTCATCATCTAAAGGACATTTTATGAAATATATATTCTTTGCGGGCAATGATAAGATTGTTTTGGTCCCTCGGACATTTTACTCACCAGGACTTTGTGTTCTCCCACTGTTTCCTTGATGTAGTCGACACAGGCCTTCTCCCGGCACTTCATGGTGAAGGCTCCGTGGCACTCCACCACATTAAACAGGAAGTTACGCAACATCTGTCGGCCATTTTCTGTCAGGTCAACTTCAGGATGGAACTGGACTCCATACAGCTTCATTTTCTCGTTGGCGATACCTTCAAGAGTGAGTGGGTGAGTTTGGTTTATTGCTACTTTGAACAGTTTTTCAGTTATATTTCGGGGTAGATTTAACAACAAATTTGTATGTATCCAGCAGTGCTTGCTCCTTTTAAAAGATATTGGCCCTTCTACAAACTGGCCTACAACAAAACTTCTCACCCATAAAAGTTTGTTTTTTTCGTGCACTCCTCCATTTGCCTCATTTCATGGTGATTAACGAGTAAATAAAGAAGTTGTTGTACACAACATTACAAAATGGTGGCTGGTTGTCATTTTACCGAGATGAACATACACAGAGAACAGGTAAAATGTTGACTTTCCACTTTACGTTTCGGCAAGCCCTTTGTAATTTTAACTGGCCACGGGCCAATCAACCCCTGAGTCTCCTGTGGTATTTGCATCCAGGAACCCACTAAATTTCAAAATGTTATTGTTTTTACACACGTAATTCAAACACTGAAGTGTAACCTGACTCACCGGCAATGACGCTGCCAGACCGGGCAATAACTTGAAAGCCTTCCGCTGTCTCAGTGAGGCTGTCTCCGTGGGTCAGAAGCACTGACTGCTGCTTCTCCAGGCCCCTGCAAACACATGGACATCAACGACATGAACACCAGCCACATGGATGTCAACAACATCATCCACATGGACATCGACATGAACATCAGGCACATGGACGTCAACAACATGAACACCAGCAACATCAACCACGTCGACATCGACAACATGACTGAGTGAGTGAGTGAGTGAGTTTGGTTTTACATCGCTTTTAGCAATATTCCAGCAATATCACAGCAGGGGACACCAGAAATGGGCTTCACACATTGTACCCATGTCGGGAATCAACCCGGGTCTTCGGCGTGACGAGCGAACGCTTTAACCACTAGGCTACCCGACCGCCCCTCGACAACATGAACACCAGCAACATCAGCTACATGGACATCAACAACATAACACCAGGAACACCAGTCAACAACATAACACAAGGAACATCAGCTACATGGATGTCAACAACACCAGCCACATGAACGTCATCCACATGAACGTCAACAACATCGGCTTCATGGACATCAACAACATGGACATCAAAATCATCAACATGGACATCAACACAGCTACATGAACGTCAACAACATCAGCTACATGGACATCAACAATACCAGCCACATGGACGTCAAAATCATCAACATGGACATCAACAACGTCATCCACATGAATGTCAACATCATCCACATGAACGTCAACAACATCAGCTACATGGACATCAACATCATCCACATGTACATCAACGTCATCCACATCAACCGTTAACGTCATCCACATGAACGTCAACAACATCATCAACATGGACATCAACAATATCATCCACATGTACATCAACGTCATCCACATCAACCGGTAACGTCATGCACATGAACGTCAACAACATCATCAACATGGACATCAACAATATCATCCACATGGACATAAACAAAGTCATCCACAAGAAGGTAACAACATCATCCACATGAACGTCAACAATGTCATTCACATGAACGTCAACAACATCATCAACATCAACAACGTCATCCACAAGAACGTCAACAATGTCATCCACATGAACGTCAACAACATCAGCTACATGGACATCAACAACGTCATCCACGGACACCCTGGACCCACCCTCAGAGCCATGGTTTCAACACTTACTTGAACAAAGGGCACTTTGTTTCAACTGTGATATCAAACTGTCCATCCTCACGAAGATCTGTTTTGGTAACCTTTCCCTTGAATTCCTTATTCAGCATCTGAAACAATTCATCACATTATAATCCAGCTAAACAGGCACATAGTTGGTTCACCTGTGCGAGGAGTAAATACAGTCCATGTTAACACTTTACAGGGTAACTATCAGCTGTATGTACAGTGACTGCGAGGAGTAAATACAGTCCATGTTAACACTTTACAGGGTAACTATCAGCTGTATGTACAGTGACTGCGAGGAGTAAATACAGTCCATGTTAACACTTTACAGGGTAACTATCAGCTGTATGTACAGTGACTGCGAGGAGTAAATACAGTCCATGTTAACACTTTACAGGGTAACTATCAGCTGTATGTACAGTGACTGCGAGGAGTAAATACAGTCCATGTTAACACTTTACAGGGTAACTATCAGCTGTATGTACAGTGACTGCGAGGAGTAATTACAGTCCATGTTAACACTTTACAGGGTAACTATCAGCTGTATGTACAGTGACTGCGAGGAGTAAATACAGTCCATGTTAACACTTTACAGGGTAACTATCAGCTGTATGTACAGTAACTGCGAGGAGTAAATACAGTCCATGTTAACGCTTTACAGGGTAACTATCAGCTGTATGTACAGTAACTGCGAGGAGTAAATACAGTCCATGTTAACGCTTTACAGGGTAACTATCAGCTGTATGTACAGTGACTGCGAGGAGTAAATACAGTCCATGTTAACGCTTTACAGGGTAACTATCAGCTGTATGTACAGTGACTGCGAGGAGTAAATACAGTCCATGTTAACACTTTACAGGGTAACTATCAGCTGTATGTACTTTTGACTGCGAGGAGTAAATACAGTCCATGTTAACACTTTACAGGGTAACTATCAGCTGTATGTACAGTGACTGCGAGGAGTAAATACAGTCCATGTTAACACTTTACAGGGTAACTATCAGCTGTATGTACAGTAACTGCGAGGAGTAAATACAGTCCATGTTAACACTTTACAGGGTAACTATCAGCTGTATGTACAGTGACTGCGAGGAGTAAATACAGTCCATGTTAACGCTTTACAGGGTAACTATCAGCTGTATGTACAGTGACTGCGAGGAGTAAATACAGTCCATGTTAACACTTTACAGGGTAACTATCAGCTGTATGTACAGTGACTGCGAGGAGTAAATACAGTCCATGTTAATGCTTTACAGGGTAACTATCAGCTGTATGTACAGTGACTGCGAGGAGTAAATACAGTCCATGTTAACGCTTTACAGGGTAACTATCAGCTGTATGTACAGTGACTGCGAGGAGTAAATACAGTCCATGTTAACACTTTACAGGGTAACTATCAGCTGTATGTACAGTGACTGCGAGGAGTAAATACAGTCCATGTTAACGCTTTACAGGGTAACTATCAGCTGTATGTACAGTGACTGCGAGGAGTAAATACAGTCCATGTTAACGCTTTACAGGGTAACTATCAGCTGTATGTACAGTGACTGCGAGGAGTAAATACAGTCCATGTTAACGCTTTACAGGGTAACTATCAGCTGTATGTACAGTAACTGCGAGGAGTAAATACAGTCCATGTTAACACTTTACAGGGTAACTATCAGCTGTATGTACAGTAACTGCGAGGAGTAAATACAGTCCATGTTAACACTTTACAGGGTAACTATCAGCTGTATGTACAGTGACTGCGAGGAGTAAATACAGTCCATGTTAACACTTTACAGGGTAACTATCAGCTGTATGTACAGTGACTGCGAGGAGTAAATACAGTCCATGTTAACACTTTACAGGGTAACTATCAGCTGTATGTACAGTGACTGCGAGGAGTAAATACAGTCCATGTTAACACTTTACAGGGTAACTATCAGCTGTATGTACAGTAACTGTATCAAAGTATCGTCACCTGTAGGCCATAGCAGATGCCCAGCACTGGCAGACCAGCATGGAAGATGTCAGGATCGTACCGAGGGGCGTCGTCATCATTCACAGAATTCGGTCCACCAGATATTATGATGGCTCTGAAAAACAACAATCAGGATGCATCAGAAGTTGAAGAATCAGCACAAACCAAGAACTTGCAGGGTCTTGCCAAAAAACTCCCAAACTCCACAATTGACAAATATATAACATTGGTTATAAATATAACTACATGAATTGGGAAATTTAGAATTCCAAATTGGGAATTTGTACTGCAATTGGCACCAGACCTGGGGCTGAATATCAGCCTCTGAGCAGGCATAAATAAATCCCTGATAGATGACCTGTTAGTGATAGTTTTAATGGCGTTTTTTGCAATATTCTCGCCACATCACTGCAAGGAACAAAAGTAGGTTCTACACATGGTAACCATGTGGGGAAGTGAACCCAGGTTTTTGGTGTGACGAGGGAACACTCAAACACTTGGGTACCCTGCAACCAGTGTTATTTGGGGGCCCCAAGTTTATTACTAAGAATAAAAACATCTCATGTTTATATTTGACATAGTCTGCATTGAAATATTTCATAAATAATATTTATCCATTTTTGTCATGTTTGTCAGGGTTCCATAATATTTATAAAGACTCCCAGACAATGTAAGTACACCTTGTATATCATCACCAGAACAACTTCTACTCACTTGTAGCCCTTTTCTTTAATGGAGAATGCTGGAGTATCCAGGGGAAGAATGTCAGATTCTACGTTCAACTCCCGAACTTTTCTGTCGATCACCTGGAACAAAGGTTTGATCTTCATGAAATTTATTTTTTTATGATGCAATTTTCAAGCTACAGTAAACTTTGGTTAAAACGAACTAAACATGCCAAAGGAAACACTGATTTTAGTTCGCAATAACAGGGTTTCAGATGGCCGTCGTTCACCGGTCATAGACCGATAAAATTTCTATTTGACCGATGGTTTGTTTAAGTTGTTGGACTTTTGACCGATAGAAATGCTAAGCAAGCCGTCACACGTGTCATAATTTCATGATTAAATAGTAGGGATTATTCCACTCAGGGTATCGATTTTAATGCCCGATGAAATGCTCTCATAAAGTTTAGTGCCAATCGAGAGAATGTACAGTACACATATTGTCCTGTTTTCGATCCGAGCTTTCAGCATCATATACAGTGAGTGTTCTCTCGCTATTGCGCCCGTCAAACATAGCGCTTACTCGGTTATAGCGGGCGGTAAAGCATGGTCCCAAAATTTACTTATGTTTATAATAAACTCAAGTTTTCCAATGACACGTTGTTTTCCCCCCATCTCAAAAAAACATAATCAACTGATCACCGCGATCACGTAACACCGGAAATACCAGTCAACAAATCCGAACTGAAGTACGCAATTTAATCCTATTATTATAATATCTGGTTATAAAAAGGTGTTCATTGTTTATCTGGACTTATGTTTGCAATATATCTTATAGATTTTATTAAAAAATTTATTCAATAATTATAATAATTTTGGCGAAATCGTATGCGAAGTGATCGGTAGATCGCACAACTCACCGTTATTTACAGCAACAACGGTCAGATTACCGCTATTGACGCCTTGAAACGAACTTTATTTGCAAGAGAATGGATACACATATCATAAATGCCATACCTTGACTCATTTAAAGTCATATTTGAGGCAATTTGACTATTAAATGTCAACATAACACTTTCGCAATTGAAATACATGTAGCGCGGGAAGTCCCTTCGGTGACTGGTCAATTTGTTTAATACGTAAATAATTAGATCTAACAATGTGAAATCTCCGCAAAAACGCTGAAAATCGCGTTTTTTAAAACAGTGGTCCTCGAAAAGAGTCATCTTCCTCGTAAAAATATAATCAAAGATTAAAAAAAATACTCCGAAAATATCGTGTTTCCGGAGAACCGTCGCGGATTGTCCTGTTTTCGATCAGAACTTTCAGCATCAATTATGCCTTTATTATTATTCATGACACAATACTATTATCGTCGGATCATAGGTTTTCGGACATCATACGTTTTCAATCACGAATACTTGCACCATAACGGTAGGTGTCACACAGAAATTATAAATACTCAGATGATGGCTTGATTCTAAGATAAAGTTGTCCTTTATGAATAAGTGAATGAGAAGTTTTACACTTACAGTTGTTCATGTGATCAGCGAGAAAACTATGACTGTTTCTTCAGTGTCCGAAAAACCCATAACCCTGGATATGTGTTGAAATAATGTCATGTTTGCAATGTTTTTTTCAACAAAAGGTAAGTAAGTACAAGGCTATTTAAAAAAAATATATATTTCAACATGGGGAAAGGTCAGACATTGCACGCTTGTGACAGTTGTCCTTGTGTCTGGGGGATGGGGGATGAAGTTGATGGCAGTATTGCTCCCAGACCCGACGGGTAGCCGGGTGTGCGGAAGCTATGCCCGATTTTTTAAAAGTACTGATTTAACTTCGAAATTTTACTGCATCCGGAATCTTTGTTTAAGTGATTTGTTGACTTTTGCCACTGACTTATAACATTTCTTGGGTCCAAGTCATTGACCTGTATACAGCTTTTTGTGTCAAAATCACTGAATAATCGTAGTTCGTTATATCCAGGATTCCATACAAAGTGTCCTTGGACGGCAATTTGGGAAACAATCCTTATTTTGCTCAAATTGGTCAGTGAAATACAGGTCACTTCTATAAAGCCATTACATTAGTTATTCCTACAGAACATTAACTGGTAAATTTGTAATTACAATCTGGGAGTTTTACCGACATTTGCAAACAAGGGGCCATATACCAGCCTCTGAGCAAGTTGGTTGGTTGGTTGGTTGGTTGTTTAACGCCGCACTCAGCAATATTCCAGCTATATGACGGCGGTCTGTAAATAATCGACTCTGGACCAGACAATCCAGTGATTAATATCATGAGCATTGATCCACGCAATTGGGATCCTGACCACCCGATCCCGTTAGTCGCCTTTTACGACAAGCATAGTCACCTTTTACGGCAAATATGGGTTGCTTAAGACCTATTCTACCCCGGAATCTTCACAGGTCCTCTGAGCAAGTCTAGATAAATGCCTGGTAATGTTGTCTCTTATGACTAGCATAGGTTGCTTATGATCTGGAATCACCACAGGACCCTTATGAAATAATTAAATGGGTGAGGATCATGCTATAATATTACACTGTCCAGCCATAGTGGAGTGGTTTGCACTGCTTGCACCAATTGTTGTAACCTGTTATCAACTATGTCCAGATCTTGGACACACTGGACACTTTAATACAAAATGTCTGTCAAACAGTCTCACTTTCCCATACTGTGCTCCTGCATCCAGAATGGCAATCTTCTCCGAAAGATGCACGTCTCCGTTCACATGATTTGCAGTGGACCCATTCATTGTGATGTCTGAAAATACAGCAGATACTTTTAATAGAGTTGAACTAATATTTTAGTCCAGCAGCGTAAGACATTGTCACTGGGCCTCTGGACCAAGACTGGAAGGACCACTTATTTTCTCCCAAAACAAAGTTATGATAACCCCTTGCCCCAAATGAGGGTGCTGAACAAAACAGTCCTGTTCATAATTAGAGAAATCGGTCATTTAAACTGGTTGTTTTCAAAACAGCCACAAAAATGGGAAAACGGACATAAACCCATTGCCAAACCAGCCACAAAAAAGTCATAATGGCCACTGTTAAAAAGTCAAAATAATAAATGAATTTAACAATAAATGACAGCGTTAGAAATTGGCACTCGTCCTGTAGTCCTTGCCTAAATGCTCAATAGTGAAGGTATCATAACGACTCGAAGAAATTTTCCATTTTAAAGGGTTTTGTTAGATGTTATCATAATAAGAACTAGTGGACTAAAACTGTTAGTTTCTACCACCGAACGAAATATCCAATGTGAGCAGGATGTGTACAGAGCACATGTTAGATATTATCACAATGTAATCTCTTCCAGTAGAGTTGATGTGTTGTTTTAAAGGGCCTTGTTCACAAAATGAACATATTTTTCTTGTACTTCTAAAACATGAAAAGTATTCACCAAGTAGATCTAGTTTTATAGCCAAAACAAAAATATTTTCACAAATAAATTCTCTGCGTGGACGCTGACCTTGTTGACACATGGCTGATACATACATTTAATTAAGGAAATTGTGACAGACGATCAGAAAATGTTGCAGTAAAGTATGGTGACTCTCGTACCACAAAAATAGGTTATTAGTCTAAAAATACCACGAAAACAGGTGACCTTCGGAACACTTCATTGCCGATATCAGGTAATTTTTTCGTTTTCATTAATTAAGCAAAAGAAGCTATCAAATGCTTCCTTCATCTGAAATGTTCATGTTAAGAAAGTAGTAAATGCTTGCGAAGGCGATGTGAGAGCGCTGTCATCAATCATCTTGTTGACACTTAATCTGTTTAGATTTGTCGCACGTTGTTTATTTTACAAGTTCGCAAATCGGTCCTGACAGTTACGGAAACGGATAACTGCCCGATCAGCAAGATACATTTACCCAAGGCGTACGTGCAAACGTCGACGTACGACTTGGATCTTCGACTGTGGTCAAGCAATCCACAAAATCAAAACTCACCTGTGATTTCGCCCTCTCTTTCCTTCGAGGACATGCAAGTGAAAATTTCGCGGAAAAGACACATGAAGCCTATTGCGCATGTCCGCCGGGTCGGGGAATTCCGCAAGGTTCCGGTTATTGTTATATGCTACTTTCCTCAGACAGATTAGACATAACAGTTTCCTAGGATAAAAATGGAAACGCCTTTTGATGCCTTTTCAAACAAATGCAGTGCAAGGTATTTTGAAAGTAGTTTCTGTCACTTTTGAAATTATTGTTATTTATTAGTGAGGCTTATTTTACACATATGACACGGAGAGCCGAAAATCTGAACAATATTGGGTGAGTTAGGTTTAACGTACGCTCCTCTGAAAAGCTGAATGTGGGAGGAAAGCCCGAAGTGATGCAGGTATCAGACGTTTACCACGGGAACGTTGCTGACAAACGTACAAATATAATCGGGGAGAAGCGGGACTCGAACTTTCAATCATAGGTTTCTGGCGTGCCCAAGGGACGCAACTCTGCACAGCTAATTGCGGTGCCTTAGACGACTGGGCCACCCGTTCCTCAATAATGGACAGTATTTTGATAAACAATGACATCTTTTATAAGCTTTTATGTTTTTCAAGTGCTAAAAAAATATATATTTACCAAGACCGTTAAGTAAAAACTGTTCCCGGCAAACCACTGGTCGATATGTGAAGTCCGGTGATCCACAATCAGTCGTCACAGTTAACGGAGAGACTGTGGTCGCCCAACAGTGCAATAAACCAGTCTCACTTAGGTTCTGAAGACGACCAATACCCCTAAAGATCCGGGGTAGAATAGATCTTCACCAACCCATGCTTGCTGTAAAAGGCGACTATGTTTGTCATAAGAGGCGGCTAACGGGATCAGGTGGTGAGGCTCGCTGACTTGGTTGATGCATGTCATCGTATCCCAATTGTGTGGACCGATGCTCATGATGTCAATCACTGGATTGTCTGGTCCCGACTCGATTATTTACCGACTAGCGTCCTATAGCTGGAACATTGCTGGGTGGCGTTAAACGACAAATTTAAGGCGACCAGACAAGCCCAACTCGTCGTCCCAGCAATATGTGGGTTTAAGTCATTCTGGTCGCGGGCAAACTAATGTTTTGTCTGTCAAACTAAGAAATAACGATTTCCCTAACTATACGCAGAAAATGTGTGTTTTCCATTTCTAATTAAAATGTCTCGCCTGAAAGGCACACATGTAACAAATGTTATTTTGGGGATAATTAGTTTCTTGGTAAAGTCTGTTTGTTTGTTTATTGGCAACATTCCAGCTATATGACAGTGGTCTTTATATAATTAGATCTGGACCAGACAATCCAGTGATTGATATCATGAGCATCGATCTTCGCAATTGGGATATGATGACATGCATTAACCAAGTCAGTAGCCTAATCACCCGATCCCGTTAGTCGCCTCTTACGACAAGCATAATCGCCTTTTACGGCAAGCATGGGTTGCTGAAGATCTATTCTACCCCTATCTTCGCAGGTCTCTTGGTAAAGTACAAATTCTTGTACTTTTTCACACAGTTACTTTAAAAAAATGTGTGTGACTAGGTCAGGAGAACATACTGTTTAACTGTAACTGAGATTAATGTATAGTCAGTCCCCCAAGAAAGTTATAGTCATAAGACTCAGAGCTCCAGATAAGCTTTTGGTGTTGTGGGTATTTTACCCATGCATTTTTAAATCACTGCGTATCAGCTATTCTATCTGGGTATTCAAATTTCTGTTACCCACTAGTTTTTACACATGTGGGTATTTAAGTTAAATATTTAAAAACACTATTCATCTAGTCCCTGCAAACTGGTGTTGTGTGGGTTCGAGAGCTTTATAGGACTCAAAAATACCACGATACTTCCACAAGAAAGTGTGATGGCAAATGATCATGATGTAACTGTCATCGTGGAGTTTGGCAAGGTTGACGGAATGCCCGTTTATAATTTCAAAATAAGTTGCTGATTTGCCAATCGAATACGCAGGGTTACTTCACAATATTATATATATATAGAATGGAGATATAACACACTAGAAAATCAAAGATCAGGCTAAAATGGCACCAATATTGCCTGGCCAAAATCGTCAAAAAAGAAGTACATAAAATCATGCAATACTTACCTCACATTTCGAAACTTTATTATAGCAGACGCACAACATACAAAATACCATTTGGTCAGGTCCTGGTTCCGTTTCGTCAGGCAGCATCTCTTTAAACGAATTTTGTGCTTTTTGTATGGGTGGATTCCGTGGAGTGCTAATGCTGGAATATTGTTGGCATTGCTAACTCAATCTCGTCAACAGACGGTATATATTTTGATAGATATGTAAGGATATAATAGTTGTAAGGATATCATGATTTTGAGAATTTTGTAACCGAATTCCTCCCAAAATCAAATATTAATACACCTAGACATAATTAAGTACTTTCCTTATACTATATATATCATATGTTACAATGATAATTGAAAAACAAATTTGTTGCTATGGTCTTCGTATGACGGCTGTAGCAACGGTCGCCATCTTGGTTGTCACTTTTCCATTTCCTGTTCTGCAAATGTTGACAGAAGCAAAGGAGAAGATAATCTGAATTAAGCCTGGTCTCATATCTTCTGACAGTGGAACTGACAGGTGGGTCATTAATAAGATAGACATGACATGTGTAAGTGTTCGATCTCGGCAACCGTTAATTCGGATTTCGTTGGAAACGGGCACCTGCTAAACGTTAAACAATGTTGCTAGCGGATCTTTAAGTATTTTACGTTTAAGAAAGGATCCTTTATCCTCTTGTGCGATCTAAGCTTCAAGAATCTATTAGCTAAGTTTTAAAAATGTGTTCTGTTCGGCTGACACATAAGCTAAGAGAATAATATGACATGAGAGTGTAAAATTTATAAATTCACAAACTCGTTATTACCAATTAAAATACCGTTACGTCAATGAAATAAGGAATAAGTTATCAAAAATGTCTTTAAGGCCTCCAATTTTTTATTTTTCGTGTCACAGGCCCACCGAACCAACTTAAAAGCAGCCAGTCACGAAATAAATTAAACAAAATAATATTTATTTTTATTATGTCTCCCATGGTACTGTATATCCCCATATACTCTTATACAATGAAACATGTTATATATAAATTCCATGTCTTCATCACTATCAGTGATTCAAGGAGCAAGATGGCAGTTTTAACTCCACTGCAGAATGGCTTTCATATAAATGAATAAATGATTGACATAGCTATTTGTTTTTATTCATTTCGACAGACCTTGGGTGGAAAAGCTGGAATAAATTAAACATAATAATATTTATTTTTATTATGTCTCCCATGGTACTGTATATCCCCTTATACTCTTGTACAATATAACATGTTATATATAAATTCCATCTCTTCATCACTATTAGACTAAAATCTAGTCTCTGAAATGAACATATCGTACATAAAAAAAACAGTTGTTCAGTTATCTTAATAAAAACATAATAAAAAAGAGCCCAGTGACTCTCTTCATTTTCCTGACACTGCAGTGATCTAGACTTGCCAAACATTATAGACTTGCATGGGCTGTATTTGATATATATTTGTATCAGGGTCTGTAAGACAGACTACATCACTATCAGTGATTCAAGAAGCCAGGTAGCAGTTTTAACTCCACTGCAAAGTGGCTTTCATATAAATGAATAAATGATTGACATAGCTTTTGTTTTATTCATTTCGACCGACCTTGGGTGGAAAAACTGGAATAAATCCTTAAAACATAAAATTAAAAAGGCGTGGCCTAAAAGAAAAATGTTAGAATGAGACTAAGCAGGTAATACAGAAAATCCACCCAAAATTAGTTATGTTTTTATTCATAATCGGTTGCAAATTTCTTGCAAGAAAAACATTCTGTCATGAATTAGAAAATGATTGTTTGATGTAATTGATAAAAAAAAGCTTTCATGATAGAAAACAGATGAGTCATCAAAATAAATAAAATATAAAATGAAAGTTGACCAACCAACTCATTTTTTTATATTAACCTAATTGATTACATGTGGCTGAAGCACTTAAGTTGAGGTTGGTTGGTTGGTTTGTTGTTTAACGCCGCACTCAGCAATATTCCAGCTATATGACGGCGGTCTGTAAATAATCTAGTCTGGACCAGACAATCCAGTGATTAATGTCATGAGCATCGATCCACGCAATTGGGATATGATGACATGCATCAACCAAGTCAGCGAGCCTGACCACCCGATCCCGTTAGTCGCCTTTTACGACAAGCATAGTCGCCTTTTACGGCAAGCATGGGTTGCTGAAGACCTATTCTACCCCGAAATCTTCAAGGGTCCTTAAGTTGAGGAATCAGTTTCCATGAAAGAAATATGGGTCATGCCTACAAAGAAGTTCATGAATGTTTCATGTTTCATGGACGAGGATGAATAACTGCCTTGAAATCCTGCAAAAGTTATATAAATTTCAGTGAACAAGGTTTTTGTAGACATAGAGATAGATTTGAGGAGACATTAATTGCAACCACACAATCTAATACCGTATTTGACGTAATAAGCGCCCAGGTCGCTCTCAAAATTAGAAATAGGGAGCTTTTAGTAAAATATTATTTTGGTGAAAAAAACAGAGTTGAAAGATAAATTTCATGGTTTATGCTGACAGCCTGAAATGTTAATGTACGACATATATTTCTTCCAGAATTTAATTGCCAATAATAAAGGGTGCATATATCACTAGAGTGCGTATTATACGAAAATAGGGGAAGGAAGCGATGCGTATTATATGCAAATGGGGGTCGGAAGGGGTGCTAATTGGGATTTTTCACTAGCCAATATATCAGCAAATCTTGCCGTAGGCGCTTATTACGTCGAATACAGTACATATTATTTCACCTGTAAGAAATGTAAATTACAGGAAATATCATTTTAATTTTGGTAACTCATTAACACAATTGCATTAGTAAGAGCGTATTAAAGGTTTTCTACCATTTTTCAGAATTATTTAAGTACATGTAGTATTCTCTCTCCCCACCCACCCACATTTGAAAATAATTTAATAAAATTATGAGCCGCAATCATCCCCAAAATATGTTTTTTATACATTTTGTTTTTATTACATACTGTATGTAGGGTCGACCACTTATCGTAGTGTTTACTTCATGCTAAGCATTCAATGTTAACCCCAAGGCACTCCCCCCTACTCACACACAGTTAACCCCAAGGCACTCCCCCTACTCACACACAGTTAACCCCAAGGCACTCCCCCCTACTCACACACAGTTAACCCCAAGGCACTCCCCCCTACTCACACACAGTTAACCCCAAGGCACTCCCCCCTACTCACACACAGTTAACCCCAAGGCACTCCCCCCTACTCACACACAGTTAACCCCAAGGCACTCCCCGCTACTCACACACAGTTAACCCCAAGGCACTCCCCGCTACTCACACACAGTTAACCCCAAGGCACTCCCCCCTACTCACACACAGACACCTGTATTTAATCGTGGCCTCCTCTGAACAGTGACATGAACAACCATCAACCAGTCAATCATCTGTCAGCTTTATTGTGTTTGTTGTTTAACACACTCTCAGCGACATTCCAGCTATATGACTGTGGTCTGTATATAATTAGATCTGGACCAGACAATCCAGTGATTGACATCATGAGCATCGATCTTCGCAATTGGGATATGAGGACATGCATCAACCAAGTCAGCGAGCCTGACCACCCGATCCTGTTAGTCGCCTTTAGGGCAAGCATGGGTTGCTGATGACCTATTCTAGATAACCCGGGTCTTCTCGGGGATGTTCAATTGTAGTGTGTTTGGAGTATCAAGGATGATTATTTTGGTGCTTTGTCTCACAGATACATCAACATGGCCGACTTGGGAACTGACATGATTACTAAACGTCCTCGGACTGCGCGGGACCAGTACACAGTCCTGACAGAAACACAGATCAAAAATATAAAACAGGTAAGTAAAATATCACTTCATTATAGCATAGTGAGTGAGTTGGGTTTAACGCCACTTTTAACAGTATTCCAGTTACATCACGGCGTGTCAGCGTAATGTGGGAGGAAAGCCCGAAATGATGCAGGTCTCAGAAGTTTACCACTTCGGTGAAACCCATGAGCACGTGTATGGTGCTGACAAATCTAGAAACATAATCGGGGCAAACCAGGATTTGGACCCACATTCATAGGTTTCTGGCGTGCCCAAGGCACATAACTCTGCACAGCGAATCATGGAGCCTTAGTCTACTGGGCCACCCGTACTATTATATCATAGTAATTTTACTTCACATTTTCATTTAGTGCCATGGTTTCAGGTTAAAGTGACAGGAAAGATGAGCAGTAGAAGAACTCAAACATGACATGTACTAAAAGATTTGTGTACAGGACTGTTCATTCAACAATGTATGTCCCTCTCTCACACATTTAATGAGAGGGAACAGTCAGTTAGAAAAACTTGTCCCCCAATCCTGTTCACTTCTTGTGAATATATATGCATTAACAACTGTGTAGTTTATGGGTGCAAGTTAAAATTTGCAATGTTTTGACTTATAAAATAACATTTTCAGAACCCAACAGCATTTTTCCACACTAACAAAGCATCGGATCAACACACCCGAAACTGGGACCCCAACAAGCGGTATGTGATTGACAGGACGGCCACCAGCACCAACCAGCATCTGTACCGGGGGATGAGCCTGTCCCACCCCGTGTGTTGGATCGGGGAGAAGTACAACCGCTTCCCCCCTGCAGACCACAACACCGCACGTCTGGGGGCGTCACTACGGTGGGGGCCGGAGAAAACGGGTAAATATTACTAGCACAAACAGGAGAGATGAGAATGGCCTGGACTTTTTTGAAAACAGGAAATTTAGTTTGATTAAAACAGACCGACGTTTCTACCGTGAAGATCTCCTGCCTGGAGTACAGCATTCAACCAGTCACATGACTTGAACCCGTTGATCTGGTTCACCTTTCATTTAGAAAATGTTTTTTTTAAAAACATTTTTGACCTGAATGGCTGCAGAATTATGGCGTTTGAATTGAAATTTTCAATATAATATTGTGAAATGTTTAGTTATCATTGGAGGTGTGCTGTGTTACTGACCCAAGTCAAGTATTTGTGTTTGCCCTGGATCTTTGCCCTGGTTTGATTCCTCACGTGAAATCGGCATAAAACCAAACTATAAAACAAGTTAGAGAGTCTGCATTACTTGACATCGCCGCATCACTTTGGGATTTCCTCAAACATCTAGCTGACAAGCCGCAATGTTATTGTAATACTGTTCAATGCAACGTTAAACCCTACTCACTCACTCACTCACTCACTCACTCACTCAACCACTCAACCACTCAACCACTCAACCACTCACTCAACCACTCACTCAACCACTCTCACTCACTCACTCAACCACTCACTCGCTCGCTCGCGCGACTTCATGCTTTCTGCTCCCCATCAAGTTGACATGCTGTGATATACTGTAAATCTTGAAAAAACATGAGCGTGAATGTCTCCAAAATGACTATCAACAATAAGACGGCCTCACTGCACACTTTGGATAGCGGAAATACCAACTTGAATATATACACAAACAATGTCAATTAAAGAATAGGAATTATACAATAGGCATCCGGTGAGTTATCACTGCTGGGGCCAAGAGTTCTTCCCACTCGTGTCAAAGTAGGCATCATTGACCACTCCAGTCAGTGAACTGTTGTTGGTTCAATTATTTTATTGCCTTTGAACTTCCTTAATGCCTGTCAGCAGAATAAACATATAAACTGTGTGTTGTTTTTAGGGAAACACTGTTTATTGTTATTACGGAAGTGCTTTACACAGTGCTAATAAGCAGTGCTATTTGTGTTTGATTGGATTAAGGTAAGGATATGTATCATTCCACTGGGGATGGGGTGGGGGAGTCGAGTTGATTTTGAGTCACATTTTTGGCCTGGGGTCAACAGTCGTATTAATTTCGAGACGCATTAATTTCCACGTTAAACGTTAAATTCAACACAATTTTTAGACAGCTATGTGTGCATGGATGCAATATAATATATCTGCATGGCCATAACAGCTGCTGTGACAACATTAGTCAGGCCAGGCCAGGTGGTAATATAATAAATGTACAACATGTATGGCCAATAATGTTACACACTTTAACTGAAGTGTACAAAATTGAGGGATAAAAGTCACATTGTTCTTCATGGTTTAGAATTTTATTCAAGTTAAGATAGTTCATTTTGTCGTATTATATTACTCCTAATTCATGTTGGTTTGTAGGAGGATACATTTTTAGTATTATATGAGAAATTGTTGCTAGAGTAGAAAATACAGATTCATATTATCCTTACTGCTTTTCAGTATTTTACTTTTCCCCAGTTGCTAGACTCATCATAAGAGTATTCAGTTGTTTGTTTGTTTGTTTGTTTGTTGTTTAACGCCGCACTCAGCAATATTCCAGCTATATGACGGCCGTCTGTAAATAATCGAGTCTGGACCAGACAATCCAGTGATTGACATTATGAGCATCGATCCGCGCAATTGGGATCGATGACATGCATTAACCAAGTCAGCGAGCCTGACCACCCGATGCCGTTAGTCGCCTTTTACGGCAAGCATAGTCGCCTTTTACGGCAAGCAGGGGTTGCTGAAGACCTATTCTACCCCGGAATCTTCACGGATAGCATTTTAAGTAAAAGTGCTTTTTCTTTCTTTCTTTTTGTTCTTTTTTCTCTCATCCTTTTACAAGCTAGGTGGTTTAGTTGTGGTCATCTTCCTGAGGCAAGTGAGTTAACTGACTTTAAAAGTCCAGTTTCCACCCTTGCCGAACTAGGCTGGAATTCCTGGGCTCGATCGTAGCGCCACCAGTGGCTATTATGAGTTATGTCCTTTCTATGCCTCTCCTATTGACCAATCAGATTCAACCTCTCGTATCACTTGCATTTGCTTCAAACAAAACGGTGGCGCCAGTCAAGACGACTTGATCGATAATCAAGATCTATATTGTGATAAAACGAGTCTTACATCGCGAAGTGCATCAAATTACGTGAGCACCTTGATTAAAAACATGAAAAGATTTAGAAAATATCTTTTGACAACGAGTTAGCGGTGCACATGCTTTGCAAATCCTGCAGTCGACCGAAATCTGCATGACACTTTCTGAACCGGATTGTGATTTCGGTGCGCGATTTTGATTGGACTATGCATAGACTCGTTAGTCCAGCCATAATGTAACTCCATAATACCAGCCTAGTTCGGCAAGGGTGGAAACTGGACTTTTATAGTCAGTTAACTCACCTGCAATCGTACAACTGTATGGGAAACATGGTTGTTTATTTTTTCATGGCTATCATTTCAGTAAACCTACACAAACCCCTGGATCCATTCCCGTCGTTCTCTCGATCTCAAATTATCTGCCCTTGACCTTCATGATCAAATATGATCCGCTGCTACTCAGTCTAACGGACCAATCTGAATGCGAGTTGCGAACCAGCCCAAAGTTTGGTTGACGATATCAAGAACATGGCGGCCAGTTCCAGTGACAATGAGACCCATGAAGATCCGGGGTAGAATAGGTCTTCAGCAACCCATGTTTGACGTAAAAGTTCTAACCCAGAATCCCCAGACACAGTTATTTACAGGCTGATGTCATTTAATTATGTTGAAACCATCATGTTAAAATTATGTTCAGCTGATTACATGTCCAGGTAATTATTCAAATATATTTCCAGGGTCAAGGACGTTTTCACATTTTGATGGTGAGAACTCGCAGCGCTTTGTGAAGATAGATATGTACAAGCGTCCCCCAACAAACCAGCCAGGCCAAGTCATCATGAGTCACGGGCGACCGGGGGATGGGTACTACTCACAACGAAACCCAAGTAAGAGCATCAGGGTGAAAAATACTGAACAATTAGTGTGAGGGATTCTTAATATATTGAGGGATATTTACTAAAATTGTATCTCAGTCTTTGAATAATAAATAAATCCCCCCAAATATTTTTTATCACTGATAGGGGGCACGGGTGGTCCAGTCATCTAAGGCGCCACGATTTGCTGTGCAGAGTTGCGTCCCTTGGGCACGCCAGAAACCTATGATTGTGGGTTCGAATCCTGGTTAGCCACAATTATGTTTCTAGGTTTGTCAGCACCATACCCGTGCTCGTGGGTTTCACCGAAGTGGTAAACGTCTGAGACCTGCATCACTTCGGGCTTTCCTCCCTGATAACTGGAATACTCTTAAAAGCGGCGTTAAACCAAACTCACTCACTCACTATTATCCCTAATCTTTTTGTTAAACATATAGAGAATCTCACCATCAAGTGTTTTGATATAAAATATATCAACATGAGTCAATAAAAGTTTAAAAGTTAGAGCTTGACGAGGAGTTTTAGACTTGTGTCAACCAGTGTTGACATATGTGATGTCCAAAGACATGAGATGAGGTGAGATTCTATTTTTCATCCAAATTATTGTTCCAACTTTTTCGTTTTTAAACAGTTAAAGCCATGTCTTGACTGTAAAAACTACAGCTGACCAGCTTCAGTGGCTTCTGTCGTCATGGTAACATCATATAGCACCATCACAGGGGTCTGTAAAGCATTGTGATGCACATTGATTGTAGTGATATCTCCTAGGAGAATCTCCTGTGGAAGCTAGCTTGGGATGATAATAATTTAATTCTTTTAAACCAATGTTTGAAACTATTAAAATGGAAAGTGGAAATCCTAGTTTTTCAGTTGTTTACCTGCATTCAAAAACTGAAGTGGGTGAGTGTTGTTTTACGCCGCTTTTAGCAATATTCCAGCAATATCACAGCGGGGGACACCAGAAATGGGCTTCACACATTGTACCCATGTCGGGAATCGAACCCGGGTCTTAGGCGTGACAAGCAAACGCTTTAACCACTAGACTACCAGACCACCCTAAAGACTGAAGACTTATTTGGCATGTACAATAACTGCATGATACTTTAGACTTCACGTGACCTCTGCCACCTTCCCACTACTCTTGTGTACGTCACATGCACGGCCGGATGGGGGATGGGGGGGTGTAACCCCCTTATTGAAGCACACTAAAAACTGATGCTTGTTAAAATTTGATAGGTGACACTAGTCTATACTTAAAGAGGGGCGGTCAGGTAGCCTAGTGGTTCAAGCGTTAGCTAGTCAAGCCGAAGATCCGGGTTCGATTCCCGACATGGGTTCAATGTGTGAAGCCCATTTCTGGTGTCCCCCGCCGTGATATTGCTGGAAAATTGCTAAAAGCGGCATAAAACCATAGTCACTCACTATACTTAAATAATGCATAACAACACAATAACTGATTTGATGATATATTTTCAACAAAATTACACAATTACTGAATACAAATTGCCAAATTTTAAAATGCAGCACTCCTTCCTTGTACGATGATGGTAAACTTTGTGTTGCAGACATGACCACATGGTTTGGAGCCAGTTTTCCGTTGAACCACAACGTCATTCTTGAGGACATTCAGCCGAAAACATACGCGGACTACGAGATGATTCGCCAGCACAAACAGGCTCACATTTCTCGCAGGATAAACCAGTGGCCGGACTTCTCCGAATACACAGACAAATTTGCCCTGTCAACGAAAACAGAACCAAAGATCACCTCGTAAGATTTTATTTCCTGTTTGCCTGGTCGGAACGAGTAATTAGGTCAGCTGTTTCCTTCCTAAAGTCTGTATTTAACCACATGGTGGAGGTGACAGGAAGGGTGCTAGTGTTGTATCCATGTTGGGATTTGAACACAAACTTAGGCCAGATGAGCCAGCACTTGAACCATCATGCTACCCCCACCAATCTATTGGAGGCTTTTCCCTTCTATGTTGCACAACCAGACACCAAAGGGTGAATTTTTTTGTTTGTTTGATGTTTAACACCGCACTCAGATTACTAATGATTGATGTAGATAAATATATTTATATTTGATAATCTAATGTGTCACACATTATTACTTGGCAATGAAAAGTTGCCTGAAGCTCCAAACTAGCAGAAGATGAATGTAGGTCAGTGAGGTGTCTGACTGAATATCTTGTTTTGCCATGGTCAGCAGTATTACAGCTGTATCTTGGCAGCCGGTTATGATTAAGTCAGGCTTAACACATCAGTGGTTGACAGAGGGAGCAGGACTCACTGTCAGCCAAGTCACGTATTGTAACCATCTAATCGGCATGCGTCACCACTTGTCCCTTTGGTAACCTGCAAAAAGACTCGACTGCGAAAATTCGACAAACCAATCTGAATGCTTATATGACTTCAAGTTCCTCGGTTAAAGAATCCCTTAGGAATAATGTTAATTTTACATATGTCTTGCATCTTAAAATATACCCAAGATACATTTAAATGTGTTCAATCATACCGTATAATACTTACTAAGTCCCTATGTGTTTCAATAGCATCTGGAATATAAATGACATATGGGGGAAATATATGAGAATTATTACGCAATGAGATGACAATTGTTCAAGCTATGCCTGTTAGCGCTTAGACAGAACCCAGTCGCAAAAATGGCCATGAGAGGGGCACGAGTCGCTATTCGGCTTGTCCCGGAATAACACGAGTTGGTCACGAATGGAGCCACTGGTTTTTGAGATTTGATATGGGGAAAGATATTTGGTGTAAGTTATTTAAATTATGTGTAATTCATTTTTCAGATTGGAGCAAAGAAAGAGATATGTTTTACAAGCATGAGAGGGTAGTTCAACATTAACAGAGACCAAAGCTGTCCACTAGCATTACGGAACCACCGTCTAGATGTGGCAGATTGTGTAGGCCCCGAGATATTACCCATACACCAGTGTCTTCATTCTTGGTAGAGTAGAGTGAAAATATGACTGCAAAGGCCTTCTGGGCCCACTTGTACAAAGCGATCTTAGCGCTACGACTATCGTAAGCCTATGTTAAAGTATGGGAGTTACGATCATCTTAGCGCTACGATCGTTTTGTGCAAGTGGGCCCAGCTGATCTTGTGTGGCTAGAACATTTTACTGCCTCAATGTCTCAATCTATTTGTATGACCGTTTCCGGTAACTGTAGCTGGTTTAGATTTTGGAGGTCAAAGCTGTTTGTATTACTAAGCTGTTTAAGGTTCTTAAGGCCTCATGCTTGACTTCTTGAATTATCAGATTTCCATCCAAACCCACCTGATGATATTCTGAAGGTTGGGCATATTTTTTGAAATATTGACGACAGTCAAGACTGATTTCTATGACTTGATAAAGGCCAATGGCGCCAACAATGAAATATTGTTTGGTGGGAATTTTTCAGATCGAATCTATCCAAGGATTGCTTTTTCCTAGTCAGGGCTTGTATTCAAGAACTGGAACATTTACTTGTAGGCTTAGTAGAATATTTTTTGGACAAGTTTTTGTATCCTAAATGTAACTTAAATCTGTTTGAGTTGAAATGATTTAAGACTGTCGAAACAAATCAGCTTTAACATATTTTCTGTCTCAATGTGATGATATTTTTGAATATTTTTAAGCTCCCAGTATTTATTGCACCAAAGCCAAAAGTATGGTATTGTGATCATGTGTCAAAGAGTCTCAGTATTTTAGATGTGTTTAATCATAAGATACTATATTTGCAAGTATATGGCATGTAAGAGAGGAGACGTCCTTGTACATACAGCATGGAATCATGTGGAACCAAACCGGTATCTTATGGAACCAGCTGCCGGAACTAACATGGAATTGTACGGAACCAAAATGGAATCATACAGAACTGACATGGAATCTTATGGAACCATGACAGAAATGTAGGGAACCACCATGTAAAGTATATGGAACCAAAATGGAATCATACAGAACTGACATGGAATCTTATGGAACCATGACAGGAAATGTATGGAACCAACATGGGATCATACAGAACTGACATGGAATCTTATGGAACCAGCACAGAAATGTATGGAACCAAAATGGAACCATGCAGAACTGACATGGAATCTTATGGAACCAGCACAGGAATGTATGGAACCAACATGGGATCATTCAGAACTAACACAGAACCATGGAGCCAATCTTTTCTCAGTGCACTGGCAAGATTACCCTGGTTTCGTGATCCGTAATGTTGTCGATTTTGGATTTACACCGTGTGAATGCTGCTACATTTATTGCAGAACAGAAGAGATATGTTCAACAAGTATATTATAGTTGTATATAATGTATATTGTACATAGGTTCAAGGATCAACTGAATGGAAATGATGTATATTTTGTTTATTTGAAATAAATCATAGAAACAATCGTGTAGTTTGGTCCAAGTATTTGAAGCATGGATATTGTCAGGAAAAGTTCTCAAGCAGATAGTTCAGCAATTCCTTTAAATATGGTTTATGTGAACCAGGAAGATTATTGCCAATCTCATTTAAATCAGATCTTCTTTCTATCGCTAAACAAAGATCTGAGGACATCCCATTACGGGTCACATCAGAACGACCTTTCATCAGGCCAATCAAAGGGTCCCTTACCAGATCATGAAAGTGACAGTCGGAATGTGTTTTTCTAATCATGCAACTTCAAAAACGTTAACACGGGGTATTCCGAACAACAGTTACGGCCCGTACAACTGATTCGGTCAAAATTATCGTCTGTCTCTTGCTTCCGAGGGATAAACATTTGAACGGAGGAGGCGTTGCACAGTACTTTGGGAGCACTGCCATACAATCGCAACCATATATTAGACATTCCGGAATGTTCGTTTGTTCAGTTTCCAAACTTAAATCAAGAACAATGTCCACATATTTTTCAAAATAGTCTGAAATGGAAGTTGCCAGGTTGAAATGAGTGCCGTAAAGTTCGAGAAAGCTGTTTTCTAATTGGCTGATGTCGACTTCTTGTTAGTCGTTTCAGTGGTCGGTCAAAGTTCACGAAAGGTAATTCTGACGTGACCCATAATGGGATGTCCTCAGATCTTTAACGACAGCGAGAACTTAGATGTGATTGGATTATTGCCCATTTATAATGAGATAGCGATGTAGCGATATGTGTGTTTGTGTGTGTGTGCACGTGTGTTGGTACTTGTACCAGTTTGGAAAAATGCTGTTTTTAAAGTGCTAGCCCACTGAGATACCATGCCGCGGTTTAACATGAATACCCCACTGAGACACAACATACTGACTCCGAGCCGACCAGTCCTTGTTTTCACCTCTTAATGCTGAGCGCCAGGCAGGGTAACAACAACTACCATCTTTCAACACCTTTTGGTATGATGCACCTGGTGATTGAACCACCAACCATCGACTCTTTGGTCAGACACTCTATCCAATACACCACAGAGGTGGTAGGAAGAGTGAGTGAGATGGGTTTGATGAGGAAAGTCCACAAGCAAACACACAAAGGATTCTGGAACTGCACAGTGACTCAACACTACACAGTGAATTGGACTCCTTAGATTGGGCCACCTATCCCCATGTGATCTATGATTTGGTCGGTTGGTTGGTTTGTTGTTTAACGCTGCACTCAGCAATATTCCAGCTATATGATGGCGGTCTGAAAATCATTGAGTCTGGACCAGACAATCCAGTGATTGATATCATGAGCATCGATCCATGCAATTGGGATCGATGACATGCATCAACCAAGTCAGCGAGTCTGACCACCCGATCCCGTTAGTCGCCTTTTACGACAAGCATAGTCGCCTTTTACGGCAAGCATGATGTGATCTATGAAGGTGACAAGTCATCACTGAATCATAGTGAGAAGTAGAGTCAATATTTCTGACCAATCAGAATGCAGGATTTCCAAACACATCACGGTGTATGGATTCTAAAACACACTGCTGCGATGCATAAAACACACAAGACTTGATGTTCAATTATCAACATGTTTATACAGAGATATTTACAAATGTACAATGATTAACATTAAAATGAGAAACTGTACAATTAAAACAACCTTAGAGACACATGACAGATCAAAATAAGGATCATGAACACAGAGAGTCCTCATGACATGTCCATCCTGGACTTCGGGGTAATGGATGGACTATCTCGTCCTCGTTAACACTGCCGAACCTCTTCCACTCTTGTAAAACCTCTCACTTCAAACAGTTAAAAGTTCTTGAGTTCTTGAAAGAGTATGTGACACTTTTATTATGGATAGCCACTTCTTTTCTTTGTCACAACGTCTCCAAGCCACTCCTTGTTCTTCATCAGATGAATGCTTATACGTTGTGATAAGGAATAAAAGAAGTGGCTAGCCATAAAAAAGTGTCATGTATTCATTCTCCCCAACTTCTAAATGCATATCAAAGACTTCTTGAAAGAGGCCACACTGTCTGAGACAGATACACATGCGTTCTGAAATAAACCTCAAAATGTCTATCTGTCGGTTATTGGTCTGTCGGTCTTGATTGTCCACACCATCGTGTGACATCCCACGTTACACACCCCTGGAGCGGGGAGGCTGCGGTACATCTCTGTCGTGTTTGTGTCAAGGTAAGATTGTATCGGATTCACTCATGCTGGGATGTTTACTGAATCTACATGGCACCTTGTAACAAGTCTGGAACAATGATTAAACAATAAAATTGACTTTGCTGCACCGGAGTAACAGAAGGTGAAGGGGTTTCATGTCGTGTCCAACATGGGATGAACTGTTGACAGATACTGACAGCTACAAGAGCACCATCCATCAGTTTCCAAGGTCCTAGCACATTCACAGACATTTATCTTCAAATTGGTGATCATTCAGCAACACCGAGACAGAAAAAATAACAAAGTTAAAATTACAGATTAAAAAACACTAGGAAGAAAAGAGGTCAACATTGAAAACATGTTTCAACTTTGGTTAAAAAAACAAAAAACAAAACTTAGATCCATCCCAGTGGGAATAGATTGAGGGTCTGTTACTTCCTGGTACCTGCAACATAGCATTGTTAGAGAAATAACGTAAATCTCTATCGGATGAAGTCGGTGTTCTGCCTTGGAATAAATGAACCCATGAGACCAGATCCCCCTCATTGGGCTCATAACAGTTGACGAGTCCCCCCCCCCCCAAACCTCCAGAATATCCCGTAGCTTATGATCAACAGCCATTCCAAACATTTAAGTTTTTAAAAAAATGTTACACCACCAGTCATACAGCATGTGCAGTGTCCTGACATACTGACTTGGACAAGCCTTAAAACAATAACAAATCTGGGTCCGACGTCTGCAAAGAGCAACTGATATTTTATGTAAATGGTAAGAGTTGTATTACTAAAACACTTGATGCAGATAATATGGAGATTGCTGCCCTGGTTTAGTACAAGTGAACTATTTCAAATGCACATTTGCCCTTTTTGTTAAAAGAAAACTTTTTCAAATAAGTGAAACAAATGATGAAGCACCACACATCCATGTCCAACATTTGCGCCAAAACCAACATCTGTCAGGGGCCCAAAGGGAGATAACCCAGATTTCAAAACACATTGAGAGACCGGAGTTATCCCCCCTCAGTTGAACCAAACCCTTTCCTAGTCTCAGCTCATTTGTATGCCATTTTTCTCTGTCACTAATACAACTATCTTCAATAACCAAGAGTATTATCTTCTCAAAAACAAAAACAATGAGCATCTTACAGAAAAATATTAAAGCAACTTTCAATTTTAAGTTTAATCACTTTCATTAGAAGCATTTGACAACAATAGCTGGTGATTGAGTTGAAAGTCATCTTAAGAAGTATTTCATTGTCATGCTTAATGTCGCAGGAAGGCCCAAGTGACACTGATCAAAGACTTTTACAAATCGGTGAGGCCGAAAAAGGATCAGTATGGGACTGAGACTGAGCCAACAATCACCGGATCCTGGCTTGATGAAGCAGTGGGACCGAGACTGAGCCAACAATCACCGGATCCTGGCTTGATGAAGCAGTGGGACTGAGACTGAGCCAACAATCACCGGATCCTGGCTTGATGAAGCAGTGGGACTGAGACTGAGCCAACAATCACCGGATCCTGGCTTGATGAAGCAGTGGGACTGAGACTGAGCCAACAATCACCGGATCCTGGCTTGAAGAAGCAGTGGGACTGAGACTGAGCCAACAATCACTGGATCCTGGCTTGAAGAAGCAGTGGGACTGAGACTGAGCCAACAATCACCGGATCCTGGCTTGAAGAAGCAGTGGGACTGGGACTGAGCCAACAATCACCGGATCCTGGCTTGATGAAGCAGTGGGACTGAGACTGAGCCAACAATCACTGGATCCTGGCTTGATGAAGCAGTGGGACCGAGACTGAGCCAACAATCACCGGATCCTGGCTTGATGAAGCAGTGAACTCCGCATAGACAGTTGTAGTGCCACGGCCAAGTGGGCCAACCGTCCTCCACAAACATACTGCTACAATGCAACTGTCCACATGCAACACACACCACATCCCAAATAAATGATGTTTGTAACCCTGCCCACTTGGAGTTTTATAACTGGAATACTATCCTAAAATCTAATGAGAATCAGTCTCTACATATCAAGGTGACGCAACACAAACACTGCCAGGAACCAGTCGACAGATTTGTTTGTTATCCTCACAGCAGGGGAAGAGATGTCCCTGTGGAGAGATAGGGCAAAATATGTGCATAATAAAAATCAAACACTATACAGTCATCAGTCAGCAACAATTGTATGTGTCTCAGAACATGAAAATATCAACATATGACAAACATTTGATCTGTGATCTGCTGCCGTTTCACTTTTAGACTACGTAACTGCACTCATCTTATGAGCTGTGAAAGTGTCTTAAATAGATAAGTTAGATAACTCACTGATGTTCTAGCACTAGATACAACTGAGTTTGGAGTGTATATGGGAGGATACAGAGACAAATAAATAATGTAGTTCTCGCTACCGCTAAACAAAGATCTGAGGACATCCCATTACAGGTCACGTCAGACCGACCTTGCGCGAACTCTAACCGACCAATGGAATGACCAATACGAAGGCAGCTTTCTCATGCTTTACGGCACTAATTTCAAATTGGCGACTGTGCTTCGAAACATATTTTGACAAATTCTCGATTACAAATTTGAAACCTGAATAAAAGAACATTCTGGAATGACTAATAGATGGTCTAGATTGTATGGATTCAGTTGTTACCGTAACTATTGTTCAGAATATCCCATGTTAATGTTTTCGAGGTTGTATGATTAGAAATCACATTCCGACTGTTACTTTCATGATCTGGTAAGTGACGCTCTGATTGGTCGGATGAAAGGTCGTTCTGACATGACCCCTAATGGGATGTCTTCAGATCTTTGTTTAGCGGTAGCGAGAACTAAGGTCTGATTATAAAGAGATTGTGCACCACTGTCCTCAGCGTGACAGCATGAGTAGTGAGACACTGGAATAAAACAGGACTAGTCGTGCCAGGCTGTCTCAAGAAACCTGTATCTTGGGCTGGCTAAAAAGGTTGATAATCTGAATTATCATTGATGGGAATAACTATTAACGATTATCGATATGAAATTGTTGTCATCGATAATAACTTACATAAACTCTTGTGATGAAATAAAGTTTAGATTTACTTAAACAGACTTGTTATTGTGAATAATGTCCATTGTCGAAGATGGAAAGCAACAGTTTTTGTTATATCACAAATGTCCACAAAACAATCTATGTGTAAATTTGTCACCTCTCACCAGTGGTGCGAGATATGTTGATTTCTTTTGGGTCTTTCTGCATACCTGCTTAAAGTTACTTCTCGGATATTTAACTTAAAAAAAGAACTGGTGATATTCATATAAGTACATTTTTAGATCAAAATCAGCTTGTCTGTTACCATCAGGGTTTCCCCTTGTCTATTTCTACGTTAAATATCCATTTGTAGCGACCTCGTCTGGAAATATTAAAAAAAGAGAGAAAATTGTGACTGAAGTTTGTGTGAATGACGTATAGATCTAACTAAGTTACTTCAGAGATGACATCTTTGCACTGAACATGATGTTGAATGAATTAAAACCAAATAATTTTCATACATTTTTTATATTTGTTGAAAGTTGGGACTGGCAAAAATTAGGGCGGACTGGTAATTTTTAGAGTTTCCAGTCCACAAGGACTGGTAGTTTCAAAAGCCAGTGGAAACACTGCAGGTGGGTATTAAGAGAATTAACATTATTCTAACTTAAAATAATTTCAGTACGCCAACTTTCAGTACAGTGTAAAAAGCAAACTGTTGCTTCCTTGTGTAGTTAGAAATAAAAAAACTTTGCATGAACACAAATGAAATGAACACATACACCATGGTGCAGGTAAAACAGTGGAAAAGAACCTCTTATGTATGTACAAGGTACTGGCTAAAAATGTTAAAACATTAACAACATTTTGAAAATTGCTCAGTCGTCAGTATGTAAATTCAACATGAAATATTAACATGAAAACTTCAACTAAAGCCATGTGCCTGGCCATTAGGCTGGAACATCCTGGTAACCATGACGCTCCCACAAACAAACAGCACTCATACAACAATCCACCTCTGTGCTGACAATAGGCAGCAAGCAGGAGTCCTGTATCCATGACAACAGTGACCTTGCACTCCCTGGAATTGACAGAAGGAAAGACGGCCAAATGGGGTCATTATTGCTTAGTTTTATGTGATAACATCAAATGTTTTTCCTGACAAGAAAAGTATATTGATTTGATGTTTGGATGACATATTTGATATTGTGTCGCCTAAGAACCATAATGTCCCATCTCCACTTTTACAAGTTTTGAGAAAAGGATATTTTAAAATTTGTTTTTAAAAGTGTTGTATATTAACTTAAAAAAACAATATGCATTTATTTCACATGAAACAAACAAATAAATACATATCAATTGATAGTTTTTAAAGCAAAAGTAACAATCCATCCATTTACAGATCAATGTTATTTTTATGTAAGAATACGAAGCAAGTTCGGACTTTTAGTTTCACATCCATACTGTTCTATCTCCATTTTTAATTCATTTAGCATCTTCTGATTATTCCTGACCAAAGTTTTCACAAAGAGGAGAGACCACATACTGGAGACAGCTTATTGTACAAAGTCATCAACTTTGTATTCTGTATCAGATCACTACATTCACTCCCAATGTTCACATTCTACAGTTGATAAATGATAACCAAATAGTTCTCTCTCCAAATGATTTGGAAGTATGTGGTCAGCGTTAGAAATTGGTACTAGTCCTGTAGCCCTTACCAAACTGCCCAATGGTAAAGGTATCCCAAGGACTAGTAGAAATGGGCCCATTTTAAGGGTTTTGCTATATGTTATCATTATAAGGACTAGTGGACAAAAACTGTTAGTTTCTAACCCTGATGTGGTTCCATCTCCTTGTCACATGATCTGTCACATGATCAGTGTCAAGGATTTGATTGGACTCATGGACACTGACATGGACATAGAACAGTCTGGTTCTAAGTAACGTGTGAGTTTTTGTACATAAAATCACTGAAAACTACTTTCCAGCAAGAGGGGATTCATGGAATTTACAACAATGTTAGGAGTGAGTGAGTGAGGTTTTACGCAGCTTTTAGCAATATTCCAGCAATATCACGGCAGGGGACACCAGAAATGGGCTTCACACATTGTACCCGTGTTGGGAATCGAACCCGGGTTTTTGGCTTGACGTGCGAACGCTTTAACCACTAGGCTACCCGACCGCCCAAAACAATGTTAGGAAAGCACCCACATGGAAAGAAAATGCAAAAACATCATTATTGGTCAAATGCGAACATAGGACCCTCTGGTTCTCAGGCGACGATTGATCTACAGGAACCATGTCCTGACTGCCAAAGTAAACTGATGACACAATACCGACAGTGCACCATCTTAGCAGCCAGAGCAAAAAGAACTGAATATGCTCAATCAACAACTTCCTTTGTTTTGACCAGAAACAATATTCATTGTTTTGGAACTGTATTAAACAACAGCTTGTTTAAAATTCCGCCATCTCAGCATCTGTCAAAACCGATACCGGCAATCCTACCATGGAATCTCTACAACTGTCTTGCGTATATTAAACTCTGGGAGTTGAACCAGGCACAGTGTGATGGCGCCTGGCCACCCAATAGCACTAGCAGCAGATGAAAACATAATTACACTTGTTCACAGAAACCCACCATAACTATTAATACTAACTAATATGTTAAAATAATAATAATAGGCCATTTATAGTGCGCATATTTCCACACCACTCAGAGGCATGCTCAAAGCGCTGTTATTACTCCGGTTACTGAATAAGTGTTCACTCAAGAATCATTCTCAGCTCCCTGGGGAGGATACAGCCCAAGCTGGTAGAAGGGTAACAACCACATTGCAATCTCATCCTACTGGGTACCCATTCACTGCTGGGTGAACAGAGGCACATTTCGTACAAAGTCACTTGCCCAAGGAGATGCCACGTGTGTTACATGTGCTTCAGTGTGGACTGACTGGCGTAACTTCACCTGATTTGTGACCTGTGCGCTATGCACAGGACGTGCCACCAAGTGGAGGTTCCAAATATTCCTGGTTTGTTCTAAGTTTCTGCATTCTTGGAGACATCCGCAGACCGTCATCTTCCCGAGGCAAGTGAGTTAACTGACTATAAAAGTCCAGTTTCCACCCTTGCCGAACTAGGCTGGTATTATGGAGTTACATTTTGGCTGGACTAATGAGTTTATGCATAGTCCAATCAAAATCGCGCACCGAAATCGCAATCCGGTTCGTAAAGTGTCATGCAGATTTCGGTCGACTGCAGAATTTGCAAAGCATGTGCACCGCTAGCTCGTTGTCAACAGATATTTTCTAAATCTTGTCATGTTTTTAATCAAGGTGCTCATGTGATTTGATGCATTTCGCGATGTAAGACTCGTTTTATCACAATATAGATCTTGATTATCGATCAGATCGTCTTGACTGGGCGCCACCGTTTTGTTTGAAACAAATGCAAGTGATACGAGAGGTGGAATCTAATTGGTCCATAGGAGAGGCATAGAAGGAACATAACTCGTAATAGCCACTTGTGGTGCTACGATCGAGCCCAGGAATATCAGCCTAGTTCGGCAAGGGTGGAAACTGGACTTTTAAAGTCAGTTAACACCCTTGCCTCAGGAAGATGGTACACCGTAGAACATTGACAACCTTCAATTGTTTAGAATGGGTAGTTGTGTACACGATGCGAAAATCCATGTAGAAAATGTGTACAGGTTAATAATGTATTAGGAAAGAATGAACATGCTGCAACCCTAAATGAACCCCACACTAAATAGTGTTCTTCTGTCACTCATTCATCCATTGAAAGTACAAAAATAGATTGGACTGAATAATGATATAATAGTGTGATACATCTTTCCACCTCTAGCTAGACCGTCGTTTGGTCTCTTGACGTCGTATCAACATAGACTGGCTCCAAATTGAACGCAGGCAAGAAAAAATCATTTCAAAACCTACTAAGGAGAATAGCAGGCACTGACAAACTCCCCAGAAGCAAACTACAGACATCGTCCTGCGGGTGAGTAGGTATTTGTTATGTTCCACATTTTGCATAATTAGAACCACTTGATATAATGCTGAGAAGAATGAGTTATCCCCCCTTACCACCTCTGCGTAGTGTCAGCGTGAAGTCAAAATGAAGAGGCAAAATAGGATAATTCAGTTAAATTTTCCTGATTAACTAACCAATCACGAACTAATATGAGCATGATCACGATGATACAGGAAAAGATTCGGTGAATATGTTAAATAACTGAATGGAATGTTTGAGTTACGATGAACAGCATGTGTCCTAGCATCAATATTACCACTGATTGTCACTATGTAATTATTACACTACAATGCAAGGCAAACAAGACTAGAAAATGCATCACTTCAACTGCAGCACAGCAAGGCTTGGGGCATCCATCCATCACATATGCTTTTCTCACATTGCCATGGAAACTCAAAATGCCCCACAGAATCAAACTATCCATGCATTCATATCACTTCAATTCATTTCTTTCATTAAATCAAACGTCAATCAGTGAAATAAAAGATCCCCTTGAACCTGAAGCAAATAAAAAGAATAAATCGTGTTTTCTTTCATCTAAAATCTGTCCCCTTGTTCTGATTCTCCACTGCCCTATAACCTGGGTGAGACCAGGTTCGTGGAGTGGTTGAACAACTTGGCACACTGGTCAGCAGAGGGTTGCTTGCTCTCTCCGTAATATGAAACATTAAAATCTGTGACTTAAGTAAAACAATGAAATGAACCAATGCTGTTTTCATGTGGACGAAGATCAGTGATCATTTCTTCTTTCTTTCTTCTTGACAACGGGGGCAATACCACTTCCCCTTCGGCTTGGTGGTCAGTCCAACACAGGCAAAGTGGAACCACTCAATGGGGCACTGCAACAGAATAGACTCGGTTTTACAATGAAGCAACTTTAACAAGTGGAACCACTCAATGGGGCACTGCAACAGAATTGACTCGGTTTTACAAGGATCAGCAACCTAAACAAGTGGAACCACTCAATGGGGCACTGCAACTCATTCCGACTGTCACTTTCATGATCTGGTAAGTGACGCTCTGATTGGTTGGTTGAAAGGTTGTTCTGACGTGACCCTTCATGGGATGTCCTCAGATCTTTGTTTAGCGATAGCGAGAATTAAGATCAGATTTTTATGAGATTGGATTGGGCAGTCAAAGTGCGCTCATGGTCCTCCTGACATGACCTTCAAGGAATGGCTTGTCAGACCTTCCTGGACAGAGGTATCGACAGTGAGTAGGCGAGTGAGTTTGGTTTAACGCCACTTTTAACATTATTCCAGTTATATCACGGCATGTCAGCTTATTGTGGGAGGAAAGCCCGAAGTGATGCAGGTCTCAGATGTTTACCACCTCAGTGAAACCCACAAGCACGGGTATGGTGCTGACAAACCTACAAACATAATTAGGGCGAACCGGGATTCGAACCCAGAATCATAGGTTTCTGGCGTGCCCAAGGGACGCAGTGAATTGCAGCGCCTTAAACGACTGGGCCACCTGGGTATCGACAGTAAACATCTGATTTTAAAGACATATTCAAACACATGCTGTTAATATGACAATCTACTCCACCCCTAAAGTAAACAGAGTATTTGGGACGGATTCTGCCTCAGAACTCTCAGGCCACAAAAGTGAGTGAGTGAGTGAGTTTGGTTTAACACCGATTTTAACAGTATTCCAGTTATATCGCGGCGTGTCAGCTTAATGTGGGAGGAAAGCCTGAAGTGATGCAGGTCTCAGACGTTTATCACTTAGGTGAAACCCACGAGCTCGGGGAAGGTGCTGACAAACCTAGAAACATAATCGGGGCGAACCGGGATTCGAACCCAGAATCATAGGTTTCTGGCGTGCCCAAGGGACGCAACTCTGCACAGCGAATCGCGGTGCATTAGACGACTGGGCCACCCGTGCCCCCCAGGCCACAATAACCCACCGGCATCAGTCCCTACAAAACACACAGTGGTCTACTCACATCAGCGTTGTCACATCCAATCATCTCTCCGTACGACACCTGGTGACACAGGCAGTACGTGGGCTCGTTGGGGTCGACAGGCATGTCCAGGACGTCGGACGGGTGGGTGATCGATGGGAACGGAGGGAGTGGAGGATCTGCTTCAACTGGCCTGAAATCAAAACAAATCACACACCATAAATATAGTTCCTTGTCTTGTCAATGTTTGTTACAACTATCAAAATGATGGTCTTTAGGTTATAGCACTAAATAGTTCTAAATATGAATCCCAGAGCAACATCCTTTTATTAAACTTGAAAATAAATTCCACGACACTTCTCCCATGTGTCAAAGGTTGCCTCCCCTTAGCATGACCATTTTTCTGAATGTATATGTTAATGTATCATACATGTTTTTCTCTCAAACAAATGATCTTACAATAACTGTCCCTTCTTCTTTTTCTTCTTAGGAATTTCATCCTCAAACTCTTCCTTCTTCTTCCTCTTCTTTTCTTTGTCCTTGTCTGAAAACAATATCTTTATATAAAAAGTTGCTCTCTTCAACATGATCATCAACAAGAAATACCATATTCGACATAATAAGCACTCAGGGCGCTCTCAAAATTAGAAATAGGGGGCTCTTATTAGAATATTATTTTGGTGAAAAAAACAGAGTTTCGTGGTTTATGCTGACAGCCTGAAATGTTTATATACGTCAGATATATGTTTCCAGAATTTATTCGCCTATAATTAAGGGTGCATATAACACACAAGTGCATATTATACGCGAATAAATAAGTCTTGTGTACATTGATCAATTGGAGTGAGTGAGTGAGTGAGTTGGGTTTAACGCCGCTTTTAACAATATTCCAGTTATATCGCGGCGTGTCAGCTTAATGTGGGAGGAAAGCCCGAAGTGATGCAGGTCTCAGACGTTTACCACTTCGGTGAAACCCACGAGCACGGGTATGGTGCTGACAAACCTAGAAACATAATTGGGGCGAACCGGGATTCGAACCCACAATCATAGGTTTCTGGCGTGCCCGAGGGACGCAACTCTGCACAGGGAATCGCGGCGCCTTAGACGACTGGGCCACCCGTGCCCCCTTGATCAATTGGAAGGGGTGCTAATATAGCCAATATATTAGCAAATATCGCCGTGGGCGCTTATTACATCAAATACGGTAATGACAAACCTTACAGAAACTGGACTACAGGCCTCAAAGTTTTTCCATGTAGCTTGTATATGACTACAAGTATTTTTTTTCAGGAAGCCACTGGTAAAATCCAGAAGTCAAGCCAAAAGTGTATGAAGCCAAAAACATTTGTAATTATATTATTATATTAAATAACTAAATATAATATGTACAAGTCATAGCAATGGTCTTGGAATTGTATATTAGTGGAACTGTACTTGATTTTTGTTATTTGTAACTCGAGCAATGGTGCAATTTGTCACTACATTATATAGGTACATCCTTGCTTATCCAATGAGCTTTGTCAACTGAATATAAAATACTAATTACATTAATATTTATATATTTCTGGAGGAATTATTCGCAAGTACAATTATTAGGAGACAATGTTTTCCACAATCAGCTGTTATTTAATTTTGTGTCCACATACCAGTATGTGAAGCAATAGAATATATTCGACACAAGACATTTTTCAAGGTAGTCATTTGGCGACCTCTGAATTTTAGACAGTAGACAAACTGAAATTTAGGTCACATTGGCGACCGTTTTAGTCGCAGCTTTGAGTGAGTGAGTGAGTGAGTGAGTGAGTGAGTGAGTGGAGAACTGAACCAGGGTCTTCGGCGTGACGAGCGAATGCTTTAACCACTAGGCTACCCGACCGCCCCTGAGCATGTTGAGGCCTGAACTAAGCTATTTACTGACATCTACAGACCTCCCACTTACTTCTACTGATAATTGACAGCACAGCAATACATGAACAACAATCTACACTGTCACGTCATCCACAAGATACACACTAAGCCCCGGTATACACTATAACCAAATTGCTATGAAATTTTACTGACGTCAAACACCAGCATCATGGGATTAGCATCGGCCTACTTTTCTTGCCCATGTCATGATCATGGCCTCGTGAGCTGGATGATGTCTTGTCCTTCAGATCTGCTTCGAATCTGGCCAGGTCAGCGTCCAGCTTCCTGATGTGCTTGTCCACCTACAAGACAGTCAGATGTCACAGGTAACAATCCTGAGTATTCAGCCACAAGCATACTTCAGGTCAAACAAAGAAAAGCATCTGTTAAACTGCCATGTGCTATGCTATGAACAACAATCACAAGGACAACAGTGTTCGCGTTAACGAAGAAACCTGCGTTTTTCACACATTAAAGTCATATAAACACACACAAAATATTTTGCATGCATGTTTGGCACGCACAGATTGTGATATACTTCATTTTGTATTAATACCATAAAATAAAAAACTATTCAAAGCTGATAGCCTGCTTACGATGTTCAGACAAAATAAATCAAAACCTGGAAATTCCCATTGCTAAAAATAAACTGTGGCCAGATGGCGCTTTTAATCGCTTATATTTCCATATATGGTCTTTGGGCAACGGAATAACTAATCTCAGACACAGGACATAATTCGTTACTATCGATGGAATTCCCCGTAAGTCGTTCGTTTCATCCAATCAGAGCCCAGCTTACAAGTAATAGTCGGTAATACAAACGATCATAAACAGAGCGACAGAAGAAAACTTCCACACCTGGGCATGTGCTAACAACAGTCATATTTATTTTATTAATGATGGAACATTCATTATATCAAAACTGGACCATAAGTTAAAGCTTGGTCATAATTATTAGCTGTACTAGTACAGATTTTATTGAAATAAAAACTTCACACGCGAAATATTTGAATTGAAAATTTATTATTTTATTTCTGCATGCACTGTACAAAAACCTACCGGGACCACTGGGACAAGCAACCCCTCACCCACTTTTTGTCCATCATAAAATATGTAAGAGTCACATTCAGAGGTAGTCCCCATACAAACCCTGAGAAAATACATCAGATCCTATCTACAGTACTTTCTACATTTCCATAAAATTAAGATCTGCTGCTCCTTTCTAATTTCTATTTGACAGAGCTTCCAATAACTTTTTAAGCAACTGAGTTTTTACTCTAGGTTTTCATTTTAATTGGGTTATTACATTTTTCATTGGGTAACCAATATTTTTTCACTCATCTATTCATCACTCTTTTGGGTTTTTCCTAAAATTAGTGAACATTTTAGGATTTAAAAAAATGAAATAATGTTTTTGATGTATATAACTGTTCTAAATATATAGGCTTTACTAAATTAGCTTGTACTATTGTTTCAGAAAATAGCTCCTTTGTACGCATGCTGGAAAAGCTTCATTGGGTATTTACGAGTGTTGTTTTTATACATTTGAGTTTTTCATTGCATGCGTTTTTGCACGCAAGTTAATTGAAAGTAATAGGGTTTTGAATATTTGGGGGGGGGGGGGGGGGGGGGGGTATTTTACGCAAATACGCTGCTTATCTGTAGCTCTGACTTAAAAGCAATTCTTTCATTTCGGAGACTAAATGAAAGTCTACTTCAGACAAGATTCAGACAGTGACCAGGGTTAGAACTTGACACTAGCCCACTAGCCCAGGGCTAGTACAAATTCTTGTGGGTGAGTAAACATTTTCACATTTCCCGGGAGTGTTTTAACATTACAAGGGCATTTATCTTCCCCCGGGCTAGTATTAGTAAAGCTTTTGAGTTTAGTTCTAACCCTGCAGTGACATAATACCATTTCATAGGTCTGCATGGCCAGCTGGACCTTGTCGTCCCCGAACTCCTTGCTCTTGGAGAACAGCTTGGTGATGCTGTCCAGATGGTCCGTCCTCCTCTCAGGCACCATCCCCCGAACATTGTCCAGGTACTCTTCCGCCAGCTGGTCAATCTGCTTCAGTAGCTCTGTAACCATGGCAACAAGAAGTCCAATGTATGAAAACTGAAAGCACATTGGCAACCCAAGTCACTTTGTCTAATAAGTAATGTACCTCGGATTCAAACTGAAATCCCCATGGCAGACAAATTGGGGAAAAAATAAGAATTTTTTAAGGATTGATATTTTCTTGAAATTCCTTATTTTCTTAACATGTTTAAATTTAGGGGTATTTAATCAGGCTAATATTCCAGTCAATGCCAAAAAAAAGAGAGTCAAACTGCACATTATACGATCTTCTTGTGTACTGGTCCTCTGAAAGCCATGTCTTTAGTTATTAAGTAAGTAAGTAAGTGAGTATGGTTTTACGCCGCTTTTAGCAATATTCCAGCAATATGACGGTGGGGGACACCAGAAATGTGCTTCACACATTGTACCCATGTCGGGAATCGAACCTGGGTCTTCGGCGTGACGAGCGAACGCTTTAACCACTAGGCTACCCGACCGCCCCGGGTTCAAATTCCCACATGGGCACAATGTGGGAAGCCCATCTCTGGTGTCCCCAGACGTGATATTGCTGGAATATAGCTAAATAAACCCCAAAACTCACACTCTCACTCACTACAAAAATGCGACTTGTTAAATCCATAATTCTATTATTTTTTTAAATTGTTCCTGATATTTGCTTTAGACTTCAGCCAACTATCACCCTCTGGGTAATTCTAGATAAATCCCTGCTAATGTTAATGGTATCCTGGTCAGTGTTTGACAATATGCAAATGATGATAGAGACAACATACAAGGATACCATTAAACATTTTCAACATCAGACAAGTGACGAGGGCTAGCGGTCTATTGCTAAGCTGTAACCATGGAAAGCCTGAAGAATTTTGTTAGCACTGGCAGAGTGAGCCTCCTCCGCGGGCAAATAAACATGTTGACTCATCATATTGATTTTCTAATGCAGTGTACACAGTCGTTTTGTTGTTGGGATCCTGAGTCACGTCACTATCAGCCCCCCTGGATTCATGGAGGCTTCAGAACTAAGCGCCCTGACAGGCATGTTGAGAAAAAATGGTTATTTTATTTTGGGGGTTAAAGGTAATATTTTCCTAAATTCAATGGCATTTTAACATCATTTTTGAAAATTGAATTCAAAGTTATAATGTAAAACTTAGCATTTACAGCGATAGAAACTAACAGTTTTAGTCCACTAGTCCTCATAATGATAACAGAGCGAAACACTTAAAAAGGGAAAAAGTTCTACTAGTCCTTATGATACCTTAACTATTGGGCAGTTTGGCAAGGCCCATAGGACTCGTGCCAATTTCTAAAGCTGATTTAAACTTCTTCCTCTTAATTGGTCCTGAACATGTCACCTCTACAAAGCCATATTATATATCATAACTTTACTAATGGTATCAACATGATTAACTTGAAGACTTGGGGTCCAATATGCCCCGCAGAATCAGTCTAGATAGTCCCTGGTACCACCGCCTCTGATATACTCAGTGTATGACAACAAGAGTCACCCTGCAGTCTCTGTCCGTGACTTTATCCACTAGTCAGAAGAATCAGTCTAGATAGTCCCTGGTACCACCACCTCTGATATACTCAGTGTATGACAACAAGAGTCACCCTTCAGTCTCTGTCTGTGACTTTATCCACTAGTCAGAAGAATCAGTCTAGATAGTCCCTGGTACCACCACCTCTGATATACTCAGTGTATGACAACAAGAGTCACCTTGCAGTCTCTGTCTGTGACTTTATCCACTAGTCAGAAGAATCAGTCTAGATAGTCCCTGGTACCACCACCTCTGATATACTCAGTGTATGACAACAAGAGTCACCCTGCAGTCTCTGTCTGTGACTTTATCCATGAGTCAGAAGAATCAGTGTGTGAGTGAGTTGGGTTTAACGCCGCTTTTAACAGTATTCCAGTTATATCACGGCATGTCAGCTAAATGTGGGAGGAAAGCCCGAAGTGATGCAGGTCTCAGACGTTTACCACTTCGGTGAAACCCACGAGCACGGGTATGCTGCTGACAAACCTAGAAACATAATCGGGGCGAACAGGGATATTCGAACCCACAATCATAGGTTTCTGGCATGCCCAAGGGATGCAACTCTGCACAGCGAATCACGGCGCCTTAGACGACTGGGCCACCCGTGCCCCCTTACACCTAATTAGCAAAATTTGGTTCAGGGTTAGAAATTTCTTGACTAAAAAGCCAACGACAAATGGCAAAATACTTAATGTAGGGAATAATCTAAGGCTTCAAACTAAGGGACCTTGGCAAGCAAATTAGGAATATATTATTATCTTGTCCCAAATTTGGAAGGTTTTTTTTTAAAGTCTTATTTTCTTAAACTCAAGAGTGTCTATAAAAAAAACATTTACCATTGCTGGGCCTGTTATCAGTGAAATACAAGTCACATACTTTCTTGTGTCCAACAGGACTCGCAGTTTAAATTATTTTCGTCCATTCACAATTTGTACCGGTATGTGTAGAGGATTCAACCTTTTGCTGCTGCTATAAAGCCCTCAGGGCATGCTGAGGGCACACTTAAAAAACACATTCGTTTCATAAAAATATATTTTGACAATTGTTATTGTGTGAAGTCAGTGATAAGTATTTTTTCACATAAATACTAGGGCTGCAACGAATACACTATGCATGCTATGAGGCGGACACGATTAGTATCATGAATATAGGGTAATGAATACCAATATTAATTCACGAAATACAATAACAAGTCAGCAGTTGATGTATTATTTGTTATATTCAGTGAGGCAATAACAACATAAATTGTTTGACATGGTATCTGCTCAAATGTGACAATGACCAGTGACCACAATACTGTCAAATTAAATAGTATAAGAGTGTTGTCTTTTGAAGAAATCTATGCATAAAATATGTAATACGGGTATTTTTTATGTAAATGCACATGCTTGCATGTGGACACGAATAACGAATTCAATTCATGAACATGATGAATGGATATGGTTTGATTCACCGAATACGCGAGTGAATCGTAACAGCCCTAATAAATACACTACAACCTATTCGGGCTGGGACGATACACCAACTGTGCAATCCGATACGTATCATGATACCTTACTCACGATTCTATGTGTATCACGATACTTGCATGTGCTCTTATCTGTTGTGAATAAGCCATCTTTTTCATAGACAGGATGGCCAAATACCTGGCACACTGATGATTTACAGTTGGCAGTGTCAGGTTACTGATATGGCGCAACAACTGAAAATATGTATGTTTTCGCTATTAACTAGCACTAGTAATTAGTGTTTAGTGGAACAGTTATTAAAGCAAACATTTGAGGTCAGAATCAATCATTTTTACATAGTGCGTGACTGTGATCGATTGCAATCCACAGATGCATCAGGTTATCGTCCCACCATGACAACATGTGTACAACCCATGGAAAATGATGAATATATGACAGTGTTCTGTTGAGGCAGCGGTCTTGCAGTATTCTCGCAGTATTTCATTGACTGGCACATGATATTTATGGTCATGGGAACATCGGGTGCATTCATGTAGTTTGGGTTTCTATTATTTGATGTAAATGTCATCATTTCCTTTACCTTAAGCATCTCAATTTACTATCAGCGCCTTTCATTGGCTGAACATCACAAATGATCCAATCAGAATAGAGTTTACACATTTTTGCATATGCAGTAGTCCTAGTCCTGATGCAGCCAAAGATGTTACTGCTTCAAATGAGCCCAGAATCGCAGAATCACTGAACACACGTTATGTCAGCCATACACAGAATGACAGTGACAGACGGAGGAACGGCAGAAAACCTGGGAAAGGTAGACATTTTCAGCGAACCTGGCTTCTTAACTACACATGGTTGCAGCGTAACTCAGAAAAAATATGTCATGTCAGCTTTGGATAAATCATGGGAACTCTAATGCAAGGGGGGCAGTCGGGTAGCCTAGTGGTTAAAGCGTTTGCTCGTCACGCCAAAGACCCGGTTCGCTTCCCAACATGGGTACAATGTGTGAAGCCCATTTCTGGTGTCCCCTGCCGTGATATTGTTGGAATATTGCTAAAAGCAGCATAAAACCATACTCACTCACTCTAATTCAAGGACAAAGTGTCATTCCGATTCCCGACAGTTAAGGTATCAATCAAAGGACTAGTTTAAGGGTTTTGCTAATTATGTTATCATTATGAGGACTAGAGGAGTAAAGTAAATATGTTAGTTTTGTTAGTTTCCTAATCTAGCACTGTATCCCTGGGGTTTATCATGTTTATACACAGTTATCAGGTGACAATTCTGTTCAGTCAATGCACCATTCAATATTTGCTTTATCATGTTTGCTTAGTGTCTTCATGAGTCAGTGTTGCATATTGTCTAACCCTGGATAGTGGACATACCACAATAGCAAACTCTGAACCCAAACAGGAGGTGAGGTGGGGTGAGGTGAAATGGGGTTTAACGTTGCGTCCAAGATTATTGCACTTATATAGCAACGTGCATGCACGTGTATATGTGTGGCTGCTTGTACTCGTCTGGACTGATGCCGATTTATAGTGCTAGCTCTCTGAGAGACCATGCCGCAGTTTAACATGAATACCCCACTCAGACACAGTATACTGACTCTGAGCCGACCAGTCCTTGTTTTAGCCCCTTAATGTCGAGCGCCAGACAGGGTAACAACAAGTACCATCTTTTAACTTCTTTTGGTATGACGCGGCTGGGGATCGAACCCCGGACCTCCCGCTCTCTGGGCGGACGCTCTACCATTTGACCACGGAGGCGGTTGAACCCAAAAAGGAAAAGCAGGTTCCTAACATTCAAAAGGAGAAGTGTTTGGCCAGCCTATATTACATACAATTACCTTGCAGCAGAATTGACTCAAATCTGCATTGGATTAAGAAACTGGAGTAACTTGTCAAAACTTGATTATCAAAACAATCTGAAGCTCTCCTTACCTTGTGACCTCTGGTCCAGATCTCGCATAAGGTTGAAATTTCTCTGGAGCTCTGATGGTAAGGACTCCAGACCTGAAAGATGAAGAAACTGTTTGTAAAAATCTCTTTTTGGTTGACGCATTGAACCTCTTAGTACTTCAGACTGATCACGACAATAAAAAGAAGTAACATTTTGAGTCCAGTTTTAATGACCAAAGTATTGAAGAGACATTCAGAGCTCCAGATAAGCTGCGTATCTGCGTAAAATACGCATCAGAAATGCAGAAATACGCAGTGAAATAAAATTCAAGCGTATCAAATATGCAACGAACATTACAGATACACTACAAAAATTAAACTAGTGCGTATCATCAAAATATTGTGAAGTAACCCTGCGTATTCGATTAGCAAATCAGCAACTTATTTTGAAATTATATACGGAGATTCCGTCAACCTTGCCAAACTCCACGATGACAGTTACATCATGATCATTTGCCACCACACTTTCTTGTGGAAGTATTGTGGTATTTTTGAGTCCTATACAGCTCTCGAACCCCCACGACAACTGTTTGCAGGAACTAGATGAATAGTGTTTTAAAATATTTAACTTAAATACCCACAGGTGAAAAAACTAGTGGGTAACAGAAATTTGAATACCCAGATAGAATTACTGATACCCAATGATTTTAAAATGCATGGGTAAAATACCCACAACACCAAAAGCTTATCTGGAGCTCTGGACATTGTTTGATGTGATATTATTTGACAGGGATTGATGGCATAGTACCTTGGAGTACTGGTTTAAAATATCACAGTTACTTACTACCTTACAAATATACTACTCAAAAGAAGTTCAAGACAACCCAATTCTTTTATATTACAGGATATATTAACTATATTATAATATTACTTCTTTTGAGTGGTATGTCTGGCAACAAATATTTTATTTAACAGGACCCTCATATTTCCTGAAAGAACCCTTGAAATTAATAAATGGAGGTCCCCAGTTTTGTAGGTCAAGGTAAAACCCTGGAACAGTGTTTCAGTACTGACAATATTAAACTGACCTTACCAAATATTGATATTGCATTTTGTCAAATTATCCACCAGTTTTTTTATTTGTAAGTGCAAAATAACCGACTCTCAAGTTTTGTAACCTGTGCTCCAATGGCAATTCATACAAAATTTCATATGAAAATCATTTTGTATTTGCATGACATGACATCTGACCATCCCATTGAAAATCTTCTACATTAAAAATCATGCATCTAAAGGTTTCCAGAGTGTGTGAGTTCTATTAAGGACTAGTTTATTATGAGTTACTTATCCAGAGCAAGAAATGTCCAGCTGTCTTACATGCTTACGATATTTCCCATCAGCTTTGTGGGAACTGCATCAGGTTTTAGCCAAACTCCAAATAAACACTATACAACAGTAACAGTGATACAACGATTTTACTACTTTTCTCCATTACCATGATTACGTTTGTTTAGACTATATTCATAAGGGGGTTTAACATATCTCAAACTCAGCCCAGAATATGAACACGTGAAGTCTTTTATCACTGTTCTGTCTGTAGGGTTTCACTCGCCTTACATTGTTTACACAGTTTACGACGACGACCGAGTTCCGACGTATTTGGCAGGTTTCCAAAAAGTCATAAAATAACAGTAAATGTCATTCAATTCGGATGCAGTTGTGTAATATTTCTATATGCATTTCATGAGACGGAGAGTCAGGCCACCTAATTCTCAAATTGAAATGTTTTGTCTTTGATTTGATCTTTAATCTCGGACGATGAAAAAAGTGACATATTGCGCCAAATTTTAAGACCGACGCGGGTCCATTTAAAAAGTTTTGACACTGCTTTCCTGACAAAGACAATAGGTTTTTAGTGCACGTGGGACTAAAATGACATATAAATTGTGTTATCATATGTTGTGTCACCATTATGCAAAATCCGAGTTAGAAATAACCGATGACAGGTGAATACTTACTGTCCAAATAATGCTCCAAATACATTGCAGTCGCCATTTTTCTGGAGCAAGTGTCAAGGTCGAGTGAAGTTTGTGATAATGTATTCCTGACGTCAACCGTTATACGGGATACCGTTATACGACCTGCTGCTGACAATATAGTGTACAGTCAAACCCACACAAACGACGCCTTTCGTGTTTGCCCCGGATTTGTTTTATCGAATGATGTATTCACACTGGATATGCAATAGGAGAAAGGTGAATCGTTTCCAGATACATTCCATCTGGGAGTCATAAGATTATCTCATTATATAACATTATATTGACCCCCAGCACTGTCATCTTCTAACAACGGTGATAGGTCCACATCGTTGATGAAGCATGTCCCTAGAGCAAACCATCTCGGCTATAAGTATGTGAGAAAAATGCTGACCTGTAAGCTTTAAATATATAGTTTGGTTGCATAATATATGGATGGTTGCATATTAATATGGATATAATGTCTTTGGCGACTTTTTGAGAGAGAAAAAAACTCATTGAAAACACGATATCCAGGCGTTAAACATCAGTTCAGAAACAAATTCAAAATAAAAATGCTATATATTGCATGTACTTTGTAAAACCAGATTGATTGTAAATATATATGTCAGATGTAGTTCAGGCTTATATGTGAGAATGTGTTGGGGAGGAAAGAAGGTATGTGCTTTTTAAAGTATCGTTTTTGTTGTTTTCCTCTGTGGAACAGATGTACAGTGAGATTGTGTATTGGATGGTAATATATACGATGTAAGCGTTTATGTAAACAAGCTGAGACAAGTGTTTGGTGAATGTAAACTGAACGAGCCTTCCTTTCCCTGGATTCCCTGATGTATCTTATTATATATGGTGTCGCTTTCGCCGATTTGGTGAAGTTTCGACACGCTGCAATAAATATTATTTTATTAAACATTTATGTACCACAGGTATCCGGGTACTAGTATCTACTCAAATGCGGTTTTATTTGTTCCCCGACCAGTGGATCCGTTTGCATTCCAGTAATGATTCTCAACTCCCTTGGGAGTATACAACCCAAACTGCCTTCGGGCGCTGGAGGTTTCTCAACATCCACCTCAGACATCGGGAACCTGTTCCCTACTTGGTGAACAGAGGCACATTAATTGTGAACTAAGTCACTTGTCCAGGGTGACACCACACGTTTTGACAAACTCAATAGTATCATGTTTTAAGGACCTGACGCGTCTTCAGAAGAGTGTTTGTTTGTTTGTTTGTTGTTGAACGCCGCACTCAGCAATATTCCAGCTTTATGACACCGGTCTTCAAATAATCGAGTCTGGACCAGACAATCCAGTGATTAATATCATGAGCATCGATCTACCCAATTGGGATACGATGACATGCATCAACCAAGTCAGCAAGCCTGACCACCCGATCCCGTTAGTCGCCTCTCACGACAAGCATAGTCGCCTCTTGCAACAAGCATGGGTTACTGAAGACCTATTCTAACCCGGATCTTCCCGGTCCTCCAGAGGAGTGAGTGTGTGAGTGAGTGAGTCAGGTTTAATGCTGCTTTGAAAAATATTCCAGTTATATCTCGGGTTCTTCAGAGGAAGGACAATGAGTGGATGAGTTCGGCTGACGTCTCATGGAACAAAGTTAGAGTAATATCACAGCGTCCAACTTAACGTTGCGAGGGGAGTTTGCAGTAACAAAGATCGTGCACATTGTCACATTGGCCCAGCCCGCCTTAATATCATGTTGGTGTTACAACGCACTGGCGTGGGGCTGACAACAACTCACGGTTATCGGATCCTTGCACAAAAGGTGAATTATGTGTGGGCTGAATGCTGCTATACTTGGACCACATTCTCAATGAGTACGGTTTTACGCCGCGTTTAGCCATGTTCCAGCAATATCACCACAGGGACACCAGAAATGAGCCTCGCACATTTTACCCTTGTAGGGAATCGAACCCGAGCTTTTCGCGTGACCAGCGAACGCTTTAACCACTACACTAGCTCCACAGTATATAGTGATGTTCAAAGATATTGTCTGGGTGGTGTTTGAACAAGTGAAGTATATGATGTCACCATGGCCGAGTTCCGAGTTCCAAATACGCAAATAAATCATCTTAACCAAATAGATTTGAGCTGCTTCCGTACAAATAAGAATTAAAAATATATAATAAACAATAGTGTGACGACGCTCTCCGTAATTACCCAATGTAGCCTTTCCAGATTGAATATAACAGCATGTGTTAGCAGATCTTTTCTTTACTGGTCGAATGCAGACGTTGAGTATATATAAACTCTATTGAATAACGACATACAATAAATAAAACAAAACAAGATAATAATAACAATAATTTTTTAAAATGATAATTGTGGAATACCTGTGATGTAGATTATAAATCTACATGTGTATGTTGTCGGACCTCTGTTGACATAAAGCCGTGCATACAATGTTAGTGGTTAGGCGAACACTATACATATTTTTGCACCCTCAAAGCAAACTATGTGGATTGCAAAATTGACATATTGTATCTAATAGACACTACTTGTTAAGAGTACACAGTTATAATTGTTTATAATAGCGTTTGATATTGGAAAGAAATTGATGTATGATAAAATAAACGCATTAAGACATTTTGTTTAATAGCTTTGCTGGTTCATCGCTATTCCACCACAATGGCGGCGATGGCAGTGTTCCACAGCAGAACAGGGACACTTGTCACACTGAGCAATGGCAATCGTACCGCCCAGAGAAACCATCCCACTCAGGAATTTAACAACGGAGTTGTACTAAGCGCAGATGCGTTGCGGGATAACCAGATTTTTGAAGTCAAAATTGATAAAAAGGTTAATGCTTTCTGCATAGTGGTTGCCAAGTTTCAGTCTTGACTTTGACATTTTCACAGTCTGGATTTCTTTCTTGTTTACAATACAAGTAGAGAACTTGGTCCAGCCCTTGTCACGAATATCCTCTGTGTAGCAATATGTTCGCTTTACTTGTTGTATTGAATGTGGTTCTGGTATGGTTTGATATGTCAGAATACTGCACAATACACTGTGTGCACTCTGTTTTTTGACAATGAAAATGATAGGTTACACCAGAGACCATATAATAGAGGGACGGCACTCTTGCCTATGTGCGAAACCATCAGTGCTACGGCTTGTTCTGCGCAGCCTGTCCGGAGGCGAGCAGAAACGCGTTCACTGCAGTCATCGTTGTCGCCTAGTTTTCCCATGCAAAAGAAATATTTTACAACACATATTTACACTCATGTAATTCTTAACGTTGTCAACATTACAGTCTTGTTGATGCCCTGAAGCAGGTCAATGTTATTGTATTTGATGACTGTGATCACGCTTCGTCTTTGTCCGAGAGAGAAAAATGACGTACATGTGAAACCGGCAAAAGTGCAAATTGTGATTTTCAAGAACGGCCACTAATTCGCAATGAAAGTCCTTGGTTACCGAGGTGTATAAAAAGGAGATATGTTAAAAATTAGTGTAGTGCCATTGAAAAATCTGGGGCGGTTGCGAAATGTCAAATTTTGTCTCCAGAAATGCGACTAAATCTGAATTTTTCCGAAATAATTGCACCACAACTCTCAATTTTCAGATGCTTTCAGACGAATATGTTCCGATTATCAGTGCTAATATAAACAATTTTACATTCATCACGATTTCCCCTTTTGCGTGGTACCAAAGATATTTAGGTATGATCAGTAGTTATTTTTGTGAGGTTTGGCGCAAACCCATATTTTAGTCATACATTTTAAGTTGAATTGCCATATATAGCAGACGACATAACATGCATTTTGTCTGTGATTATCGTCTGCATATATCTTTTAAAACATCCTATAAAGAGTCTTATTTTTATTTATATTAGAATACTTTTGTAAGATCCATATTTTTTTTGCCATTGTTTTCGCTATTTCTTCGTAAGTTTAACATATCTATATTAACTTTGTTTCAGTTAGGCTTCTATCACGTATCGCGCTGAAGAAAACTTCATATTTTGACGATGATTTATGTTTGTTATCATATGTAGATTTTATCTTTATTAATCATGACTACATTTAATCTATTTGTTTATTTTATGCCATGTAAATATTAATTATGAACTATATGATCTAGGCCTAAACACAATCATAATAATGTAAATATGATGAAGGTACTAGTTACTTTGTGTATTTACACAACAATCAAAACATCAAATAAAATCAAATGTCTGTTATATGAAATATTTGTGTTATGAAATTATAATAATGCCAGAGAAGTTTGAGGCAACACGGGTGAAGGTGTCATTCAGCAAAATAAGTAGATGGTCTATTGTCCTTTTCTATGATAAATACATCTACATATGTCAGAGTTGTGATCTTTTGTTTTGTTTTAATAGTAATAGTTGCATGCCTTGTTCCAGGTTAGATTTTAAAGTTTGTTTTTGATGGATCAGGTATGAATAGAAAACCATGATGAAACAATTTAGAAAACTACAAACGTAACTACAGGTTACGTATACTAGTATATATCTGGTACCATGCTTGTTGATGCTATGCTGTTATACCTGAAATACCTTATAATTTGTATGCTGATATATCAAACTGATCGGGTAATATTAAATAACGATTGTAAAATTACAATCATCCTCTTTGCTTTGGAATTTAACAGTAGCCTCCCTTTGAAAAAAACATCTCGCTCTGGCAAACCCCATTATCACTGATCATGTGCTAATGAGAGATATGATAAAAAATCTTTGTGATCCGCTAAGAGATGTCCTTTTATTGGATTGTTGCTGGTCGTAGTCGGTGAAATCTCGGCTAAGGGAATTAACTCTAGCCCCGGATATTATGTAATATTGTTTACGTGGCTACCAGAATGGTCAGTTTTGAATGTCTGCGCATCTATTGCGCATCTGCAGCGGTACAGGGAGGTTAACAGCAGGGTGTCGGGGTGTATCAGTTACATGCCGGACCGTAGCACTGATGGTTAGTGATAAACTGTTGGGGAGGGCCGTCCCTCTATTATATGGTCTCTGGTTACACTGAGTAACTAACTTTCTTGGTGCCAGATTTTGCAGGCCCATGCACATCCTGTGTTCATTTTATCAGTGCTTAGACAGTGCCTCACTTTTGAAAATAAATGGGTAACCATTTTTTTGTTAATGGTACAACACCTCTAGGTACAGTCTGTGAAGTCCTTCTGATCCAAGGCTGAGTCTAGTAAAATTTTGTTTCTGTCAAGTAATCGTGACTAATAAAGGTCCACATTATGACAGACCGCCTCCGTGGTCTAAGGGTAGAGCGTCCACCCGAAGAGCGGAAGGTCCGGGGTTCGATCCCCGGCCGCGTCATACCAAAAGACGCTTAAAGATGGTACTTGTTGTTACCCTGTCTGGCACTCGGCATTAAGGGGGTAAAACAAGGACTGGTCGGCTCGGAGTCAGTATACTTTGTCTGAGTGGGGTATTCATGTTAAACTGCGGCATGGTATCTCAGTGGGCTAGCACTATAAATCGGCATCAGTCCAGACTAGTACAAGCAGCCACACAAACACACACACGTGCATGCACGTCGCTATATAAGTGCAATATCATAATCTTGGACGCGACGTTAAACCCAATTTCACCTCACCTCACCACATTATGAAACAAATTCTACTGGAAATGATGCAAAATTTGGGTTGGTAGTTTCAATAGTTTAGGGCGCAGCCTGCAGATGTCTTGTCAATAACTTCAAATATTGTGGTGATTTTTGGACAGAATAGCTTCCACAATTTCCCAGGTTGTTGCAAGAGCTGACTGCAATAGGGATTGTGTCATGATGACACAAGACCTGGCTGTTTGTGTTGGGTGGACAGTTGGTCGTGCTATCAACAACCCCAACGACAAAGTTTCAGATCCTTCTGTTTTCTAGGACGTTGACTGATTGTCATCCTGAATGTCCTAAGGGGGGCACGGGTGGCCCAGTCGTCTAAGGCGCCGCAATTCGCTGTGCAGAGTTGCGTCCCTTAGGCACGCCATACCTGTGATCTTGGGTTCACCGAAGTGGTTAACGTCTGAGACCTGCATCACTTCGGGCTTTCCTCCCACATTAAGCTGACATGCCGTGATATGACTGAAATACTGTTAAAAGCGGCGTTAAACCAGACTCACTTACTCACTCACTCACTCACTGAATGTCCTAAGAGTTATTTTCAAATTTGGTAGCTCTAATTATATGCATATTGAAGAATATCCTATCAAAGTTCTATAATATCCTGCAAATGTCCTGATGCCATTTGTCCTTGCAAAATCTCTGTGCTGTATTTTGTGGGTCAAGACATGTTTAATTACATGCTATTGTTCTCCAGGTGTAAGTTGAAATATTGCTGACTGCAATTAAACAACATTCACTCTCTCATATTGTTTGGTCGTACCATTTTGTGATGCAATATTTTCTTGGATGAAATTCCTGAAATTCCTGTTCATTGTAATATGCACTGATATCAAACTTGAGCTTGATCTTACCAAAAAATACAAGTGCACAGTTATGATACTGAATGATTTTGATCCATTTTCCATTCATACAAACATTGATAATGAAATAAATTAAATTTGATGAAAAAAGAGGTTAAAAATTGTGTTTTGTATGACATGTACAACCCGTTTCTTTCCTGTTTAAACTGACATGTTGACAATTTGTCGTATTTGGCTTGTAAGCATAATAAAATATTATATGAACAAATACACAACTGCATATGCAGAACTTGATATTAAATACTGCATGCTCCATTTTCCTGCATTAAATATTTACCTGAAATTCTATATGATATATTCAATGTCTCAAACAACCATTTTCGTAATCACCAAATTTGTGACATGGAAATTTAGTCAATATCTTGCCGTCCTACTGAGCCTGCTGAAGCCAACTTAACTTGGTGCAATGGAATTAAACACCTTTCCATCAATAAGAACCACTGCAGTACTGCGAAATATTCTTGGTAACCATGGTAACATCAATGAATATTTATGAAATCTCATATTAATTAACAAAGACATAATCAGCATAACTAAGGCTCAGTTTCTTTTGGCAAATAGGATGAAAAGATGAATATACCACCACTTTAATGAGATGCTGATCCTCACTCATTCTTCATTTCAATATGGACCTGTGAAGATTCCGGGGTAGAATAGGTCTTCGGCAACCCAAGCTTGCCGTAAAAGGTCACTGCTTGTCGTAAAAGGCGACTGACGGGATCGGGTGGTCAGGCTCGCTGACTTGGTTGATGCATGTCCTTCGATCCCAATTGCTTGGATCGATGATCATGATATTAATCACTGGATTGTCTGGTCGAGACTCGATTATTTACAGACTGCCGTCATGTAGCTGGAATATTGCTGAATGCGGCGTTAAACAACAAACCAACCAATTCATTGAGTCCTTGTAACAGTTTGTTGAGAATCAAATGAAACTCTGTTATAATGGTTATGTTTTTCTAGACTATGACAATTTGCTTTATTTCAAAAAAATATGTATACTGTTTTGTGATAAACGAAATAAATATATGATCATGTCATAGCTTGTTGGGGGCTGTCAGAAAGCCTAGTGGTTAAAGCGTTCGCACGTCACGCCGAAGACCCGGGTTCGATTCCTGACATGGGTACAATGTGTGAGGCCCATTTCTGGTGTCCCCCGTCGTGATATTGCTGGAATATTGCTAAAAGCGGTGTAAAACCAAACACACACACTCACTCACTCACTCACTAACTCACTCAAAGCTTGTTGATTGGAAGGTACAAACTTTCAACTTTAATTCATGACCCTCAACAATGTTGACCATTCTTTTCCCAGGTTAATTCTTGGAGTGGTTCTATTGAAATTGGAGTGACGACATGTGACCCCAACAACCTCAGCTTCCCCATCAGTGCCACTGGATTTCGTGAAGGCACATGGGTCATGTCAGGAAGCTCCATCCTCAAGGATGGACACTCAATGATCGAGGAATATGGGCGGGACTTGGACCAACTATCCGAGGGAGATCGTGTCGGGGTCATGAGATCGTCCCAGGGTGTTTTACACTTCTATGTGAATGGAATGGACCAAGGTCCCGCTGCTACTGGTATTCCTTCTCGAGTGTATGCCGTTGTTGATATGTATGGGAAATGTGCACAGGTGTCAATAGTGGACTCAAATAGCAGGGATGCAGGTAAGAGCAATCAAGTTGTAGTCTTAGAATGGCCCATTGACAAACATCCAGTTGCCATGTGTATGAAGTCTCCATCTTGTGATGAATGGCTTTGACCCAGTCAGTGTTTGAAATTAATTTTGAAACCCAACAAGACAGTCGGGCAGGTAACCCATAATTGTTGCCTGCCCATCTTCAAAGTTACCTGCCTGCATTCAGACATCAGAAATATTGAAAAGTCGCGAAAACCAAAAGACAAATTGCATCTTGATTCAGTGGAAATAATGCAAACAATAACTTGAGAAAAGTTGCTAGCCGTGGGTCGGCGGGCAGGCAGTTATTTCGGACACTGGAGCCAGTCACAACCAAAGCTCCATGTGTTGTCTGTTTCAATTCTAACTAAACAAAACTATAGTAGACGTTCAATGAAATGACACTGTTCAGTCACATCAATGACACCAGTCTTCAACTCGACTTTGGGTGCTGTCTCATAAACAAAAGATTTGTCCTCAGGAAAACATCTTTTCCAGCTTAGTTCATTTATGACATACTTCTGAGTTTCTTATTTTATGTATATCAAGGGCTTATTCAGTCAATGTTGATCTATGCCAGACTCGCATTTGGAGGAAGCATTTTTATTCTGTGATGATTCCATGCTTAAGGACAATAAAAATTAAACAAAAGCTGTTAGCCTGTCGCTCAGCCTTAAGGGGATAAAACATGGCGGGATGGCTTGGAGTCTGTGTACTGTCTGAGTGGGGTATCCATGTAAAACTGTGGCATGGTATCTCAGCGGGCTAGCACTGTGAAACCAGGCTAATGTGAGCAGCCACGTACACACACGTGCATGCATGTCCCTATATAAGCGCAATAATCATAAATGTAACATCAAGCCCCATTTCACCTCCTCTCTGACAGATTGGACCTGTGAAGATTCCGGGGTAGAATAGGTCTTCAGCAACCAATGCTTGCCGTAAAAGGTGACTATGCTTGTCGTAAAAGGCAACTAACGGATCGGGTGGTCAGGCTCGCTGACTTGGTTGATGCATGTCATTGATCCCAATTGCGTGGATCGATGCTCATGATATTAATCACTGGATTGTCTGGTCCAGAGTCGATTATTTACAGACCGTCGTCATATAGCTGGAATATTGCTGAGTGCGGCGTTAAACAACAATCCAATCCGACAGATTGACTTCTACTCTTGACAGCATGTACTTATCCCTTCTCCTTGCTCTTTTAGCCTGTGCTGTGAATGCCGCCAGAATAACCAATGACATTGCCAATGAGCTTGCAAACGAGTTCCTCGCGGAGTTATCCAATCAGATTGCCAATGACCTGGCTGCCAGTCGGGATTTCGGGGCTGGAGTGGATGATGAACGGCATCATTCTAATGACCGGCTTACATTTCATGAACGCTGTGGAACGCTTGTCAAGCTGAGCAACAGCCGCCGTACAGCTGAACGCCGACGACCTATGGATGAGTTCAATAATGGAGTTGTCATGACCAACCGGCCTTTGAGAGATGAGGAGGTGTTTGAGGTATGTTTCATACGGATGTTTCTGTTTGATCATGTTGATGACTTACCAGTGTCATTGATGAGTTGAATGAAAACATTTTTGTATGACAATTAATTTTTCACATCCAGATCTTTTGAATGAACTATTGATTTGTGATTAAGCTTTAAGCATGTTGACATTAAAATTTGAACCAGATATTAGCCTTGCTGCATACATGGCATAGTTTCATAAAAAAGTTTTGAAAAACAGAAAAGATGCTTTGATGTTTTGTCACAAAAAGTTATTATTAATTGATTCAGTAAACCTTGGAAACATGGCTTTTCGACACGTCAGGTGCTCATAAACTCTCAATCATGTAAAAAACTGCAGATATTAATATGTCAACAACTTTGCACATTCACAAGAAGCCATTTGTTTTTGAACACACAGTGCCATTTAGAATGTGGTCAAGTGTAACAAATGTTATATTTGGGATAAAACTTTCTCAGTAAAGTATCAGATTCTAGTACTCTTTTTGGTTGAGTTCTATCCGGGATTCGAACCCACACTGCCAAAGTGTGTACCCCTCTGACAAGTGTAAATTGGCACGGCTCCCATGGCCAACAGCTATGAACACAGAATAGCTTTCAGCCATGGGAACCATGCCAGTTTACCATTGTCAGAGGGATACACAAAGTATGTGATTTTGACTACCAGTTGTCAGACTTTCATATTTGTGGTGGCCTTGGAGGCTGAGTGGGTTAGATCGCTGACTCTGTGTGCTGGCGATTAGGTGCACACTCGGGCAGTGTCGGTTCGAATCCCTGATGGGACTCAACCCCCAAAGTACTAGAATACTTGAATGAGAAAGTGTTATCCCAAATATAAAACTTACATATGTTTTATTGCCGCTATTTCTTCCATGATGGTTGATGCATGTGATGGTATCCCAATTGTGTGGATTGATGCTCATTATATCAATCACTGGATTGTCTGGTCCAGATTCGATTATTTATAGACTGCCGTCATATAGCTGGTATATTGCTGAGTGCGGCGTTAAACAACAAACAAACAAAAAAATTCCATAACCTTGTGAGTGAGTGGGTGAGGTAAAGTTTAACGTCACATTGCCAATATTTCAGTCATATCATGACGATCCATGACCCTGTCATCCTCAGGATGCATCGAGGAGGTTGTTAGGCACCTAAGTATCACAACTGTCTGTCATTTTCCACCCTGAATGCATCATTCCATTTCTTGCATCTCCATCATGTCGCATGTTTTTCCATATATTCATACATGAAGTGGGCAGTTCTTTCCAAATTCCCTCGCATGAGGTGGACTTACATGACCACCGAATCATAAGACAGCCTCCGTGGTCTAGTGGTAGAGCGTCCGCCCGGAAAGCGGAAGGTCCGGGGTTCGATCCCCGACCCCGGCATGGTATCTCAGTGAGCTAGCTCTATAAATTGGCATCAGTCCGGACAAGTACAAGCAGCCACACAAACACACACACACACGTGCATGCACGTCGCTATATAAGTGCAATAATCTTGGACGCGACGTTAAACCCAATTTCACCTCACCTCACCGAATCCTAACTTATGGTCTTTGTCCATCAAGGACACAAAGAGGTAGTGTTATTGATCAACATGATTAATATTGCTAAAAACAAGAAATGAGAACAAGGAGACCGGTTTGGCTTAACTTCAAGTCCGCAACAACTGATCCAGCATTCTTAGAAGGGAGGGGTCCAAAAATCAAAATCCTCCCTCAATGGGAGGGGGGATAGTCTACAACATGCTACATTTTTTTTTCAAAAGTAGGGGGTCCCCCCTCTTTGGATCCGCCTATGGTCTGAACCCCAAAACATCACCTGTGAACATACCCCACCATGTGTACTTTGTGTTTTTAATGTAGTGGATGGTATTAAGTGTTTTGACATCCACATGATGATGACTGCCAACAGTAGCCATGCTAGAATGTTCCAGTGATGTCATTAGCAATTCCTGAGACGTCCAGTAGTGCTGGATCAAATAACCGGTCATTCGATTAGTCTTGAACGTCAAAATTGATTATCTGTCTGCGGAAAGGCATAATTGATATGGAATGTCGGGTAAATATAGGGCACAACTTGAACGGCCCACAAGAATTCATAATTATGAAAAAATATAAATACAGTGATTCCTCGCTATTGTGCTCTTCGATAAAGCGCTACCTCGGTTACTACGCGTGGTAAGGCATGGCTCCCAAAATGATTGTATTGTTGTTCGTTGTTCATTTGCTCATAACGCTTCTCATTGCACAATCAACCGTTTATCGCTGAATGGAGTTCTAATAATCTGTTTTGAAAACATCCGAGGCAAGTCCCGGAAATATGATTGTTCTACTAGTTAACTTTTCACGGGGACACGGGTGGCCCAGTCGTCAAGGCGCCGCTATTCGCTGTGCAGAGTTGCGTCCCTTAGGCATGCCAGAAACCTATGATTGTGGGTTCAAACCCGGTTCGACCCGATTATGTTTCTAGGTTTGTCAGCACCATACCCGTGCTCGTGGGTTTCACCGAAGTGGTAAACGTCTGAGACCTGCATCACTTCGGGCTTTCCTCCCACATTAAGCTGACACGCCGTGATATAACTGGAATACTGTTAAAAGCGGCGTTAAACCCAACTCACTCACTAACTTTTCACACTATACATCCTTTGATCTTAGAAGCGCATGCATGCAATAAAAGAGAACCACAAGCAAAGTTTATATTCTTAATTAGTGGGCAATCCAATTTGAGGCGACACTGTCAACTCACATGTAATTGTTGTCACAACACGGCGATCATTCCTTTTGATTCAGATCAAATAACCGTATCAAACCAAGTAATCTGGCTTGAATGTGTATCTATATTTTTATGAATGTGTATGAATGCTCATTGTGCTGGTCAAAACTCTCGTTTTCCGTATTTTAAGCAACATGACCAATCAATGCCACTGAAACACTCTGTACTTGTCTAATGAATTGTGATTGGCTCTTCACTCATAGTGTCTGTTACTACCATTATCGATCGATATTTTCATGTAAGTAGACTACATTCACATTGAATGTGACAGTTAAGGCTTGTAAATAATAACATACGGCAAAAACATAATGGATATATATTTTTACACTATGAACGGTAAACAACTTGTATCATTGCAATGTGCAAGACAAGGCGAAGATCGTGAGATTGGCAGAGCGCGCTCCCCCGCTCATCATCTATAACGCCCACCAATTATTTGGACCCCATTGGTAGCGTTGTAACGAGGGACCACTGTACCAATTAATAACTAGGAAAAAATATATTGTGTTCCTTTCATAATTGTATCATTTATACCTGAGTGACATGGGTCATCAATAGATTGCAGTGAAAAGAATCCATCTGGTTTCATGTCAGGAAGTGATACTTGGTAGTTTACACCCATGTCAAGCTGGACTTCATTGCAGCTGCTTTATATATAAAAATCGGGGACACGGGTGGCCCAGTGATCTAAGGCGCCGTGATTCGCTGTGCAGAGTTGCGTCCCTTGGGCACGCCAGAAACCTATGATTGTGGGTTCGAATCCCGGTAAGCCCCGATTATGTTTCAAGGTTTGTCAGCACCATACCCGTGCTCGTGGGTTTCACCGAAGTGGTAAACGTCTGAGACCTGCATCACTTCGGGCTTTCCTCCCACATTAAGCTGACACGCCGTGATATAACTGTAATACTGTTAAAAGCAGCGTTAAACCCAACTCACTCTTTATATATGAAATGTATTTTGCTAAATACTGTACAAACATTTCCGCTTACTTCTCATGAACAGTACATGCAGTGGTCAGCTGATGGTGATTCTTGCCACAGGCATTTGTCTGAATTGTTTAATTTCATTTTATGGAGTGTAAATGTGGGGGATGTGATGGTACTGGATTGTTAGCCACACAAGACAATTATGTTGGTGTGGTGGTGTTGTAGATTCGGCTAGACCGCCTCGTGGACAAGTGGTCGGGGTCTATAGAGGTGGGCATCACGACACACAACCCCAACAACCTGGAGTTCCCTGCCACCATGACCAACATGAGGTCAGGCAGCACTGCTGGTGAGGCCCGTCGCAATACTGCACCTGGTATAATTGTCAATCATTACTCCAAACATAGAGCACCTGTATAACTGTCAATCATTACTCCACACATAGAGCACCTGTATAACTGTCAATCATTACTCCACACATAGAGCACCTGTATAACTGTCAATCATTACTCCACCGATACTGCATCTGTATAACTGTCAATCATTACTCCACACCTACTGCACCTGGTATAATTGTTAATCATTACTCCACACATAGAGCACCTGTATAACTGTCAATCATTACTCCACACATAGAGCATCTGTATAACTGTCAATCATTACTCCACACAAAGAGCACCTGTATAACTGTCAATCATTGCTCCACACATAGAGCATCTGTATAACTGTCAATCATTACTCCACACATAGAGCACCTGTATAACTGTCAATCATTACTCCACACATAGAGCACCTGTATAACTGTCAATCATTACACCACACATAGAGTATCTGTATAATTGTCAATCATTACTCCACACATAGAGCATCTGTATAACTGTCAATCATTACTCCAAACATAGAGCACCTGTATAACTGTCAATCATTACTCCACACATAGAGCACCTGTATAACTGTCAATCATTACTCCACAGATACTGCACCTGTATAACTGTCAATCATTACTCCACACATAGAGCACCTGTATAACTGTCAATCATTACTCCACCGATACTGCATCTGTATAACTGTCAATCATTACTCCACCGATACTGCACCTGTATAACTGTCAATCATTACTCCACACATAGAGCACCTGTATAACTGTCAATCATTACTCCACACATAGAGCACCTGTATAACTGTCAATCATTGCTCCACCGATACTGCACCTGTATAACTGTCAATCATTACTCCACACATAGAGCATCTGTATAACTGTCAATCATTACTCCACACATAGAGCATCTGTATAACTGTCAATCATTACTCCACAGATACTGCACCTGTATAACTGTCAATCATTACTCCACACATAGAGCACCTGTTTAACTGTCAATAATTACTCCACACAGAGAGCATCTGTATAACTGTCAATCAGTACTCCACACATAGAGCACCTGTATAACTGTCAATCAGTACTCCACACATAGAGCACCTGTATAACTGTCAATCATTACTCCACCGATACTGCACCTGTATAACTGTCAATCATTACTCCACACATAGAGCACCTGTATAACTGTCAATCATTACTCCACACATAGAGCACCTGTATAACTGTCAATCATTGCTCCACACATAGAGCACCTGTATAACTGTCAATCATTACTCCACACATAGAGCATCTGTATAACTGTCAATAATTACTCCACACATAGTGCACCTGTATAACTGTCAATCATTACTCCACACATAGAGCACCTGTATAACTGTCAATCATTACTCCACACATAGAGCATCTGTATAACTGTCAATCATTACTCCACAGATACTGCACCTGTATAACTGTCAATCATTACTCCACACATAGAGCATCTTTATAACTGTCAATCATTACTCCACACATAATGCACCTGTATAACTGTCAATCATTACTCCACACATAGAGCACCTGTATAACTGTCAATCATTACTCCACACATAATGCTCCTGTATAACTGTCAATCATTGCTCCACACATAGTGCACCTGTATAACTGTCAATCATTACTCCACACATAGAGCACCTGTATAATTGTCAATCATTACTCCACACATACTGCACCTGTATAACTGTCAATCATTGCTCCACACATAGTGCACCTGTATAACTGTCAATCATTACTCCACACATAGAGCACCTGTATAACTGTCAATCATTACTCCACACATAGAGCACCTGTATAACTGTCAATCATTACTCCACAGATACTGCACCTGTATAACTGTCAATCATTACTCCACACAGAGAGCATCTGTATAACTGTCAATCATTACTCCACACATAGAGCACCTGTATAACTGTCAATCATTACTCCACAGATACTGCACCTGTATAACTGTCAATCATTACTCCACACATACTGCACCTGTCTAACTGTCAATCATTACTCCACACATAATGCTCCTGTATAACTGTCAATCATTACTCCACACTTAGAGCACCTGTATAACTGGCAATCATTACTCCACACAGAGAGCATCTGTATAACTGTCAATCATTACTCCACAGATAGAGCATCTGTATAACTGTCAATCATTACTCCACAGATAGAGCATCTGTATAACTGTCAATCATTACTCCACTCATAATGCTCCTGTATAACTGTCAATCATTACTCCACAGATACTGCACCTGTATAACTGTCAATCATTACTCCACAGATACTGCACCTGTATAACTGTCAATCATTACTCCACAGATACTGCACCTGTATAACTGTCAATCATTACTCCACACATAATGCTCCTGTATAACTGTCAATCATTGCTCCACACATAGTGCACCTGTATAACTGTCAATCATTACTCCACACATAGAGCACCTGTATAACTGTCAATCATTACTCCACACATAGAGCACCTGTATAACTGTCAATCATTACTCCACAGATACTGCACCTGTATAACTGTCAATCATTACTCCACACATACTGCACCTGTCTAACTGTCAATCATTACTCCACACATAGAGCATCTGTATAACTGTCAGTCATTACTCCACACATACTGTACCTGTATAACTGTCAATTATTACTCCACACACAGCACCTGTATAACTGTCAATTATTACTCCACACATAGAGCACCTGTATAACTGTCAATCATTACTCCACACATACTGCCTCACTCCCTACTTTTGTCAAATGGCCCACTTCACTAAATATTTGAGCCCTATACATTGATACATAATCAACAGTAATAACATTGTAAATAAATAATTATGTGTAACATTTCATTTGCGATGCAGACATGATGTCATGTTTCTTGTCATCCTTTTGATTATGTAAGTTATTTATAAGATTTCCATTGTGTTGATCATTGCGATAAAATTATGACTCACTCACTCCATTGTGTTGAACCTGTTTTCTACAGTTTAGACAGTAATGATGAGAATCAGTGTAGGTCTCCGTGTTCCAGGGACAATAATGATGAGTGGGTGTGGCATTCTGACCAATGGCAAGGGAACAAGGAGGGAGTACGGCCAGTACAACCTGGATGAACTCACGGTAAGTGATAGTAATAGTAATAGTATTAAACTCTATCATACAAATTAGCCTTAATAGTATTAAACACTATCATACTATACAAATTAGCCTTAATAGTATTAAACACTATCATACTTTACAAATTTGCCTTAATAGTATTAAACACTATCATACTTTACAAATTTGCCTTAATAGTATTAAACACTATCATACTTTACAAATTTGTCTTATTGGATGGTCAGACTCGGTGACTTGGTTCATTGCATTGTATCCCAATTGCATGAATCAATGCTCATGATGTCAGTCACTGGATTGTCTGGTTCAGATTTGATTATTTACATATATTAGCTGAAATATTGCCGAGTGCAGCGTTAGGCAACAAACATATATATTATGCTTCGGTATGCATAAACATGTTTCCACAAATTTATTTAAATTATTTATTTTGTTTATTTGTACATGAAATGTTCTCCATGGTTGTTTATCTGACCCTGCAGGAAGGAGATATTATTGGTCTGGTCAGGAAGAATTGTGGCGCCCTTCATTATTTCATCAACGGCGTGGATCAGGGCATCGCCGCGCCAAGCACACCCAGACCGGCATGGGGCGTGGTGGACCTGTACGGAATGGCTGTGAAAGTGACAATGCTGGACCGAGCGGACCCAGCGTACCCCAACAACCCCCCGGTCCCAGAGCGGCGGGCAAACAGCATCTTCCGTCAGTACCCCGATATGTATGATGAAGAACCATTGGAAGGTAGTGCTGTGCAGTGATGGTACCCTCAGCTCATGAAGGATGCCAGCGTCTTTTGTTACTTAAAGGCTTAGGAAATACACTTGGGATGTTTGGTTAAGCTAGAGTTGTGTCCCCTTCTATGCATGACAAGAGTTGTGTCCCCTTCTATGCATGACAAGAGTTGTGTCCCCTTCTATGCATGACAACATGGGCAGGACATAGGAATCCAATCCTCTGTGTCACATGACTTGACATTGCTCAAATATTGCTACAACTTATAAAAAAAGATCAAGGGCCCTCCAGTCAAACACCCAGCATGAAAGTGTTTATTTGTATGGCTTGTTATAGATTTGAAATGGAAACTTTCGAGGCTTGTTGTCAAGGTCATTCACTGGTTATGCTTGCAGCAATAGAAATCGGCACTAGTCCTATAGTCCTTGCAGAACTGCCCAGTACTTAGGTTTCACAAGGATTAGTGAAAATTTGCCTTTTTAAATGATATTGCCACATATCAATATAAGGCTTTATAGTGGACTAAAGGTATTTGTTTCTATCGCGGGGCTTGGACCAGTTGTATGATGTTTGACCCTCGGTCGCCTTTTATGGTATTTATTAAGAATTGAGTAATATTTCTTGTGTTTATGACGACTTTGAGAAGAGTTAAGATCATGTATTCACATCTCTCCTGAAGGTGGCAGTTGTTGTAAAAGGTGACTGCTTGTCGTAAGAGGTGACTTAAGGGATCGGGTGGTCAGGCTCGCTGACTTTGTTGATGCATGTCACCGTATCCCACCAATTTCATAGATTGATGCTCATGTTGTCAATCACTGGATTGTCTGGTCCAGACCCAATTATTTAGAGACCGCCATCATAAAGCTGGAATATTGCCAAGTGCGGCAAAAAACAAACAAACAAATAAAACCCCTGGTGTAAGCCCTGGAGTACCCCGTCTTTCTCAGTGTTTCATGTTTTCATATCTCACCTTCTGGTCCACAGAGGAGGATGGGGAGAAGCTGCTGTTCAACCCACACTGTGGAGCTCACGCTGCCGTCATCAACAGCCACCGAACTGCCCACAGGCCAAAGTAAGTCCACACTAGTGTTCTGGTGGCTTATAGCCTGTGTTATTAAACAGTTGTAGGTAATATTGTGATGCCCAAATATGTTTGACAAATTTGTATTTTAATTTATAGCTAAAATGGATAGAATTATTATCATTAAACTGCCCACCTGTTATCAAATATGAGCAGGCCACTGTAACTTGATAATGCCCTCATATTGCTTGACAACGGGCCATTATCACACCCGTTGTTGGGTGACGTCATAGGATAGGAATAGGTGAAGTCACGTTCAGTAGTGACGTCATCATGTTTGTTCTATGATGTTTCCATATTTGTAAAAGTGGGTCAGTGAGATTTGTATTGATTGCAGTAAATGTTTCAAAACCGATATCATTGTTTCTTTTTATTTGATAACAAATTCCATCTATTTTAGATATAATAACGTTTTTTTCAGGGCATTATCATTTTGCCTCCTTCGTCGGGCAGTTAATTGAAAACCTCTGGCTTCTGCAAATGATAATGCCCTGAAAAATAGCGTAACCCTTACAATAACTTTGTATACATGATGCAATTGTGTATATATCAACTCATTCTCATTGCTATATGACTGAAATAATGCCGATGCGACGGTCAATTTTAACCCACTCACTCACTCTTAGTTAGGAGTTCTGCAATCAGGATGATGCAAAATTCCATCAATGAGTTGATGAAGTGACAGGAGAATGGAATTGAGATAATTGACTGCTATGCCCCCTTAATTGAGGATGATGCCTCGGGCAGCAAATATCTCGTCAGGTGTAGAACCGTGTCTTAATTGCTGATGCAGCCTTATGCAATAATTACTCACTCTCCACTGTATCACTGTCATCTGTCCCGGGGCGGTCAGGTAGCCTAGTTGTCAAAGCGTTCACTCGTCACGCCGAAGATTCGTGTTCGACTCCCGACACGGGTACAATGTGTGAAGCTCATTTCTGGTGTCCCCTCCTGTGATATTGCTGGAATATTGCTAAAAGCGGCGTAAAACCTCACTCACTCACTCGCTCACTCACTCACTCACTCACTCACTCACTCACTCACTCACTCACTCACACACTCACTCACTCACTCACTCACTCACTCACTCACTCACTCACTCACTCACTCACTCACCCCAACAAAGTTAGCGGTGATGTAGAAACGCACACTGTCAAGAGTCTTTGTTGTGTTACGATTTAAAAATCATTTCCTTATTTCAAAAAGTGGCACACCAGTAGACACTGCAACAAACAAAGCTGTAAAAGGATTTATTGTAGATGTATTAGAAACTCACCAGAATTTAAGGGTCAGCATGCTCACAACTTTTGTATCTCATCTGTACTGGGTACTTTCGTCTTAATGAATGAACTGTGCAGTGCTCAAGGATACAAAATATGCTCAGCCTTCACATACTGGAAGATGATTAAAACTTTGGTTATCAAACAGTCTTACTAAAACTGACAAGTTTTTGGGAGATGTTGTACGTTTGTTTGTTGTTTAACACCCCACTCAGCAATATTCCAGCTATATGACGGCGGTCTGTAAATAATCGAGTCTGGACCAGACAGTCCTGTGATTGACATCATGAGCATTAATCCTTGCAATTGAGTTAAGATGACATGCATCAACCAACTCGGTGAGCCCGACCACCCGATCCTGTTAGTCGCTTCTTGCGACAAGCATAGTTGCTTTTTACAGCAAGCATGGGTTGCCGAAGACCTATTCTACCCCGGATCTTCAGGGAGATGTTTGGCAGTAGCTCTTGTATTCAACCTCTTCCTCAAGCAGGTGGACAAACTGATAATTTACAATGTCACATTTTATTGCATATATCATTGTCTTTGACAGTGGGCAGGGATATAGATAATTCGTCTTCTTTTTTCAGTGCTCTTGATGACTTCAACAATGGTGTTGTGCTTACAAATCGATGTTTGCGTGCTAATGAAGTTTTCGAAGTTCGACTCGAGAGAATGGTTGACAAGTGGGCGGGGTCTATTGAGATCGGGGTGACGTTACACTCCCCTGAGGAGCTGGACTATCCCTCCACGATGACCAACATTCGCTCCGGCACCTGGATGATGACAGGGAATGGCGTCATGCACAACGGAACCACCATTATTGATGAATATGGTCAAAACTTGGATCGCTTAAAGGTAGATGTATGTTATTTTTATTGCTTTTTGAAAATATTTCACATCTCAAACTTTTAAGATAATTTTGTAATAGAATAATAATGGATTACTTATTTTTACATAATGTCAACATGATTGATTAGATAAGTTGGATAGCATGTTCAGCGTCATTTTATAGGATTTCGTTATTTTCACCCGGTCTGCAAGAAAAATATGTTTCTTATTGCAAGGAATTTACCTCCTCAATTTTGGATGTGAGTTGTTTGCAATCGGATCATTTTTATGGCCAATATGTCTACAAGCTGTCTGCCAAGCCTTGTAATAAACATTTCTACTCCTGGTACGGAATATGTATGGCACATTTATTCTTAAATGTATTCAAAAACAGAAGAAATATCTATTCATTGCTGTTGGTCCACGTGTGCAAGTTTTACTGGTTCGTACATCTTCCCGAGACAAGGGATTTAACTGACTTTAAAAGTCCAGTTTCCACACCTGCCGAATTAGGCTGAAATTATGGAGTTTTTGGCTGGACTAACGAGTCTATGCAAAGTCCAATCAAGTGAGTGAGTGAGTATGGTTTTACGCCGCTTTAAGCAATATTCCAGCAATATCACGGCGGGGGACACCAGAAATGGGCTTCACACATTGTACCCATGTCGGGATTCGAACCCGGGTCTTCGGCGTGACGAGCAAACACTTTAACCACTAGGCTACCCGACCCCCCCAATCGACATCTAGTTCATAAACAACATGGCAACTGCGATACCGATTTCGTTCGATTGCAGGATTTGCAGAGCATATGCACCGCCAACTGGGTTTTGACAGATACTTACCAAATCATTTCATGTTTTTTATGAAAGTTCTTAAGTGATTTAATGCCACTATAGTTTTATGACAATATAGATTTTGATTATCGATCAGATGGTCTTGACTGGGCACCGTCATTTTTTAAAGCACATGCAAGTGATATGAGGGGTTGGAATCTGATTGATCAGTAAGATGGACATAGAAGGGACATAAATCGTAATAGTCACTGGTGGTGCTACGATTGAGCCCATAAATTCCAGCCGAGTTTGGCAAGGGTGGAAACTAAACTTTTAGAGTCTGTTATCTCCCTTGTGTCGGGTAGATGTGTAGAGTCTGTTATCTCCCTTGTGTCGGGTAGATGTGTAGAGTCTGTTATCTCCCTTGTGTCGGGTAGATGTGTAGAGTCTGTTATCTCCCTTGTGTCGGGTAGATGTGTAGAGTCGGTTATCTCCCTTGTGTCGGGTAGATGTGGTCCGATGTGTATGTTGATCTTCAAGTTCACTCAGTATCATGTAAGAACATCTCCTCCGTCGTGTACCACACGTACATAATACATGGATGCTGTTTCTGCAGGTGGGAGACAGAGTGGGCGTGGTACGCAAACCAGACGGGACTCTGCACTTCTTCGTCAATGGTGTTGACCAGGGTCCAGCTGCATCCAGTGTTCCCGAGATGGTGTACGGGGTCATTGACCTGTATGGCCAGGCAGCACAGGCTACAATAGTTGACCAGTCAGGTGGGCAGTAAAACATTAGCATGACTCCAACTCCTTATTTCTAGTGCAGAAGCCGACATGTTGCTTTTAGGGTAGACATGTATATTGCCAGTCCCTGCCCTTGGTGATTAGGAGATAAACATACTGTGTTTTCAGTGTATACGTAGAGCTAGGTTACCTGTAGATATAACCCGTGAAGATCCGGGGTAGAATTGATCTTCAGCAACCCAAGCTTGTCGTAAAAGGCGACTAACGGGATCGGGTGGTCAGGCTCATTGACTTGTTGGTGCATGTCATCGATCCCAATTGCATGCATTGATGCTCATGACATCAATCACAGGATTGTCTGATCCAGACTCAACTGCAGAAACAACAAACAAACAAACATATTACGATCATAAAACTTTACTTTGCACTTAACAAGTTACCCTAGCGACTATGAAGTCAATCACTCTTGGTGCAGCCATCTTGAATGAAGACTGGCTCTTGCAAGATCTTGTCAGGCTTAAAAATAAAAAAGAATTGGTTCTCGGGCAATGACTTTTGAAACTATAGTGCTGTGGGTGGTGGTGTTTTTTTGTTGTGCTTGTTCAAACTAGTAATTAAGTATGCAACCAGATAAACGGTTGTGTACCATCAACCTGGGAAAGGGCCTTACTGCATAAACAAGCATACATTGCAACCATCACCATAACACGAGATGCGCAGTAAAGCAATGCACATGTAAAGGGAGGTAACAGCGTGCTATATTGGATCGCATTGATTTTGTATTAGGATTTTGTTTTAAATTTAAAATGGAATCAAAAACAAAATATGCAGCAGACTTTATGATGATGCAAGCGTTGCCTGAGAACCAAGACTATTATTTTTTTAGCCTTTTGTATTTACAAACGAACTTTAACAGTTAACATTTGGATTACTTTTTCTACATGTGTGTCTGTTGGGCAAGTGATGGGGAAAGTGTTTTGTTGCCTTTACTGATGACCCGTGTTGTTCTGGGTGTTGTAGAAGTGCTGAGTTCTCCTGACCTGGAGTCCAGTGTCTTCACCGATGTTGACGATGTGCGGTTCCACCACCTGCACGGTCACAATGCCACCGTCCTCAACAACGGCAAGACTGCCGCCAGACCAAACGCTACGGGAGAGTTCAATGATGCAATCGTGATGAGCAGTCGTCCGTTGAGAGACAACGAACTGTTCGAGGTGGTCATTGAGAGGATGGTTGACCGGTGGTCAGGGTCGATCGAAGCAGGTGAGTGACCGTTGACTGTAGCTGTCTGTCTGGCTTGTGTGGTCAAGCTAAGCTGTGTACTCTTCAGAGGAATAAACAACATGACTGTTGAGAGCTTCACTTAGTTTGGTACGGTATATAAGGTCTACAGTAACAGAAGTTGATCGAAAACATGTGTTTTAAAGAATTTCTCAAAGTGGCTTCTCCAATAACCACTGTTTCAGGGGAGTCCCAAGTATCCAAGATGTATTTCAGTTTTATCAGTGGGAGTCAGGGAACTCTGGGTGTTGAAAAGGTCCAGGACATATTTCTTGACAATTAAGAAAAACTTACTGTGTCTCTCATCCACTGTGACATTGCCGCATGGGAACAGCAAGCATAGGTTGCACACATAGGGCCATGTGAAAATCAAACTGGGTCTTTGGCTTCAACTATTAGGCTACCTCTGCTTAGTGATTAAGCTGAAGCTGCATGTGTTTCCAGGGATTTGTCTAGACCTCAGAGGTCTAAATCTACAGCAAACGTCATTTAACATTTCCAAATTGGATTTAAAGTTCTCCACTTTTGAACGGGATATTTTCATCTTTCAGTGACACACAGAAATGATTCTCATAATATTTTCAAGTGTATATTTAGATAGATACACATATCTGATACCAGGATCAATAAAGGAAGAGGCTTTTATGCAGTTTCACACTAATGCATTGACTGCAATCTTCAAATACTAGGTTAAAATACTTCTGGGTTTAATGAAAACAAGAACTTGATTTCCTTTGCCAATTTGCCTGCCATGGTTAAGAATCCAAGATTAATCCCTTCTTTACATACATTCACTGTCACTGCAGCAGAGGATTCAGGGGAAATATGACCCAGAGATCCCCACAACCTAAGCTTCATATGTGGCGATAGAGAATTAGTAATATCAGTAATATTCCATCACTGTGTAGACCCTGTGGGGAGTCCTCATCTAAACGTGTTACTCCTAGGAGCAAACGTAGGAAGTAACTTTGTGTGGCAATATTTATCTTTATCCATGTTTCCTCTGTGAGTTCTCATCTGTCTTCAGTTTTACATCTTTTGATTTCTATATTGTGTCAGTAGCTCCTAGAATGGCCATTTGCACATGTTAGAATGGACACTACCATCCCTTGAGTACATGCGCACCTGAGTAGTACATCCCACTCTGGTCACAAGACTAACTGAGGGAATGGTCACAATGGTTGTTCACGTTTTTTGTTAAATGCCGCACTCCGCAATGTTTCAGCTACATGGCAGTCTGTAAATAATCAAGTCTGGGCCAAGGACCTTTTACTTTAGTGAAACGACCATCTCCATCACCCTGCCTCACACTATCACATTTGTGTGAAATTTGATCGGTGTCATGTCATTTGACTCCAAGTCAACAGGTTAGCCAATGGGTTGTTGGTACTTGTCCTAATAGAATGGGGATATGATATACTGGATAACTGAGCTCTACTTGATGAAGATCCACTGTCACATTATCAACCACAAGTTCACTGTCGTCAGACCAAGTTTAACCTTTTCCCTCTTTTGCCGAGTCCTAACATCCCCGTGATATTGCTGCAATATTGCTAAAAGTGGCGTCAAACCATATTCACTAACCCTCCACGGTCGGGTAGCCTAGTGGTTAAAGTGTTCACTCGTCACGCCAAAGACCTGGGTTCAATTCCCGACATGCGTACAATGTGTGAAGCCCATTTTTTGTGTTCCCTGCCGTGATATTGCTGGAATATTGCTAAAACCATACTCACTCACAATATTGATCACCTGTTTGTCAGGTCCAGACTCCACTGTTTACAGACTTCTGTCACATAGTTGGAACATTCCTGAGTGACATTAAGCAAAAAACAAACTGAACATCAAAGGGTACAGCAGCAAGCCTGAAGGGCCCAGGATGCCCTTTGTTTTGAACACGAGATCTATGTGACTATAACGTGTGTCATGGTAAACTGCAGTGTTCCTCAACACTCACTCACTCACCCACCCACACCTTGTACTCCAGTGGCATTGTTGACACAGTGTGTGTTGTGTGACAGGGCTCTGTCACCCCCTATGTCAGCACACATGCCTCATCACTGGATTGTCTGGTCCAGCTATCATATAGCTGCAATATTGCTGACTGGCATCAACCCCCATGTCAGCACACATGCCTCATCACTGGATTGTCTGGTCCAGCCATCATATAGCTGCAATATTGCTGACTGGCATCATCCCCCATGTCAGCACACATGCCTCATCACTGGATTGTCTGGTCCAGCCATCATTTAGCTGCAATATTGCTGACTGGCATCACCCTCCATGTCAGCACACATGCCTCATCACAGGATTGTCTGGTCCAGCCATCATATAGCTGCAATATTGCTGACTGGCATCACCCTCCATGTTAGCACACATGCCTCATCACTGGATTGTCTGGTCCAGCCATCATATAGCTGCAATATTGCTGACTGGCATCACCCCCCATGTCAGCACACATGCCTCATCACTGGATTGTCTGGTCCAGCCATCATGTAGCTGCGATATTGCTGACTGGCATCACCCTCCATGTCAGCACACATGCCTCATCACTGGATTGTCTGGTCCAGCACACATGCCTCATCACTGGATTGTCTGGTCCAGCCATCATATAGCTGCAATATTGCTGACTGGCATCACCCTCCATGTTAGCACACATGCCTCATCACTGGATTGTCTGGTCCAGCACACATGCCTCATCACTGGATTGTCTGGTCCAACCATCATATAGCTGCAATATTGCTGACTGGTATCACCCCCCATGTCAGCACACATGCCTCATCACTGGATTGTCTGGTCCAGCCATCATATAGCTGCAATATTGCTGACTGGCATCACCCCCCATGTCAGCACACATGCCTCATCACTGGATTGTCTGGTCCAGCACACATGCCTCAATCTGTTACCTAGCATTTCATCAGTAGTCCATATGGGGATTCAGGGTTAAAATGGGTCCTCCAATCTTGTCGTAAGAGGCGACATAATGAATTGAGTGGTCTGACTCAGTGACTTGGTTGACAATGACACCTAGAGTGTGGATTGTTGCTCATAATATCAACCCCTGGCATCCCTGGCTTAGTCTTGTTAACTTACAGGCTGATCTCATATCAATAGAATATTGCTGAGTGCGGCATTAAACAACAAACAAAACAAAGCAGTTTTAAGAAGTTTTCTGTTGATAATTTACACCGTGAAGATCCAGGTGAGAATAGGCCTTCAGCAACCATGCTTGTCGTAACAGGCGACTATGCTTGTCGTACGAGGTGACTAACAGGATCAAGTGGTCAGGCTTGCTGACTTTGTTGATGCATGTCATCTTATCCCTTATTGCGTTCATTGATGCTCATGATATCAATCACTGGATTGTCTGGTCCAGACTCGATTATTTACAGACCGCTGTCATATGGCTGGAATAGTGCTGAGTGCAGCTTTAAACAAGAAACGAGCAAGCACAAGTTGATAATTTCCATGCCACAATACTGCTGTATTCATATATGTGCTGGGTTTGACTGTGGTTTACCGTGTGTCTCTAGGTGTCAATGGGTGCACACCTACCTGGCCAGATCATGTCACGTCCCTGAAACAACACGGGGTGAAACTTGGTATGTTGCATCTGCTTAGATACTAGTCATGTTTGCACGTTTGGCCTTCACCTTCATATTTAAGGTTTGAAATTGCGCCCCCAAGTCTGCTTACTCCAGATTGAGGCCAGTGAGGTTTGGACCTTGAATAGAATGCCCTTCCTGTATAGTGCATGCAATTTTTCTGCTTTTTATTGAGTTTCCTGTGTTTGGATGTTTTCTTTTTTCTGGCTTCAAATTTTAATTTTAATTGGTGAATGTTTTGTCTTGTCTTTAAAAAAAGCCATTAAGTACATTATTATTAAGTTTGATTAGGCTGGGCTTCAAGGAACTGCCTGTCTCTCTGTGTAGATCTCATCCTGCTGAACTTGCAAGGTGTCCACCACTGCTTATAGGGTTAAGTCCTGTAATTGTTGCAAATGACTACGTGGCAAAAATCTACAACTTATTTCATGTTTCTGCAAGGAATGTTGCCTGTTACATGCATGTGTTTTCTGCAAGAAGTAATGTTTTGAAGAATAAGTTTTGTTACAAAACAAATGCATGATTCAGTCCGTGAGGCTGGAGTTTATAAGTGGTACAAAGAGAGTTAACAGGTTACCATGGTGACAGGCATGCTTTATCTTAAGATTGTGTGTAACAAACTTGCATTTCAGTGTAAAACTGGGCACAGTTTCAGTAACGGTAGCCATTATTTTTATTATTGAGTCATGTTTATTTTGGTTTTTCTATTAACGTTCACTACTTTTGTCCAAATCCATCCATGTGACCACTGAACCGTATTTGTCATAAGAAGCACCCACCCCAAGAAACACCCCTGATCCACTTCAAAACAAATCTCAAAGTAATCTTCATACTCAAACTAAGATTTACATGACACCTGACCTGATTTCCTTGTGAATACAACAGGACCTTTTACATAGGATTGCCATGGCGTTCCCATGGCAAAGTGTCAGCAAAAATATTTTATTTTCATCAATATTTGAACTAAGTGTGTTCAAAACAAATTTGACTTTTGTCAATATACAAAGCACCAAGGGCTGTTATTATGGTGAATACAGTATGTAACATTGGATATGATTGTCAATATACAAGGCACCAAGGGCTGTTATTATGGTGAATACAGTATGTAACATCGGATATGATTGTCAATATACAAAGCACCAAGGGCTGTTATTATGGTGAATACAGAATGTGACAATTGATATGATTTAGTTTCATCAAGTTCTGAAACTAACCAGAAACTTCTGTCATCTTTTACTCGTGTTTATGTTGAACAAGGCAGTGCTGGACACCCCGCTTGTTTGCTTTTAACCAATAACCCAAGAACCTTTGTTTTACTAATACCTACATACCTCTATATATAGAGCTATATATAAGCTGGGCTATTTGACGCGAACCTTTGTTTTACTAATACCCACATACACCTCTATATAGAGAGCTATATATAAGCTGGGCTATTTGACACGAACCTTTGTTTTACTAATACCTACATACCTCTATATATAGAGCTATATATAAGCTGGGCTATTTGACACCAGGATGCTGCACCACTGAGCCTCGTTGGGCTGGGATGAGTCCAAATTTACTACCCGGTACCCGACCCCCTATTACCCAACCCCCTATTACCCAACCCCACCCAGATACCTGCTGTAGGCCTCAAGAGTTGCCAACAAAATGTCCACTTGAGAATTGTTTCACATGAGCCCTGGATAAAACTTCTTAAATACATGCATAACATGATCTGATCATGCATACACTGATGTTGACTCAAGCTTTATCTTTACTCAAACATGTAAAATTCAGAAGGAAATTTGTGCATAGTCAGAAAGAAATGTGACCATGTAGTGTCTTGTAGTGTAACCATGGAGTTTGATTGTTATTGTCATTAAACAGAATATCACATGACTAACCACGGTTCCTGTCATCCTGTGGGTACCCGGGGCCTACTCTGGAACCACCAAACCCGAATACCTGAGTTACCCATCCCAGCCCTAGAATCCAGGCCGCCCACTGTGTTCTGTGATGCAGTGCTGTCTTGCAAGAACTAGCTATCCATATTACTAATTTCATTTTGCTGATTTTTTTAATAATTATTGTGTAATATTTTTACAATATGAAAATAAGCACATAAATAACATATTTTCAAATTTCAGAAGATTTCAATGTAACATAAATATTTTGTCTACCAGAGTAGATGGTAACTTTGCAGTCATTTCCGATTGGCGTAACTTTCCAATTTAAATATCTGCCTGTAATCGCTGAATATGGGTGTATTTGAGCGAGAAGAGAAATGTTGAAGTCCCCAGCCACACTGTAAACCTGGGCCGTGTTCCTCAAACAGCCTTAAAATGTGATTATCCAAAGTCGATGGAACTTGGCCAATTTGAACAAAGTGATCTTAGCGTTACAACTATTGTAAGCCTATGTTACAGAATGGGAGTTACGATCATCTCAGTGCTAAGATCGCCTTATGCACATAGATCCAGGGCCCATTTGCACAAAGTGATCTTAGTGCTACGACTATTGTAAACCTACGTTACAGAATGGGAGTTATAATCATCTCAGTGCTAAGATCGCCTTATGCACATAGATCCAGGGCCCACTTGCACAAAGTGATCTTAGCGCCACGACTATCGTAAGCCTATGTTACAGAATGGGACTTGCGGTCATGAAAGTGCTAAGATCGCCTTATGCACATAGATCCAGGGCCCACTTGCACAAAGTGATCTTAGCGCCACGACTATCGTAAGCCTATGTTACAGAATGGGACTTGCGGTCATGAAAGTGTTAAGATCGCCTTATGCACATAGATCCAGGACTATAGTGGAGCTATGTCTGTACATAGTGTTGGCTTCTGCAACAGCTGGGAAGTAGATTTCTGGTGGAACCAAATCAAATATTTATGACTTATAAAATATATATATACCAAATTAGGCAGCATTGTTGTTTTCTTGGTATAAGATGAGTCATGTGAAGCTCAACTCCCTGCTGTATTTATTCATGAAGATCTGGAAGATAGGTCTTCAGCAACCAATGCTTGTCGTAAGAAGCGACTAATGGGATCGGATGGTCAGGCTCGCTGACTTGGCTGATGCATGTCATCGTATCCCAATTATGTGTATCTTGCTCATGTTGTCAATCACTGGAATGTCTGGTCCAGACTTGATTGTTTACAGACCTCCGTCATATAGCTGGAATATTGCTGGGTGCGTTGTTAAACAACAAGAAACAAACACAAAGAAAGAAACAAGTTTATCAATGATATACCGAGTATGGATTCCAGGGCAGAATAGGCCGCTGTAAGAGCTGACTTAAACGTACCGATACACTAAGACTGACTTAAACGTACCGATACACAAAGACTGACTTAAACGTACCAATACACTAAGGCTGACTTAAACGTACCGATACACTAAGGCTGACTTAAACGTACCGATTACACTAAGACTGACTTAAACGTACCGGTACACTAAGAGCTGACTTAAACGTACCGATACACTAAGACCGACTTAAACGTACCGATACACTGAGACTGACTTAAACGTACCAATACACTAAGACTGACTTAAACGTACCGATAACACTAAGGCTGACTTAAACGTACCGATAGACTAAGACTGACTTAAACGTACCGATACACTAAGACTGACTTAAACGTACCGATACATTAAGGCTGACTTAAACGTACCGATACATTAAGACTGACTTAAACGTACCGGTACACTAAGGCTGACTTAAACGTCCCGATACACTAAGACTACACTTGTTTTACTCTGTGTTTGTGTGCCATCTCCATGACTGTCCCGAGAGCGGCGTAAAACAACATACACTTACTCAATAAAAAGAAACACAGTCTTTGGTTCAGTTTCTTGTGTCAGAGCAATGTATGTTGTTTGTCAGCGTGTCATGTTGCTTCCTCTATCAACCTATGCTGCTTTTCATGGACTTTGCCATTTATTTTGCTGATGCGGCGTAAAACAATATTTATTCCTCCTTGCCTTTACTCTGCGACCGTGGGCCTGGTATATCTTGTCCTTCCCTTGGTACAATGTAGCTGTTGTGAATCTGTGTAGCTGATTGCCTGGCCTCCCTCCAAATCCAGTGTATTATGTCACCAGTATATTATGCCCCACCACCAAGTGGAAGGGGGGGGATATAGCAATGGGTGCTGGCCGTCCGTCACGCTTTGTTTCCGGAGCAGAACTAAAAAACCATGAAATATATCTTAACCAAACTTGGCACATAGATAGGTCTAGTGGTAAGCTGCTGCCTTTTGATTGTTTGGGATTTTTGAAAAAATTATTTTCGAGTTTCCATGGTTACGACTTTGATGTAGCCTGAAAATGGCATTAGTGCCACTTTCCAGAGCAGATCTTGAAAACCATACGATACATCTTCACCAAACTTGGCACATAGATAGGTCTTACGGTAACGTGGTGCCATTTGATAGTGGTAGTAGTGATCTTTTCTGGAGGGCTATTGCCTTAAACACAACCGGACATGTCATATTGCTTGTTTTGATAAAAACGATTCACATAGTCTCCACTGTGGCTTGATTTAGGAATTGATGAGAAGAAATTGCCAGAAACCTATGATAGTGGGTTTGATTATGGTTCTAGGTTTGTCAGCACCATACCCATGCTCGTGGGTTTCACCAAAGTGGTAAATGTCTGAGACCTGCATCACTTTGGGCTTTCCTCCAACATCTAGCTGACAATATAGCTGACATAACTGAAATACTGTTAAAGCGGCATTAAACCCAACTCACTCACTCACTCACTCACTCACTCACTCACTCACTCAATAATACATGTTTTACCCCTTGAAGTGCATCAAATTACCTTAGCACCTAGATATAAAAACATGACAGAATTTGCAAAATGTCTGTAGACACCCAGCTAGCGGTACACATGCTTTGCAAATCCAGTCCTGCAGTTGACCGAAATCTGCACATTGAAATGCATGTTGTTTACGAACCGGGTGTCTAGTTTGTTTTGCGATTTTGATAGGTCTGTGCATAGACTCATTAGTCCAGCCAAAATGTAACTCCATAATTCCAGGCTAGTTCGCCAAGGGTGGAAACTGGACTTATACAGACCGTTAACTCCCTTGCCTTGGGAGGATGTATACTGCCAGCCAGTTGTAGGGGAGATGGTACGCCAAGGGTGGAAACTGAACTTATATGGACAGTTAACTCCCTTGCCTTGGGAGGATGTATACTGCCAGCCAGTTGTAGGGGAGATGGCACGCCAAAAAATACATGTGATATTGCTGATTGTTTCAGTCAGGGATGAATGGTGTAATTTGATTGTATAGCCAGTGTTTACATCGTGTCAGTGGTGACTACAGCGTACATTAAAGAACAGACAATAGATTGCCACAGGATGATCTGACTGAAAGGCCTTACAACAGCCTGTAGTCAGAAATATGTCCTCGCAGAGCAATATAATGTCAGTGGAACAAAAATAATTTGACACTTCTTGGGCCTTGCCAGGATCTGCTGATCAGTTAGGATCCCAGATTAGCTCCGATTATGACCCTAGACCTGTCAGCCATCTGTGTGTTACCTCCCTTTGTTGTACCAGGATCCATTCATTCTGTGTTCTAATCCCCTGGTTTGTCAGCCCTGTCTGTTGTTCATGGGTTTCAGTGGTAAACATGTCTTCCTCCCTCAGTAAGCACACAGGCCGTATACTAGCTTGCCCTTCATCCAAACAAGGATCAGTGCTCACACTAAGCTTTGGGGCTGCCATGACATACTAATATTACTGACAACAGCATGAAACTATTATGTGACACTCAAAAACAGTGGGACGACTGGTGCAGGTTCCTTTAGAATTGTAGGACTAACTGAGCTTGTAAACCACTCCACAAAGTGATGTAGCACTACGACTGTCATAAGTCCCATACTCTAACACAGACTTGTGATCGTTGTCATGCTGAGACTGGGACCTGTGAAGATCTGGGGTAGAATAGGTCTTCAGCAACAGACGCTTGCCATAAAAGGCGACTATGCTTGTGGCAAGAAACGACTAACGGGATCGGGTGGTCAGGCTGCCGCTCGCTGACTTGGTTGATGCCTGTCATCGATCCCAATTGCGTGGATCGATGCTCATAATGTCAATTACTGGATTGTTTGGTCTGGACTCGATTATTGAAAGACCGCTGTCATATAGCTGGAATAATGCTGAGTGCGGTGTTAAACAACCAACCAAACCAACTGAGACTGGAGTCGTCTTAAATCAAGCCTCCTGCTTCACCATCTTTGGCTTCTTGTCCCTTTAGATATATTGAAGCTTTACCAAATATTTAGACAGTCCCTCAATATTGGCGAAATAGGTCCGGAATTGCAAGTGACTGGTTTCCGGACATAGTTCTACATATTTTAGCCATTTTTAGATATTTCACATGGAAACAGTGTATGCACTTTTGATCAGTTAATATAGGTTTGGATATGTACACACTATATTTTTATTTTGCATGTAATTTTAATAATTGTAAATCTATGTACATTGTATCAAGAATATCTGAAATGTGCCTACAGTTTGCATGAATTGTCAGTCCTGTTTATCTCTGAAGATTGCGTTTATGTTGATGTGTTCTTGTCATTTCGATGTTCATCCATAGAATAAGTTTCTCCTTCATGACGTGTACACTTGTACCAACCCTGAATGTGATAGACTGCCCTATTTCAACAACCACTATAATTACCTGGCACTGGTTTCAGGTGTGACTCTCATTAAGCCCGAGGACTTGGACTTCCCCAACACCATGACCGACATCGAGTACGACACGTGGATGCTCAGGTAGGCGTTAGTCATTTGTTTGCCTCACCCAGCAATATTCCAGGGAGACCAGCATTGGTTTCTGGGGACCAATTCTTACCCAGAATCCCCACAGGGAGACCAGCATTGGTTTCTGGGGACCAATTCTTTCCCAGAATCCCCACAGGGAGACCAGCATTGGTTTCTGGGGACCAATTCTTACCCAGAAGCCCCACAGGGAGTCTTGTCTCAAAGTTCAGTTAAAGGTACTATAAGGTTACCATGGTTACTTTGAATGAGGTAGCTTCCTTAAGGCTGCAGTGGAAATTCAAACACCATTATTACTGTTGACTTTAATCATTATTGCATATTGTTCTTAGAACTCACCGAGGCGGTCGGGTAGTCTAGTGGTTAAAGCGTTTGCTTGTCACGCCGAAGACCCGGGTTCAAATCCCGACATGGGTACAATGTGTGAAGCCCATTTCTGGTGTCCCCTGCCGTGATATTGCTGGAATATTGCTAAAAGCGGCTGAAACCAAACTCACTCACTCACTCACTTAGAACTCACCAACATTTACTTTATTTCATTGATAACTTAGTTAGTCAACAATATATTTTCTTCAAGCGACTGTGCGACAGGTGCATTCTGCTATGGATGTGATAATTTATGACTAATGTTGTTGCCATGGTGACTTGACTTTGCGAAGGCTGCTGTTGTTATTGACAAAGGGTTATGGCATTGTTTACTTGATTGCCCAGAGTTGCTCCCATTACCTTCTGTTTGTCTTCCACAGTGGGTCCGCGATCATGCAGGATGGTTCGACAATCAGAAACGGGTACCCACTTGATCTGGATGCCATCGTGGTGGGGTCACGCATCGGGATGATGAGATGCTCTGATGGCAGCCTACACTTCTTCCTGAATGGAGAGGACCAGGGCGTGGCATGTCAGGACATAGCCCCAGGTAGACACAGCACACGAGGGGGACACATTGTCCCAGGTAGACACAGCACACAAGGGGGACACATTGTCCCAGGTATAGACAAAGTGTCCCAGGTAGACACAGCACACAAGGTGGACACAATGTCCCAGGTAGACACAGCACACCAGGTGGACACAATGGCCCCAGGTATAGACAAAGTGTCCCAGGTAGACACAGCACACAAGGTGGACACAATGGCCCCAGGTAGACACAATGGCCCCAGGTAGACACAGGTAGACCACTCCAATGGCCCTAGGTAGACACAGCACACAAGGGGAACACATTGTCCCAGGTAGACACAGCACACATGGTGGACACATTGTCCCAGGTAGACACAATGGCCCCAGGTAGACACAGCACACAAGGGGGACACAATGTCCCAGGTAGACACAGCACACAAGGTGGACACATTGTCCCAGGTAGACACAATGTCCCAGGTAGACACAACACACAAGGTGGACAAAATGTCCCAGGTAGACACAGCACACAAGGGGAACACATTGTCCCAGGTAGACACAGCACACAAGGTGGACACATTGTCCCAGGTAGACACAATGTCCCAGGTAGACACAACACACAAGGTGGACACAATGTCCCAGGGAGACACAGCACACAAGGTGGACACATTGTCCCAGGTATAGACAAAGTGTCCCAGGTAGACACAGCACACAAGATGGACACAATGTCCCAGGTATAGACAAAGTGTCCCAGGTAGACACAGCACACAAGATGGACACAATGTCCCAGGTATAGACAAAGTGTCCCAGGTAGACACAGCACACAAGGTGGACACAATGTCCCAGGTATAGACAAAGTGTCCCAGGTAGACACAGCACACCAGGTGGAAACAATGTCCCAGGTAGACACAACACACAAGGTGGACACATTGTCCCAGGTAGGCACAACACACAAGGTGGACACATTGTCCCAGGTATAGACAAAGTGTTCCAGGTAGACACAATGGCCACAGGTAGACACAACGACCTCAGGTAGATATAATGTCACAGGTAGATACAATGTCACAGGTAGACACAATGTCACAGGTAGACACAAAAGCCTCAGATAGATACAGTGCCCCAGGTAGACACAATGGCCTTGGGTAGATCCTGCTGCAGTGATGCAGACCTACCTGAGTCATCCCATGATGTAGATCCCCTGTCTTGTGTTCCAGGTGTGTATGCCGTGGTGGACCTGTACGGGCAGTGTGCCCAGGTGAGCATCACCAGCGGCTCAGGTGTGTTGCCCACCGACAACCATATCGTCATCGCGGACATAGAACAGAGTCTCTCATCTGCTCTTAATTCAGGTCAGTACGACGTTGTGGAGACAAATGGCATTAGAGAATTTTCATTGTTTTATAGCATAGGACATTCCTTTGTCATTACAGAATTTGAAAATATCTTTTTGACAGTTTGAATGATGATCAATGTCCTAGAAAAAGAACATAATGTTATTTTGATAGTATCCTTCAGTGCGTCATCTCTTCCCATATAATTCCAGAAATAACGCACAGATTTAGTAACTGCTGTGGAAAGAATATTGTGATAAAGAACAATGGCTGCACTGCGAACCGAGTGAGGAACTTCAACCACGGGGTGGTGTTCAGCTCCGAGCCACTTAAGTATGATGAGCTGTTTGAGGTGAGTATGGGGAAGTTTCATTCTGGTATGGTACTGCTGCTGGGTAGGGGGTAGTGTAGTCGAGGATGTCAAGGACGGGCTTCAATTCCCAGTTCTCGTTTGAAGCCCATTCTTGTTGCCACCCCAGGTGTTTTGTGAAACAGTGAAAAATCACTATCTTCATTTCCCTTGCTGTCCTGTGAAGATCTGAATTAGAAGTGGTCTTCAGCAATCCATGCTTGTCATAAGGTGTGACTAACGGGATCAGGTGGTCAGGCTCACTGACTTGTTTGATGCATGTCATTGTATCCAAATTGCATAAGACCCATGCTCATGATGTCAATCACCAGATTGTCTGGTGCAAACTCGATTATCTACAGACAGCCGTCTTATTCCACTTCAATCATCATAATGCTGGGACTTGAGCCTGCGCCCATTTCACTCACATATCTCGGCTTTTGGGTTAGAGTGAGTGAGTGAGTTTGGTTTTAGGCTGCTTTTAGCAATATTCCAGCAATATCATGGCGGGGGACACCAGAAATGGGATTCACACATTGTACCCATGTCGGGATTCGAACCCGAGTCTTCGGAGTGACAAGCGAACGCTTTAACCACTAGGCTACCTGACCGCCCCTTTTCGTTTAGATCAAGGATGATCCTCTCAATTCGGTCAACTTACTATTGGAGGATTCATGAATGGATCCAGTATACAAATATTAACTGTTTCAAGTCACAGGATAATAAATAGTTAACGTTGAAAGTAATGAATTACTGATCTTGAAATTGTAATTGAAATTTTGGGTTGTAATCCAAAAGGTATTTGGTAACCATGGTAACCCTTCTGATAAAAAAGTACTTGGTAACCATCGTAACTTTTCTGATAAAAAAGTAATCGGTAACCATGGTAACCCTTCTGATAAAAATAAGTAATTGGTAACCATGGTAACCCTTCTTTCCCGCAGATGAAGGTAGAGGAGGTGTCCAACCAGTGGTCTGGCTCGATACACATCGGCCTGACAACCATGGCCATCTCGGACTCCACCCCGCTCTCACAGATCCCGGCCAGTGCCGAGGACATCACCTCCAAGGTCACATGGATTGTGTCGGGGTCGGAGGTCAAGAAGTCGGGCAAAACTATCAAAGAAAACTATGCCCCTTCCCTGGAGAGATTAGAGGTACACACAGGGGTGTTTGATGGTGGTGGTGTTGTGGAGCTTAGTGTGGAAGTACAGGATGAGGCTACAAGATGTTGTGTTTCTGTTGTCCTCGGCTGAGAGAAAATGTCTTGGTGATTAAAGGGGGGCTGTGCTTCATGATGTTGTGCTGGGTTCCAGCCGCAGCCTTGACGTTGCAATAACTATTGAGCTGAGACAATGTGTGTGTCTTGGTGACTAACGGGCGACTGTGCTTCATGATGTTGTGCTGGGTTCCAGCCGCAGCCTTGACACTGCAATAACTATTGAACTGAGACAATGTGTGTGTCTTGGTGATTAAAGGGGCACTGTGCTTCATGATGTTGTGCTGGGTTCCAGCCGCAGCCTTGACACTGCAATAACTATTGAACTGAGACAATGTGTGTGTCTTGGTGATTAAAGGGGCACTGTGCTTCATGATGTTGTGCTGGGTTCCAGCCGCAGCCTTGACACTGCAATAACTATTGAACTGAGACAATGTGTGTGTCTTGGTGATTAAAGGGGCACTGTGCTTCATGATGTTGTGCTGGGTTCCAGCCGCAGCCTTGACACTGCAATAACTATTGAACTGAGACAATGTGTGTGTCTTGGTGATTAAAGGGGCACTGTGCTTCATGATGTTGTGCTGGGTTCCAGCCGCAGCCTTGATGCTGCAATAACTATTGAACTGAGACAATGCGTGTGTCTTGGTGATTAAAGGGGGGCTGTGCTTGATGATGTTGTGCTGGGTTCCAGCCGTAGCCGTGACGCTGCAATAAGTATTGAACTGAGACAATGTGTGTGTCTTGGTGATTAAAGGGGGGCTGTGCTTCATGATGTTGTGCTGGGTTCCAGCCGCAACCTTGACATTGCAATAAGTATTGAACTGAGACAATGTGTGTGTCTTGGTGATTAAAGGGGGGCTGTGCTTCATGATGTTGTGCTTGGTCCCAGCCTTGACGTTGCAATAACCAATGAACTGAGATTGATTGCTGGAACATTTCAGTCGTCAGACTAACCAAGTGTTTTTGTCTTGACTTGAATGTAACTTTCTGCGATTGCCAGTTGACCTGGAACTAGTCTTCCTTTGACTTGAAATCCACATCGCTTAGAATAATGAGTGAGTGAGTGAATATGGTTTTATGCCACTCTTAGCAATATTCCAGCAATATCAGGCACTAGGACACCAGAAATGGGCTTCACACATTGTACCCATGTCAGGAATCGACCCCAGGTCACAACATCTGTACTGTTAAACCCAGCTCCCTCTCTCTCACTGATGTTTCTCTGTGTCAGGTGGGAAACAGAATCGGTATCCGCAGGTGTTCTGATGGCACTCTTCATATCTACCTGAATGGGGAGGACCTTGGAATAGCTGCTTCCAACATTCCAAAGGTAAATAAGTCTTTCAGCATATCTTTACATCACAGGTCACACGATTTCCGCCTAACACAATCCATTGTTTTCACTGTTTCTCTTTGCCATGGTGGCCACAGTGGCTGCCCAACAACAGTGGCGATATTTTACCCCCACCGACCAGGGCCTCCTTCAACACAGCAGGGGTATGGGTGGCCCAGTTGTCTGAGCGCCCCGCCAGTGCTCATGGGTTTCGGCAAAGTGGTAAATGTCTGAGACAGGGATCAAAGTGATGTAACTGAAATACTGTTCAAAGCAGTTTTAAGCTGAATCTCCCCACAAAGATTTTAGCACTACAATTGTCGTAGGTCTTTCCCTTTGAATGTATGATCATTCTATGTGTATGTGGAAGCACAGGGGACCCCTCAATGCTGAGAAAGACGGTCAGCATGGTCAGTGGAAAGTGACTCAGGGCTCATGGCATATTGATGTATTTTACCCTCAGTCACTATTTACTCATGTTTTGTTTATCTTACAGCTTACTTGACAGTAATTGTTACCTTGGCCTTTTGTAACTGTCTAATCATGTATTGTCCTTTGTGTGTGTGCAGAATGTGTTCGCTGTGATAGACCTGTATGGATCGGTGGAGTCAGTCAGTATTATCAGCAGTGCAATAGCTGAAACCCCAAGCACCCCCAAGTCTCCTCCCGTCATCCTGGACCAGGTAGATTCCCAGGTGAGAAACTGGCACTCGTCTAGCGCCTATCAGGCAGCTTGGGTTGTATACTCCCTAGGGAGCTGCACATACCCCTGAATGGTGTGGACATGTGCTCCCTCTACACGCAGCCCAGACAGCGAATGGGACTTCTTCTTATTATTAACCAATGGTAAACACGGTATGCATGACACTCGTCGTTTGACCAAGGAACTGCCTACTTGATATTTTGAGGGCAGGTGGCTGGGGTATTTTTTTAATATTATTTGTTGAAAGAAATACTGCTAAACAACATTTTACCTCAGGATTTGTAAACAAATAAATTGTTCACTGGTTTACAGAAATATAAAGTCTTGTGAAGAAATATAAGTGTGGCTTCTTCTTTCAGAGAATACAATTGTATGAAAAACTTATATGAAAAATTTACTGTCCCTAACAAAACTCCCAAGCCTCATCCCTAATAGTAAGTGCTCATTCCGGCACATTTGGAGGTGTTCTGTGTGTACGATGATCCGGACAACTATGAGTTGGACAAACACCCCATCAGCAGTTTATCTAGACCTGCTCAGAGGCAGATATTCTGCCACAAGTCTGCAGCCAATGTCAGTGCAAATGGCCGCGTCATACCAAAAGACATTAAAAGTTGGTACTGATTGTAACACTGTCTGGCACTGGGCACGAGGCACTGGGCACGAGGCACGAGGCACTGGACACGAGGCACTGGACACAAGGCACGAGGCACTGACGGGATAGAATAAGGACAGGTTGGCTCAGAATCAGTATGCTGTGTGTGATTGGGGTGTCCATGTTAAAACTGTGCCATGGCATCTCAGTGGGCTGGCACTATGAAGGTGGAATGTGTCCAGGCTAGTACAAGCAGTCACAACACGTGCACGTGCACGCACACGTACACGCCCATGCACACGTACACACACACGCACACGCAAACACATACATGCACATAGCCACATCAAATCCCAGGGTTTTACCTTGACTTACAACGTTAAAAGATGGTACTTGTTGTTACCCTGTCTGGCGCTCGGCATTAAGGGGCTAAAACAAGGACTGGTCGGCTCGGAGTCAGTATACTGTGTCTGAGTGGGATATTCATGTTAAACTGCGGCATGGTATCTCAGTGAGCTAGCACTATAAATCGGCATCAGTCCGGACTATAATCTTGGAAGCGATGTTAAACCCCATTTCACCTCACCTCACCTTGACCCCAATAATTAATTTGAAGGGTCCTTGTAGGCAATATGAGGGTCCTGTGAAGTAATAAAATGTTGTAGTGCACTGTACATCTTGATAATTACTTAAGATCCTGGAATGAATGCTGCTTGTGTGCAGGCTGATCGAGACCAGGACCACGACACCATGGCAGCAAGTATCACCAGTTTCCAAGGCAACCATGGGAAGAATATTCTGCTGAGCAACAACAACCTGACAGCTCGGCGGGTGGCCAGCTACAACCAGGGCATCGTGGTGTCCCACAAACCCCTCACACGCAAGAAGCTCTTTCAGGTAGGGTGGACATTGTGTGCATGTGAGACTAAGGGGGCGTGGTAGCCCAGTGGTTTAAGTGTTCACTCGTCACACCGAAGACCCTGGTTCGATTCCCCGCATGGGAACAATGTGTGAAGCCCATTTCTGGTGTCCCCCGCCGTAATATTCCTGGAATATTGCTGAAAGCGGCATATTGCTGGAATATTGCTGGAATATTGCTGAAAGCGGTGTAAAACCGTACTCACTAACTTAGACTGACGTTTGTTCCTGATAAGCTAGTACAAGAGACGTGAGCATTAGGCATGGCATGTGTCTTGACTGAAAGTGGTGGGCTATTGCAGTGGTTAAACCTTTGGCTTAATATGATGAAGACTAGGGTGTGTTCTGACATGGGTACATCGTGTGAACCTGACATGGGTACATCGTGTGAACCTGACATGGGTACATCGTGTGAACCTGACATGGGTACATCGTGTGAACCTGACATGGGTACATCGTGTGAACCCGACATGGGTACATGGTGTGAACCTGACACGGGTACATAGTGTGAACCTGACAGGTACATCATGTAAACCTGACATGGGTACATCGTGTGAACCTCACACGGGTACATCATGTGAACCTGACATGGGTACATCTTGTGAACCTCACATGGGCTCGTGTGAAACCCCACAGGGGCACGTTGTGTGAATGCTTGCATCAGAGGACAATAGTATGGCTGGAATAATGCTGAAAGCTGCAATTTACTCACAGATTTACACAAGTGACTTCAAACTGTTGGTAGGCAGATCTATGAACAACTGATGAAGTGACAAGCAAAGAAAAAAATATCCTTCAGTACTGAGTCATTGAAGTAACAAAACCTGTCACTTCTGACATTTCTGACACCCATGCCGACACCAGCACCGTGCTGTGAATGTTCAAATTCAAATCTGTCTCTGTTGGCCACAACTCAATATATTTCTAACTACAGGTGAGCCATGGAGTATGAAGTCAAGTTGTCATGTTGCAGGTTCGGATCGACAAGCTGAACCCCCGCTGGAGCGCCTCCATGATGCTGGGCGTCCTTGGCTTCTCCTGCGACCGCTACAACTTCCCCGTCTCAGCCATCAGTATTAAAAAGTCATCACTAGTCATACATGGAGACTCTGTCTTCTCCTGTGGGTGCAAGGTAGGCAACTGTGATGTACACGGGGACACCACTGTGTCTTAGTACACAGACCTCAGAATGGATCCCCAGCAACCTATGCTGGTCCTAAGAGGAGAATAAGTGGATCTGGTGGTCTGGATCAGTGACCTGGTTGATTGCGTATCTTCCTACCCTGTCGGTGTGGAGGATTGCTCACTATATCAATCACTGTCTTATCAGGGCACAAAGCAATCTTAGCGCTAAGATGATCGTACCTCCCATACTTTAACATAGGCTTACAATAGTCTTAGGGCTAAGATCGCTTTGTGCAAGATGGCACTGGTCCAGACCTGATTATTTACAGTCCGCCATCATATAGCTAGAGTATTGCTGAGTGTGAAGTCAATCAACAAACAGACACACACCATATGACAGATCTTCAGGACAGGCCTGTCTGGAGTTTCCTTATTGTGTGATTTCCAAGGCACTTTGGCCATGGGCAATAACCCACCAGGCAGGCTAGCTCCAGTTGATTGAATCCATGAACCAAACAAATAGCAGGTGTCACCTTACACACCATGGTGATATAGCTGTGATACTCGGCATTAGACAGCCTCCGTGGTCTAGTGGTAGAGCGTCCGCCCGGAGAGCGGAAGGTCCTGGGTTCGATCCCCGACCGCGTCATACCAAAAGACCTTAAAAAATGGTACTTGTTGTTACCCTGTCTGGCGCTCGGCATTAAGGGGCTAAAACAAGGACTGGTCGGCTCGGAGTCAGTATACTGTGTCTGAGTGGGGTATTCATGTTAAACTGCGGCATGCTATCTCAGTGAGCTAGCACTATAAATCGGCATCAGTCCGGACTAGTATAAGCTGCCACACAAACACTCACGTGCATGCACGACGCTATATAAGTGCAATAATCTTGGACGCGACGTTAAACCCCATTTCACCTCACCTCCGAGTAAAACACAGATCACCTCACCACTCAGCATTAGGAATTGGCACTAGTCCTGTAGTCCTTGCCAAACTGCCCAATAGTTAAGGTATCATAAAGACAAAGCCATTTTTGAGGGTCTTGCTATATGTTATCAATATAAGGATGAGTGGGCTGAAAGAGTTAGTTTCTATCACTGAATTACTGCTCATGCACTTCCCTGAAGCGTTACGATGTGTTTCTACAAAGCACAATCCTTTGAAGTGATCTATTTGTGACTTGAACCAGCTGAATGTGATGTGATTTGTTGTCAGGTGCGAGACCTGTTGTCCTGCAACTTGGACAGCGTCCAGGTGGGGCAGTATGTGGGGCTACTGGTGGATGACGAGAACTGCCTCCACCTCTACATCAACGGGGTCGACCAGGGAGTAGCAGTCAAAGACGTTCCCACGCCTTGTTTCGGAATGGTCGACTTGTACGGCCAGTGTGAACAGGTAACCAAGAACCAATTGTCAAAATTTGTATTATTAAACAGAAAACAACTTTTGGCCTTGATAATTAAAACACCTTCACTTGTGATGAATTGATGCAGGTAAGCTGGCTTAAGGTCTAGAATCTATTTTTAGACATAACTACCTGTATCTTGTGATTGTTTCACCTTCATTCGGCGTTCTACTTGAGGGGAGCTCAGGTGGCCCATCACCCAATGCACTACAATGCACTATGCACAGTTAAGTTCCTTAGGCGTGCCCGAAATCATGGTCGTGAGTTCAAATCTGGGATCACCAGATTATATTTGCCAGCGCCAAGTATATGCTTGTGGGTTTCCCCATAGTGGTAATGACCTGTATGCTGACATGACGACATGATGTCATGGAACTAATATCAGTCTGCAGCTTTAGTCACAAGTCAAAGGCCTGAGTCTAGTAAGATTCTGTTCGGTCTTGTAAGCTCAGTTATAATACACCATATGATTACTGTAAACTGAACATGATACTGAGAGGCATATTCGGGGGCACAGGTGGCCCAGTCGTCTAAGGCGCCACGATTTGCTGTGCAGAGTTGCGTCCCTTGGGCATGCTAGAAACTTGTAATAGTGGGTACGAATCCCGGTTCGCCCCGATTATGTTTCTAGGTTTGTCAGCACCATACCAGTGCTTGTGGGTTTCACCGAAGTGGTAAACGTCTGAGACCTGCATCACTTCGGGCTTTCCTCCTACATTAAGCTGACATGAAGCGATATAACTGGAATACTGTTAAATGCAGTGTTAAATCCAACTCACTCACTCAGTAGAGCCAATATTAAAGTAAAAGACTCTCAGATATACTGGTGTTAGTAGTGTCAAACCCATCATACTGACTCAAACCCTGGATATGTTTGTGTGGAGAAAGATGCAGCTTTGGTGATGTCAGAACAGTTTACATCCATGGAGAATACAGACGTTGGCATCTATGAAACCCAAAAAATCACCTTTCACTAGACCAAATTGATTTAATATTTGAACATTTTAAATACAGGGAAATGTCCGTTGATTTGCAGGCTCATGATGTGGAACAGAAGTGGCTGTTAAGTTGTTGTGATATTGTGGTGTCAGACTTTCCTGTTATCTCAGACCCTGTGTGGTGTTGCAGGTGACGATAGTCAGCGAGGAAGGGAACATGCCGCCCCTCAACGTGGGCGACGACCGAGAGAAGGCAGACATTGATGATGGTGAGTGGTCTTGCATCCCATGTTGACAGGGAGTTCAACCATTTGAGGTCTCTCTGTACCACCAGATAGTGTCAACCATATGAGGTCTTTCTGTACCACCAGATAGTGTCAACCATATGAGATCTGTCTGAACCATCAGATAGTGTCAACCATTTGAGGCTCGTCCATACCATCAGATAGTGTCAACCAATTGAGGTCTATCTCTCTTCTACTATACTTCTTGCTTAGTGCCACATTAAGCAACACAAAAAACAAAACAACATTCACTCTTGTGGCTTCATTTTCACCCTGGTCAAATAAATGAATGCTAAAACAGCAATCTAGTCAAAGTGCACTTTTGAGAGAGAAATTCTGTGCAACGTTATCAGTGGTTATTGGTAAGAGAAATTGAGGTTGTGATGTCACTTCCCGAAATCTTACTATGTTAACAAATGGCTGAAGGGTATTTATCAGAATAGAATTAACAGATGAGCATTATGTGTTTCCAATGTAGAGCTAAGTTTCCTCTATATCTGACCTCAATAAATTAAGCTTTGAACCAAATAAGCAGAGGTTGTTATTGTCATTTGAAACCTCTGACCAATCAGAATCAAGTATTATCCTAATTCATGGTAGAAACAGCGACTTCACTTCCTTAACAAAAAGCAGGTGGATCCAGGGCATTTATCCGAATGGAGATAAAGTACCCTGGATGATGGAGGATGGTGATTGTACCGAGTGTGACTGATCTGTTGCAGTGGTGAAGGAGAAGCAGGGAGGCAGGATGGTGTGTGACCTGTCGGTCATGAGGAACTGTGAATATCAGAATCTTTGCTCAAGACTACGCACATCACTGGGCTTGCCAGGTAAAACAAGTGTTGTACTCACTGAAAACTGCTAGTATTTTTGGGTGGGAACTGGAGAATGTATTCTGTATGTTTTAGTCACATGACATGATGGTAGTGCTCCTTTCCGGAGCAGATCCTGAAAACCGTACAATATTTCTTCACCAAACTTGGCACATAGATAGGTCTAGTGGTAAACTGGTGCCTTTTGAAAGTTTTGATTTAAAAAAAAAAAAAATTCAAGTTGACATAGCAATGACTTTGACTTAGACTGAAAATGGGTGGGAGTGCTCGTTTCTGGAGCAGATCTTGGAAACCTTACAATATTTCTTGCCTTGCACAGAACCAGACATGTCATATTGGCGGCATATGAGTATTTCATGCTTGTTATTGTTTCAGATGGGTATTTCGACATGCAGTACAACATGTGTTACTGTGAGACCTGTCATAAGATGAGGGGAGACGACTTCTACGTGCGGAGGGGGGACCCCCCAAGTGATTACGCTGTACCCTTCGGCTGGTGCAGATTTGTGCTCAGGTGAGCTGTCACTTTCTTGTCTTAATACTTTAAAACAGATTTACTCCAGGCGTCTGTGTAAGTGAGAAATTACTTTTCGAAATGAATAAGTCATTAATGTGTCTTCTTGTATACAAGGGGCGGTCGGGTAGTCTAGTGGTTGAAGCGTTCGCTCGTCACGCCGAAGACCCGGGTTCCATTCCCGACATGGGTACAATGTGTGAAGCCCATTTCTGGTGACCCCCGCCGTGATATTGCTGGAATATTGCTAAAAGCGGCGTAAAACCATACTCACTCACTCACTCCTGTATACAAAATAACTTGAGATCTGAATAATCAGTAGATACTAAAAAGATTTTTCGCAAACTCCTAATGACATTGGTGTTTCTGCCACGCAGAGCTCCCTGTAAAGCGCACTCACTGAATGTGTTTGAGAAGTGGCACGCGGCCTACCATGGGACCAGGGTGGAGGTGGTGAGACGGATACTGGACTACGGTGACCTCTTACTGCCAGGTACAGCAGCACTAACACATCTCTCTCCTCTCCAGTACTCAACACAGAGGGTTTCAGTCCAACGGGATTAACACTTACACTGTAAAGACTTCCTCCAGAGTAGTGATCTAGTATGCATGGTTCCCAGACTGGCACAGGTGTTATGGAGACTTCCTCCAGAGTAGTGATCTAGTATGCATGGTTTCCAGACTGGCACAAGTGTTATGGAGACTTCCTCCAGAGTAGTGATCTAGTATGCATGGTTCCCAGACTGGCACAGGTGTTATGGAGACTTCCTCCAGAGTAGTGATCTAGTATGCATGGTTTCCAGACTGGCACAGGTGTTATGGAGACTTCCTCCAGAGTAGTGATCTAGTATGCATGGTTTCCAGACTGGCACAGGTGTTATGGAGACTTCCTCCAGAGAAGTGATCTAGTATGCATGGTTTCCAGACTGGCACGGGTGTTATGGAGACTTCCTCCAGAGTAGTGATCTAGTATGCATGGTTTCCAGACTGGCACAGGTGTTATGGAGACTTCCTCCAGAGTAGTGATCTAGTATGCATGGTTTCCAGACTGGCACAGGTGTTATGGAGACTTCCTCCAGAGTAGTGATCTAGTATGCATGGTTCCCAGACTGGCACAGGTGTTATGGAGACTTCCTCCAGAGTAGTGATCTAGTATGCATGGTTCCCAGACTGGCACAGGTGTTATGGAGACTTCCTCCAGAGTAGTGATCTAGTATGCATGGTTCCCAGACTGGCACAGGTGTTATGGAGACTTCCTCCAGAGTAGTGATCTAGTATGCATGGTTTCCAGACTGGCACAGGTGTTATGGAGACTTCCTCCAGTGTAGTGATCTAGTATGCATGGTTTCCAGACTGGCACAGGTGTTATGGAGACTTCCTCCAGAGTAGTGATCTAGTATGCATGGTTCCCAGACTGGCACAAGTGTTATGGAGACTTCCTCCAGAGTAGTGATCTAGTATGCATGGTTCCCAGACTGGCACAGGTGTTATGGAGACTTCCTCCAGAGTAGTGATCTAGTATGCATGGTTCCCAGACTGGCACAGGTGTTATGGAGACTTCCTCCAGAGTAGTGATCTAGTATGCATGGTTTCCAGACTGGCACAAGTGTTATGGAGACTTCCTCCAGAGTAGTGATCTAGTATGCATGGTTCCCAGACTGGCACAGGTGTTATGGAGACTTCCTCCAGAGTAGTGATCTAGTATGCATGGTTTCCAGACTGGCACAGGTGTTATGGAGACTTCCTCCAGTGTAGTGATCTAGTATGCATGGTTTCCAGACTGGCACAGGTGTTATGGAGACTTCCTCCAGAGTAGTGATCTAGTATGCATGGTTCCCAGACTGGCACAGGTGTTATGGAGACTTCCTCCAGAGTAGTGATCTAGTATGCATGGTTCCCAGACTGGCACAGGTGTTATGGAGACTTCCTCCAGAGTAGTGATCTAGTATGCATGGTTTCCAGACTGGCACAGGTGTTATGGAGACTTCCTCCAGAGTAGTGATCTAGTATGCATGGTTTCCAGACTGGCACAGGTGTTATGGAGACTTCCTCCAGAGTAGTGATCTAGTATGCATGGTTTCCAGACTGGCACAAGTGTTATGGAGACTTCCTCCAGAGTAGTGATCTAGTATGCATGGTTCCCAGACTGGCACAGGTGTTATGGAGACTTCCTCCAGAGTAGTGATCTAGTATGCATGGTTTCCAGACTGGCACAGGTGTTATGGAGACTTCCTCCAGAGTAGTGATCTAGTATGCATGGTTCCCAGACTGGCACAGGTGTTATGGAGACTTCCTCCAGAGTAGTGATCTAGTATGCATGGTTCCCAGACTGGGTTGGCAGCACCTGTAGGGCACGGGTGCTCTGTCATCTGAGGTGCAGCAATTTGCTTTTCAGAGTTTCATCCCGTGCTTTCCAGCATTGTTGATTTTTGTTTCAAATCCCAGATTATAACTACTTACTCCAGACTTGCAAAGTTCTATAGATACTTACTGAAGACCTTGAGAGTGTTATGGATACTTACTCCAGACTGACAGAGTGTTATAGATACTTACTCAAGACTTACAGGGTGTTATGGAGACTTGCCCCAGACTTGCAGGGTGTTATGTAAACTTACTCCAAACTTACAGGGTGTTATGGAGACTTACTCCAGACTTACAGGGTGTTATGGAGACTTACTCCAGACATACAGGGTGTTATGGAGACTTACTCCAGACTTACAGGGTGTTATGGAGACTTGCCCCAGACTTACAGGGTGTTATGTAGACTTACTCCAAACTTACAGGGTGTTATGGAGACTTACTCCAGACTTACAGGGTGTTATGGAGACTTACTCCAGACATACAGGGTGTTATGGAGACTTACTCCAGACTTACAGGGTGTTATGGAGACTTGCCCCAGACTTGCAGGGTGTTATGTAGACTTACTCCAAACTTACAGGGTGTTATGGAGACTTACTCCAGACTTACAGGGTGTTATGGAGACTTACATGGTGTTATGGAGACTTACTCCAGACTTACAGGGTGTTATGGAGACTTACTCCAGACATACAGGGTGTTATGGAGACTTGCCCCAGACTTGCAGGGTGTTATGTAGACTTACTCCAAACTTACAGGGTGTTATGGAGACTTACTCCAGACTTACAGGGTGTTATGGAGACTTACTCCAGACATACAGGATGTTATGGAGATTTACTCCAGACAAACAGGGTGTTATGGAGACTTGCCCCAGACTTGCAGGGTGTTATGTAGACTTACTCCAAACTTACAGGGTGTTATGGACACTTACTCCAGACTTACAGGGTGTTATGGAGACTTACATGGTGTTATGGAGACTTACTCCAGACTTACAGGGTGTTATGGAGACTTACTCCAGACTTACAGGGTGTTATGGAGACTTACTCCAGACTTACAGGGTGTTATGTAGACTTACTCCAAACTTGCAGAGTGTTATGGAGACTGACTCCAGACTTGCAGGGTGTTATGTAGACTTACTCCAAACTTGCAGGGTGTTATGGAGACTGACTCCAGATTTACAAGGTGGATTGAGTGTCTCAGTGTACTCATGTGTATGCAGGGGTTTATCTGTACCCGCTCAGAGGCCAATATTTGTCTCCGAGACTGCGGCAAATTCATGCTTGTATGTAACCAATAACTAATTAATAATCTGTATTTCACTGATAACAGGGCCAGGAAATAGAAAGAGGCTTTCATACTTTGTAAGGATAAGATTTGTGGAAGAACAACTTCTTTATTACAGTTTCATACTTAGTGCTTTATCATTGCTTTGGATACAATCTAATAATACAATGTTAATATGCCTCTGTTTTTAAGCATTGTTAAGAAAATAAAAATGTTAAAATAGTCCCACTTTTGAATAAATGATGATTTTTTCCCAGTTTGTGTGCCAGGGTTGGTTTAGAATCCAGGATTAATCCCTGGCAGGTACAGTGACAGGTCTTTGCATGAAGTAACTGTAGCTTCCATCTCCAGGTGACCCAGTCGGGGGGAAGAGCATCCTCATTCCACAGCCACAGGTGTTCACAGAGAAAGCCAAGCCAGACAGCTTTGGGGGGCAGCAGATCTTCTTCTCCCCCACAATACGCTACGCAGGAGCCTCCGAGTTCGCCCCAAAACACAGGTAGGGATACCAGATCAGGGCTCTGTTATGTGGCTGCGATATTGCTGACTGACATCACCCTCCATGTCATCACACATGCCTCATCACTGGATTGTCTGGTCCAGCCATCATATAGCTGCAATATTGCTGACTGGCATCACCCTCCATGTCATCACACATGCCTCATCACTGGATTGTCTGGTCCAACCATCATATAGCTGCAATATTGCTGACTGGCATCACCCCCCATGTCAGCACACATGCCTCATCACTGGATTGTCTGGTCCAGCCATCATATAGCTGCAATATTGCTGACTGGCATCACCCCCCATGTCAGCACACATGCCTCATCACAGGATTGTCTGGTCCAGCCATCATATAGCTGCATAATTGCTGACTGTCATTACCCTATGACCGATATGGTTACAATGCATTCATAATCAGCATCATCATTGCCATAAGGAGTGGTCGGGTAGCCTTGTGGTTAAAGTGTTCGCTCGTCATGCCGAAGACCCAGGTTCGATTCCCGACATGGGTACAATGTGTGAAGACCATTTCTGGTGTCCCCCGCTGTGATATTGCTGGAATATTGCTAAAAGTGGCGTGAAACCATACTCACTCACTCACTCATTTCCATAAAGCATTGACTTTGTGGGGAGGAATGTGTATATTCTTTTTGAAATAACTAGCATCCCTTCAAACTATGGGGACCAATGCTGGTTGTAAGAGGTGACTCACTGGATGAGGAAGTCAGACTTGGTACCTTGGTCAATAACGATTCATACCCCAACGTCATGTATCATTCATTGTCACTATAACAATCACTGATTGGATTTTTTCAGACTCATTTATTTACAGGCTCTCGTCATTTAGCTGCACTATTGCTAAGCAGCCGTAAAAATTGCCACTACTCCTGTAGTCCTTGCCAATTTGCCCAGTAGTTATCATAAGGACTAGACATTTGCCCTTTTTAAGGGTTTTGCTATATTTTATCATTGCAAGGACTAGTTGACAAAAACTGTTAGTTTCTACCATTGCTCAGTGTTACTTTAAGCAACAAACAAACTTGAATAATGCATGTGACCATGTTCATGTTTCAGATTTACAGACCTGAAAACAAAGAAGCTGTACCAGGCTCGAGTCGCATTCCAGGTGTGGGTGAAGCCAGGGTCTTACAAGGTCGGCCCACAGACCATTGAGGCGAGTGACCCCATCGATCCCAAGTTTAACAACAGTGAGCTGGAGTGGTCCACGAAGGAGCGGGGCTCCACCATGTTGTATGCCTTGCTGTTGAGGGTGGAATGAACAAGGCGGTGTGTGTGTGTGTGAGAGAGACCTTGAATCAACTATGGACGTGTGTCCATCCATATGGCTGTGATCCAACTAGGAGACTTGGTTTACCTTACATCTACTTATCTGAACGTGTATACTGTTGAGGTGGATTGTCGGGCAGACAGCTGGAACACCTGCTTGATATTCTACTGAAGCCCATACCTCACATCCTCTGGGTCATGTTTCGAACAAAGTGGCAATCTGTGTGGCCAACAGAGTAGAGCCAGGGGATAATGATGTACTTCAGTCAATCCTCAGACTTATTCCTGAAGATCCTGAGGTCTTGATGCCAATTGTACTCCAGAGAAATATTAGTGAATCCATTCTTGGAGGATGTATGAAGGATATTCAGAGGACATTTAAGACATACAGGAGGTCCGGAGGAAATAGCCCAGGGCTTGGATTCCAAACATTGCCAACATTGTAAGGGGGATCTTTCAGGTAGTGATTTCACGGTCACGTTACGGAGGCAAAGCACGACAAGGCAAGCTTAGCACAAAGATGATCGTAACTCCCATACATTTAACATAGACTTGGAAGTCGGAGCGCTAAGATCGCTTTGTAGAACGGAGCCCTGGTACATCGGCCTGCCTGACTGACCCCCACAAGCTGAGAGCATCAATGAATCAGGAGGTTGGGGTTCTTGTAGTCAGAACCAAAGAACAGCGTAACTCAGGACCTTACAAAAACCTGCGACCATTCTGATATAGCCCTGAGATACCCCTGCAAACACCACCACACAAAGTGTCCTGGGCAAGGATCAGTATCAGTCAGAGAAGCTGTGTTCTGCAACTGATCTAGAGATGGCTGGAACTTGGTGTTACCATGGTTACTTACCCATCGTGAAACAAAGCCTTTGTTCTCTACATCAAGGATACAATGTCTCAAGCCTGTTTTTGACCTCCTGTCTCGTCTGTACATTGACCAATGCTGATACGATTACTGCAGCTGATCTTCCATCTTCAATATTGACCGGAATTTCTCCATCATTTCAACCAAAACTCAAGCAAATCAAATATTGGTGTTGTGTTCCTGGTATGGCTAGATGTACTTCACAGGCTTAATGTTGTAGTGTCACAGTGTGAGAAATGTACAGCCTCCATGAAAGGCCCTGCTTCGTCAGCGAGAGGACAACTACCAGCATCTCAGACTCGTCAATCTTGTGATACTCTGTTCTGAGGAACGCCATGTTGATCATTTCTGAACACTTTTAAAGCAAAGACCATTTTGTTTTCAGTATGTTCTTGAAGACTTTAAATTGTATGAATGTAAAAGAAACATGTTCTACTCCAGTGTTTTTTGTTCAAATGCTGGAATTCAACTTGTTGGATGCTGATACAATGTGGCTCCTTTAAAAGCATGCCTGTTGCATATATATATATATATTGTCTGTGAATTTTCTGTGGTGCATAGCCACCGGTGAAGTTGCATTGTTGATATATGCGAGATGTGTTTATTTATTTTGTGTGACTGTCTGTGGAATGAAAGGTTGCTGAACTCACGGAACTGTTGTCAATGAAACATGTAGAATTGTCAAAGACTATGGAACCAAATAGTATACTTGTGAACGTGAAAATGGGGCATCTTGGAGGACGAGACTTGATGTGATTCACAGAAGATGTTTTCCATGGACTGTTACAAGCTGGAACTGTTTTCCACAGTCTGTATTTGCTGTAATCTTCATAGTTCTCTTTACCTCAAGTCAAGAGCCCCAGAGATAGTCTCAACTGGTTCACTGAATCTTGCAAAAATAATGTGTATCTGTTTTCTGAAGATCATGGGAGCCACAAATGTCTGTGCAGAGTTGCTTCCCTTTGTCTTTGAAAGATCCATTCTCACTGTGTTCATATCCCACTTTCCCTCGATTCTGAACATTAGTTTGCCAGCACCGTACAGTGTTCAAGGGTTAAAGCTATGTGTCTAGGACCTGTGACACTTTATGGTTTTCTCCGAACTTGCAGACACGCCATCATGACAATAAGATCTTAGTTGTTGCTACCATGAAGCAAAGATCTGAGAACATCCCATTACAGGTCACGACAGAATGACCTTTCATCCGACCAACCAGAGCATATCTGACCAGAAACTGACAGTGGAAATGTGTTTTTTAATCATGCAACCTCGAAAAAGAGCTACAGGCTTTATGACTGAATCAATACAATTTAGGACAGCTCTTAGTCATTCCAGAATGGCCTTTTGTTCTTTTTTCAAATTTTTATCAAGAACTTGTCAAAATATGTTTCACAGCATAGTTGCCAATTTAAAACTAGTGCCTTAAGGTACTAGTTAAATAACTACCTTCTGATTGGCCAATGTTGACTTCTTTTCAGTCATTCCATTGGTTGGTCAAAGTTCGCCGAAGTTCAGTCTGATGTGACCGTAATGGGATGTCCTCAGATCTTTGTTTAGAGGTAACGAGAACTGAGATTTGAATGATATTGGCCATCATAAGGTCCTGTTGAACATAGCGGCTGTGAACCAAATCCCCCTTTCTTGGAACATGTTCTACCAGCTGTCCAGTGCAACTGTGTGATGTCAAGTAGAACAAGCATCTGTTCCGCGTTTGTTGTCATGCTGCATGATATGCCCTCAGGTAATGTGAGTCAGGAATCCCAGCCAGTGAATCTTTCATCCTATGTGTTGATGAAGGGAACACGTTCAGTTTCTATAAAAGATGTGTTCAGTAATCAAACTTAATCTTCAACATTCAATTTCTAGATGCCAACTATGAACCTTGGTGAAAGCACAGGAAAATAATTGTATACATTAGCAGATTGTGCAATGTTGATCTGTTGGCAGTACCCTGTGCAAAGAGAATGTATGTCAGCTGAGAAAGGGAGATAACTCCAAACCCCAGATTTGTGTTTTCCTCCGATGACCCTGACCTAAATTTGCCCCAAATCAATTCTGCAAACTTTTTCAATCTCCATTGTCAACCTGCTATTCTTGTCTTTCAAATCCTATAGTCACCGTCATGGCTGGATTACTTGAAAATAAGTAATTTCCAAATACTTAGATGAAAACCGTAATGTCTGAAGAAGTTTTTGAACCTGTAATAGTTTTTAAGCTCACCTTATTGAAAGTCAAGTGAGCTTACGTTGTGGCGTGTCGTCAGGTCATCCGTCCTTATCTTTTCATGTTCAGCCTCTCTTCTGAAACTATAAGGCCTATAAAGCTGAAACTTTGTGTGAATGACCCCAGCTATAGTGTCTCTAAGCAGCAATTAGAAAACTAATCATGGCATGAACATTCTTGTTAAGGGTTCCTGTGGTCCCTGTCAGCATGTTCATGAAGCGTGCAGGTGATTGTTAAACTCCTTGTTAGGACCCCACGACATTGTACAGAACCGTGTACCATGCATTGTAAAGATCAACTCGTGAAGGAGTTTGGCGCATATGCAACAGCACCAGATGACATATTTCTGCACGCATCACACAAAGGCGGCTCAAACACTACAAATACAGGCTGCATAGAGTTCTGGTTTATATTATTCTTATGTTGGGGGCACAGGTGGCCCAGTCGTCTAAGGCACCACGATTCGCTGTGGGCACACCAGAAACCTATGATTGTTGGTTCGAATCCCGGTTCGCCCTGTTTATGTTTCTAGGTTTGTCAGCACCATACCTGTGCTCGTGGGTTTCACCAAAGTGATAAACGTCTGAGACCTGCATCACTTTCCTCCCACATTAAGCAGACACGCTGTGATATTACTAGAATACTGTTAAAACAGCGTTAACCCTAACTCACTCACTCATTTGTGACAGACCACTTAAAGGCACATGACCTTAGGACCCCCAGTAACTCCAATGCTGACCTGTGCACTTTCACCATGCCCTGAAATACCATCTCTGATACTGCTTAATCAGAAATTTGGCATGCAGGTTCTTTCTTGTGAAGATATTTTGTGATTTGATTTGATTTAATTTGATTTTCTTAAGAACAACTGGTCCCAGGGCTTGGACTTTGTTTGAGTGTAATGACGACACAGTTTGTTCATTGCATCCTTAAGTTTACCTCAACAATGTCCTGAACAAGTTAGCAAAAATACTTTCGTTTTCCCACTAATTTTTCTGTTACATACTTTTAGATATTTGTACCAAGATATAGTTAAAGTGTAATAGAATTGTAATTTCATAAGCCAGGTGAGCTACAAAGCCTTGTGGCTAAAGTGTTGTATGTAAAAGTTGGAATTTGACTTTTCTATCCCACTGTTCGACTTCTTGAAATAGATTTATTTGTGATATTACATTTAGAACTAGACGTGTGAATATTTTGATACATAAGCCAATGCTTGCACAAATCTTTCACAATGCATTGCTCACAACCCAAGCCATCCATATTCCAAGTTCTGTACAAATTATTGATCCTATATTTCTGCATGAGCAATTTCAGTGTTAGCCAGTATGTAAAATGTCCATATTTGATATGGAGAGAAAATGCCACATGATACCAGTCACTGATCTGAGATGATACATCGTCTTTTGATCAAGTGCTGATGTATTTGATGTTGAAATAGTGTGTGTTCTGACGTAGTCCTGGATATATGGTAGCTGTGTCAATGTAATTTAATAAGTATCAAACCTGATGCCATGGTTTCTGTATTGTAAATTTGTGAGAATCTCCTACCGTGTATACTTGTGTGAGCTGTTTGTATATAATACTCCATTATCAGGAATTGTAAAATCTTGGTCACACGTGTGTTCCTTGATCTTGTATCTGTTGACAGTATTTGTTTGGCAGGAATTCACATTACCTGTGTAAGCCTGTGTGTAAGGCAGTCTTCTCTCGTGGTGGTCTGTTCATGTAGAACTGGTTTGTATCTGTGCCCCAATCTAATAACCAGGAAGATTGTTTTCCAATGTTTGGTGGTTATAGAATCATTCAGCCATGTCTTCGACTATATTCGTTATCATACTTATGACTCACACTTACTCTCTTGTAACTATTGACGTCCTACCTTCAAAACCTTTTCACGACATTCATGTTCAGGGCTATATATTTAGAAAGTATTGGCCTGATGCTGTATTATATATTCCACATGGGACACCCTATTTTCAGGATGTGAGAACCATGTTTAGCCAGTTGATCTGCACGAGTCGATGCTCTCTTACATTCAGTGATCTATTCCCATTTTCCAAAGTCAAGTTATATAAAAATATCAACCCTAATCATATGCTGTCAGTTTTCCATTCACCATTGATTTTTCTATGACAGTAATTTTGAAACAAATGGCATTTAGTTTGTTACATGATAATTTCATTTTATTAAGGGCCCTTACCATGTATGGTGAAATTGTTACCGTTATATTTGTATGTGTTTTGACCAACCCCAACACTTTATCACTGCCATGATTTTTTATACGTTTTTGAAAAGTGACTCTAGAGCTGTGGTAAGGTGATGAAGCCGGACAATAGGGATGAAGGGAGTGGAGTGGAGATCCCGTGTGATGTAGTCGCCAAAATTCATTATTGAGATGACCTTTGGTTGAAGACATTGTATCGATACTGATATGTATACTGAAAGCACAAACAGATCCCTGCAGAGTTGTCTCCCTTTACAGAATTATTCCCCTTGGCATGTTTATCCATTTGTCTGTGGATTCACATCAAGATGATAGGAGATGTTTTCTTGTATGGCCTGTGTAAGTCACCCCAAGAAGGATGCTGTTCTGAGTATTCCTGGTTTAGTACAGTCACTGTATTTGTCAACGTGTCCGCTTACGATCATCCTGTGATATTTAGTTTAGATACTGTATGTTTGAACTGGTGTGGTAGAGTGAATGGGTACAGATCATGGTTATTTGATTGTTACAATAAAGTTGTGTCATGACTTGAAACATGTGAGGAATATTTGTTCCAATCAGGTGGACATTTGCTGTGAAATGAGAGCTGTTTCTCTGTATTTGAGATCATCGGAACTTGGCACTTAATATTATACATGCTGTTCATCATACTAGAATACAACCCAAAATGTTAAGATTTTAATTTCCTTATATGGATATCTGCTGGTATATTTGTGTTCAGTAAATACGTGTATAACTTTTGGTGTCAAACATTTTTCAAAGAAAAGATCTCAAAGGGTACATTTCCCGTTGCCTAGAGTCCATTTCCTGGCTAGGCCTGTGTTAACTGCAGTTAGTATCAATTGTGGAACAGGGACATTGTATCTGTGTAATTAGGGCAATCATGAATCATGAACTTTTATTTTGATCACATCCTAAATTGAAATCGAACCCAGCGGGAGGTTTGAAGGACATCCCACCATGTGGAGGTTTGAAGGACATGCCACCATGTGGAGGTTTGAGGGACATCCCACCATGTGGAGGTTTGAAGGACATCCCACCATGTGGAGGTTTGAAGGACATCCCACCATGTGGAGGTTTGAAGGACATCCCACCATGTGAAGATTTGAAGGACATGCCACCATGTGGAGGTTTGAAGGACATCCCTCCATGTGGAGGTTTGAAGGACATCCCACCATGTGGCCCTGTAATGGAGCTCCTCAGTCCACAATGATGACTAACATAGTCGGACACAGGTGGCCCAGTTGTCTGACGCCCCACAATTCACTGTGCAGAGTTGCGTCCCTTGGTCACTCAGAAACCTATGTTTGAATCCCCAGTTTGACCTGATTATGTTTCTAGGTTTGTCAACACCATACCCATGCTCATGGGTTTCACCAAAGTGGTAACCGTCTGAGACCTGCTCTGCTCTGCTCTGCTCACATTAGGCTGACAAGTGTGATACAACTGGAATACTGTTAAAAGCAGTTAAACCAGTTCCCTCACTAACATGTTCATACCCTTTCCCCTTAAGTTGAAGAATTGGGGGATTGATGAGGGGCAGGTTACGTGTTTCCCAAGCAAGTTATGCATCTTGTGAAGTGTCTCTCAGAAGGCGTGTGCTAATAATCTTCAGTGGGATGTTTTACATCATTTTAGAAATCCTGTCATGTTTCCCAGTAATCCAATGTCTTTATCTTCTTGTCCTCAGTCAAAACGAGTTGAGGCCGAGGTGGGGCATTCGCTCGTCATGACTAAGGCACAGGTTTGATTCCCCACTTGGGTAAACTGTATGAAACCCATCTCTAATATCCCCTTGATATTGCTGGAATACTGCTAAAGGCTGTGGGAAGACTAACTCCTTAACTCCTTCACCCAAAGAGAGCTGCTGTGTGTGTCATGTGACATGGTTGCTATAACGGTGTTATGACGAGTGGCAGTTATTTAGTAAATAATATTTGTATGCGTCATCAAAGGGGCAATATGTGACAATCATAAACCAGTGTTAACAAATGAAATCCACAGTATTCCATTGTTCAGGAGAATGTTCTTGCAGTGTACACTTTGTTCCAGAGGCAGGAGCCGGTCAGAAAGTAGTACGCTCCAAGGTGTCCTATATTGTATTTAACTCTCATCTTCCTTGTGATTGGAAATAACAATCTTGAATATTTGTAAGAAATACCTTTTTTGTAGCTCAAATTAAGTTATGGTGTGTCATTAAATATTTCATGACATCATTGCACTTGTCTGTAAGTCCTTGGCATCAATCAAACTCCAGTGAACGTTTAGGAAGGAGTATGAGGCAACTTAAACATGTGCTGCGAATAGCTGCAAGATTGCTGAAGCGTTTTACAATATTCATGAATTCACTGGTGATTTGGTTGATTGTCATTGTACGACAGAGGGGTGGTTGGGTAGCCTAGTGGTTAAAGCATTCGATTGTCACACCGAAGACTCGGGTTCGATTCCTGACATGGGTACAATATGTGAAGCCCATTTCTGGTGTCGACCGCCGTGATATTGCTGTAACATTGCTAAAAGCGGCGTAAAACCATACTCACTCACTCACTCACTCACTCGTACAACAGTGGGGCACGTTGCTCACAACATCAAAGGCTTGTCTGGCCCAGAATCATTATTTACTGTCTTCTGTTGTATTGCTGGGTGTTAAACAACAAACAGTCCTACTGCAAGAGAGGACCTTTTAAGACGTACTCCTCAGAGGAAGGAGTGTAAGAGTGATTGACAATGATGTCATAAGACTTGACTTTGTATTAAGACACAGTGTTATGGCAGTGATGTGTATGAATGAAACTGTATTCTGTTCCGCTTCCTGAAGGAGTGCTAGTAGCCCAACATGTGTACAGATATTTGTTGAAATTATTTATGGAATAATATTGTCAGCAAAATAAAATGTCAGAAATTTGTTGCACTTTGTTTTTCTTTCCATGGGTTGGCTTGATGGTAATCCTGTTTGTGGATTTCTTGGTCAATATGACAAGATGTTGATGGCACAGAGAGACGGACAATAATAATCAAGATGACAAATCCAAATGTTACAACCACAGAAATGCGTACAGTCTATGACTAAAGTGAAACCCCCTGAAGACTGGGGCATTTTCTGTATGTCGAGTGTTCATACTTGGTTGGTTGTTGAACACTGCACTCTGCAATATTCCAGTTATATGGCGGCGGTCTGTAAATAATCAAATTCTGGACCACACAATCCAGTGATTAATATAATGAGCATCGATCCACACAATTGGTTGGTTGGTTTGTTGTTTTGTGCCACACTCAGCAATATTCCAGCTATATGACGGTGGTCTGTAAATAATCGAGTCTGGACC